AGAGCTCGTTGAAGTCTCATCGAATTTATATATATATATACTTGAACTTCAAGCTTAAAATTTTTCAATTTAAACTTGAGTTTGGCTTAAATTTTTTTAGTTTAAATATATACTTATGTACAATTTAAACTCAGGCTTCAATTTTTCGGACTCATTGAGTTTCGAGCCAAGCTAAATTCTATAGAGTTGAATTTTAATTTGACAGATTCGAGCTTGGTTCTATTGAATCACACCTCGAAACTGCACTATTAAGTTGCTAATTTAATGATTAAAAACAAAAAATATAACAATATTGTTAATTATATGAATTATACAAATTATAATTTATTTATATGCGGGATAAATATTATAGTAGACATTGATAAAATAACTAAATTAGATAAAGAATTAAGAATAAGAATATTCATATTTTTAGAAAAAAATGTCAATATAAATATTATTGAATCAAGTTGACTAGGGAGTTTATGATTTTTGTTCCCATGAAAGAAAATATGGCTCCAAGTTGCTAGATAACGAAATAATTGTAGATTTGATGTGAATATATGCGATCCAACTTGTCTTAAATTTGAATTTAACGTATCATCTACTTGGTAACTTTTTGAAAATTAGGTCCAATGTAACGTTAAGAATGAATGACTTATCGGACGTTGGCAAGTCATGTTATACATGTCTTATTTAGATAAGAATGAAAATTAAAAGTACACAATATTTATTATTTAGATAAAGGACAAGATACCAAATTAAGGGGGTTTAAATATATTTTAATTTTATTTGTATAAATAAGAAACGAAATATGACAGTATTTATTTCAACTTAATGACAACTTCTTGAATCTCTAATTTATGCATTCAGATAATAAATTTATTTATCTGAGTTGAATCATAAGTTATTTATCTGCATTTATGAGTTAAATTTTTTTTGAATTAAAAATATTTCTATTTTGTAACTGGTTGGATGAAAAGATAAAATTATCCTTATAATTATAAAGTAACACTAGATATCAATTTTTAATTATTCAGTAATCAGTTATTGATGTCACTTCTAATAATTTATCTCATTTATTCCGAATTTTCTGAATCAGTTAATTATAGTTAATCAGTTGATTTTTAATGCGATAATAAATAAGTATTTCATGTGCAGAGACACCATACATACAATATTAGGGCATTTTAACCATGAATAAATAAAATAAAATATTGGACCCGACCACCACATTGGAGCCACGTGAACCGCATATGCATTCAGAAGGACTATTGTGCATATGTCTGTGTTGTGCTCACAAGGTTATGTCCCATAGATGATGGAATGGTCATTACATGAAAGATGGGAATGGGATATGACTATTATTATTATTACAGTACATCATAGCAATCTTTGTTTTGTTTTGTTTTGTTTTGGGTACCCATTGCATTTGCAGCCACATAAATCACTATATTCATAATTACTATTGTATCATTCCTAGCTACTAACATCTTATCTTTATTGATAAAAATTATATATCATTACTTTTTTTTTTTTTAACTTAATTTTAATATTTTCTTATTGTGTAGTCAGTATAATTTTTTGACTAATAAGTTTCATATTTTTACAAGCTTATTTATAATTATAATAAAAAATAATCCTTTTACAAGTTTTGGCTTGAACACGTCTGTTTTATTTATTTATTAAACAAGCTTAATAAGTGATAACCAAGAATATGCTATACGTTCGTTCAGATGAGGAAGGTAGGATGGAAATTGCTATCTTGCTTGAAGGAAAATGTCATTAGCCTCCTCTCCTTAGCCACCCCTATCCCTATGCATATATAAACGTTTAAGAGTTAGAGGAAAGTGAGAGGATATGGTAGCAAAGAATCCGATCACTGTCCCTAGACGACCTGCACACATCTCTATACTTCAGTTATGGGGAGAGATCTTCGGCATGTGACGGGAATAGTTATCTGTCAATAAGCAATCATCATGTAATGATTTAAACTCAATTTGTTTATTAAATTTATAGAATACATTTGAATGAACTTTTTAAAAATTAAATTTTGAATAGATTATGAGCAATTTAACTCGATTACGGTCGAATTTAGAGAAGACCATGAGTGGATAGACTTATTTACTGTCGTAATTTTATATCATATTTCTACTTTAGGAAATTTTCGATATATAAATATAAAACAAATTAAAAAGAGAGAAAATGAAAAAGGATTTTTGAGGGGAAATGCTAGGGGGACGCCTTTAACATAGTCTAGTGTTTGGTCATGAAACGACAAAAGAAAGCAAATCTAACCGCAAAATACCAAAAGATACTTTTATTACTTTTCATGGAAATGACCAAATATATATACAAGTGAAAAGCATAGGAGCCCTATTCTCATTTCTATATATTTTTTTTTAAGGACAATTATACCCTTTCATATGTTCCCAAACAGGTACTTATTCATTTGGACTTGCGAAACTTATGGAACTAGAAAGAAAGCCTTTTTGAACAACTTGCTGAAGCCCTTAGCCTGCTAGCCACAACCACATAATGAAGAGAAAACTGCTCCTCAATTCAAAAAGCCAAGTGGAAGGTCATATTATAAGGGGATGAAGGTGGGCATTGTCTTTTAGTACAGAGAGATGGGGCTTAGGATGGGGGTTACTGATGTGGATGTTTTTCAACTTGAGGACAAGACAAAGGCACATGGAGAGAAGGAGAGATATAGAGATATTAAACCTTTCATGGAAGGCATTTGGTTTGAGGGTGAGAGGTTCAGGGAGATGCCTTTCATTTCTTTCTTTCAGTTTATATTGTTTGTAGAGGACAAGATGGTCCTTTCTATTTTTGTTCTTTCTCTTGTCCATTGCAAACACCAGTCTTTCCCTTTCATTTCTTGTCTCCTTCCATCAACACTACCTCCAACACCACTCAACAAAGAAAAAATTAAAATAAATATAAATAAAAACCACCACTTCCTCCAACACAGTACTCTTCCCCCACCAATTGTCACCATCTTGTCCATCATCACCATCATCTTCTCTATCTCTGTATAAGTCAATTAATCTATGTGGATGTCTATGCCCTGTATCCATATACATGTAGAATAGAATCAAAGTTAATTTGAGGTCTCGAGTTCAAGCTTTAAGTATAAAAATTGTCGCATTAGAAGAGTCATCCCTATATAGACTATGCATTATTCGAGCCGAATGTAATCAGAATCTAATAGGCTTTTGAATACCAATAGTCATAGACCGACAAAAATAAAGTTAAAATCACAATTTTCATTTCATCTTAAACATGGAGAAATATTTTTTATAATGATTAGAATTAGAGATGGGTTTACTATTATATTCTCATATGGCTAAACTACAAAATATAACGTGATCCAAGAATTTGGATTCAAGATAGATTTTTATCTCCAAAATTTCCCAAAACATTATTTTTTACTTTAAAGTCTTGCTTTATAGACTTATATCCGAATTTGGTTTGATTATTCATGATTGTAGGGTGTTATTAGCTAATAGATCTAATGTGGTCATTAGATGGATTAAGAAACAAACAAATATAGGGGCTCATACTCTAACTAGAGCCTCCTGTGTTCATGCTCGTTTCAAGAAGTGAGATACTATCCGTCATGAGTTATTCTATGTTATTTAGATTAATGAATTGTCTTAAAAAAAAAAAAAAAAAAAAATAATTGTCTTAAAAAAAAAAAAAAAATCCCAAATAGATCCACAATGAAACTCATAATTGAGTATGACTATACCATTATTTTAAAAAAAAAAAAAAAAAAAATCCCAAATAGATCCACAATTGAAACTCATAATTTGAGTATGATATACCATTATTTTTTTATACTAGTACTCTTTTCAAATCTAATCTTTCTTTCTTTTTAACAAATTGTTTAGGTTGATTTTATGATTATGAGCATGAGTTGAATTGCAGATTCATAAAATTTAAAGGTCAACAATTCCAATTATTAATCTCTTTTTATTCCTATAGTTTTACATCAAAAACAAATTTATTAAAATTTATTTTATCAAATAATGCCCTTTTAAGAGTACAGTTTAAGCTATTGGAACAATTCCCATACTGAATATTTATAAATAAAATATTATATTTTTTATAATAAATTTAACTATTCAAATTATATAGATGAGATTTATTTTTTAGTGTATCTGAATCATACTAGAACCTCGATAGGGTCTAGTTAAACCGGTTAAAAAATTCTTAAAAATAATTTAGCTCGATTTTTTTATTGATTATTTAATTTTTAGTTTTCAGTAAAATATGGAAAGGAAAATTACATTATGATTTATGTAGTTTACGAAATACAATTAATCCGTTCATATTTTTTTAAAAAAATATATCAATTTGTCCCAATACTACTAGGTCCTTTTGTCAATTTTTTTTACATCTTTTCCGTTAAGTCAACAAGAAAATAATGAGATCAAAGGAGAGATACTAAAATATTATATCAAAAAAAATAAAATATTAGATCAAAAAAATAAACTTCCGTTAAGTCAATTAATCCGTTCTTGATCAAATATTAGAAATAAATTTTGATTGATTATAAAAAAGAAAAATATGAAATTTTAGTTAATTATTTAATTTTGAATTCTTAATCAAATATGGAAATTAAATTTCAATTAATTCTTACTCAAAATCAAAATCAAAATCGCATTAAAATATTTATTTTTTTTAAAAAAATATACACATAAACACCGAAACCATGGCATGAACTATGGATTGCCATAACCATTTTGAAATGATCGAGTCGGAATTGAACCTGGCCTATTCAGGGGCGAGTTGAGTTCAGGTTTACTCTAAATTTTTGAATCGTCGGTTGACCGAATTTACATCTGACGAGTTTTCCTCATTTCCAACAGTATTGATCGGCAAATAATAGGTTTTTTTTTCTTTTAATTTAATTTCTCTCAAACCAAAAAATAATATTATTTTAATATATCAACGACATCTTTGGAAGGGACCCAATCTCTCTCTATATATGCCAAGTCCCAGCCATCATATCTTGCATCATCTCAATCTCCTCTATATGCCATCCTATGTTTTCTCCATTGAAGAAGGTACACTACTAGTACTATTACTGCAACAAATTTCATCCACCATTGCCGAACCTTCCTAATTCCCTCTCTCTTTCTCTACACGTCTCTCTGATTTTTATTTTCTTTCAACTATGCCTTCAAGATTGACAGACGCCTTCAGAGCCCACCCTGTCCATGTCCATCACAAGCTTCCGGACTTTACCTCTCTTCAAGAACTACCTGACTCGTACAAGTGGACTCAACTCGATGAGGAAACTCACTCTTACTCCGGTGACTCATTCATGAAGGAATCCATTCCGGTGATCGATCTGTTAGACTCCAATGCCCTTAAAAATATAGGTTATGCGTGCAAAACGTGGGGTGTGTTTCAAGTGATTAACCATGGCGTCTCAACTTGTCTACTTGACAACATAGAAAAAGTCAGTAGAGATCTTTTCTCTTTACCTATGCAACAAAAACTCAAGGCTGCTAGATCACCCGACGGCGTTTCTGGTTATGGAATTGCAAGAATTTCTTCTTTCTTTTCAAAGCTTATGTGGTCTGAAGGTTTCACCATTGTTGGATCTCCACTAGACCATTTTCGCCAACTTTGGCCTCAAGATTATACTAAATTCTGGTATATTTCGTTTACTCATGCACGTGTAATATCTCATTCTATATTCTATATTTGTTTATCTTTCTATTAAATTAATTAAATATGAATCCCATTTTCTTAATTTCTTCCCTTAATGCAATTAGCAAAGGATAACAATGAGAGCCATGGCCCACAAAGAAAGATTTGGGTTGATTGGTATCAACAAAGAAAATCATCTTTACTGTTTAATATACAGTGTTTTGATTTTTATTTATTTATTTTGGAATTTTGATATATTAACTTCATTATTAATTCTAATAATTCTTTTTTAATTTTGTCTTTTCAGTGGAACAATTGAAGTATATCAGGTAGAAATGCAAAAACTTGCTGCCAAATTGATGTGGTTAGTGTTGGGCTCATTAGATATAACCAAAGAAGACATCACATGGGCTGGCCCAAAAGCTGATTTCAGAGAGGCTTCTGCTGCTTTACAACTCAATTACTACCCGGCTTGTCCGGATCCCGATCAGGCTATGGGTCTTGCTGCCCATACAGACTCCACTCTACTCACCATTCTCTACCAAAATAATACCAGTGGGTTGCAAGTACTGAGAGAAGGAACTGGGTGGGTCACCGTGCCGCCTATTTCTGGCGGGCTTGTTGTCAATGTAGGAGATCTTCTTCACATACTATCAAACGGATTGTACCCGAGTGTGCTCCACCGGGCGGTGGTTAACAGGACCAAACATCGGTTATCCATGGCTTATCTTTATGGGCCCCCATCAAGTATCCAAATATCACCGTTGTCAAAACTAGTAGGCCCAAGTCAACCACCTTTGTACCGGCCAATCACTTGGAATGAGTACCTTGGCACTAAAGCTAAGCATTTCAACAAAGCACTATCATGGGTTAGGGTATGCGCTCCTCTAAATGGAATAGTGGATGTAAATGACCATAAAAATAGTGTAAAAAGTAGGCTAATTAGCTAGCTAAAGCCTAGAGAGAAGGAAAATCTCTCCTTTTTTTTTTTTTTTTTTTTTTGAGAAGGAAAAATCTCTCCTTTTTTTTTTTTTTTTTTTTTTTTTTCAAATTGTAATATTCAACCAATTTTGTCTTCTTGTATTAATCTTCCTTATATCAAAGAGTTGAAGAAGAGTTAACCAATGTCATTGCCATGGAGAACTCTAATTTCTTGGAGGCTTTACATTGTTTTTTTTTTTTTTTTTTTTTTTTCAAATTGTAATATCAACCAATTTTGTCTTCTTGTATTAATTTCCTTTTCAAAGAGTTTTGATTGGTTAACCAATGTCATGCATGGAGACTCTAATTTCTTGGAGGCTTTACATTGTTATTGGGTTTTAGACTTTTAGTTCCCCCAAAAAAACAAGGTCTCAAAAGGATAAGTTATACATATCACATCAAACAAGGGGATCCAAACAAATTTTCACTATTATGTCTTTTGTCCTTGCATGGCTGATAGAGTGAGATAGCCAAAAGAAAAATTGAAAAATACCCATTTGAATATTCAGGTAAAAGACACAAAAACCGACATTTTTCTGCCCCGGATATGAAGGAAGATCCCTACTCCAATGAATAGGACAGTAATCAAGATAAATTTCATTTACGATCGTTAGATGATTTTTTTTTTATTTTTTATATTAAAGAGAGAGTTTTAAATCTAAATTTATTGTCAGGCTCTATATGCACTTATCATCATACTATATTTTTGGTGTGTAGATCATTATATAAATCATTGAAGCTGATGGAAGTTTAAAAAAGAAAAAAAAAAACCTATAATGTATATTAATTTTTCTCAATTATTGATAATGCACTTGGTGATAAAAAAGCACGGATAGATATAATAATATCAATTATGAAAAATGGAATAATGACAACTCATATATGTGTATATGTACATTATGTATAAAAACAACAATGACAGTCCATGTTGCTCTCTATATATCTATGTCTGAAATTAATTGAGAATTTCATTAATATTGTAAAGACAAGAGTGTCTGTCCTTTCCGATGCAGCTAAGGTAATTCTCTTCCAAGCTAAACAAGTTGTTGAGCCTGCAACCATGTGCTTCTTCAAACTTGTTCTTGTGATGATGACTAGGCAGTTTTACAGTTTTAGTTGGTAGGTTATTATTAGATGCTACTGGCTATTGCATTATTGCAGGATGTTGCGAAAGGGAGGATTAGGAAAATCCTATTGATTGCAGCTTTTCTAAAATTTTTAACTTCGTCTCCTGGAAACAACAAAAGCAGACGTATAATTTTCACATTGCAGGAAAAACAAGCAGACAAAATAATTGGCCCCAAACTACCAATTGCTGATTTATTACAAGTACAACAAAGAAAAATAAAAGTTGAAATAGTTCAGTATATAGACAAGATGACATTTTCAATTCCAACAAAGTGAATAATGGAATTGCTGGTTAAATCCAAGACATTAATTACAAGGAATGACGGGTAAAAAGTGCTGAGGATAAAAAGTTATTTTGTCACGTTATTAAAAAGCATTCTTATGACATATAATCCATCTGCTTCAGTAATACACTTTTTAATTCACTATAGAGGCTCATTTTCACCCCTTACTGTTGATCTATTTTATTGTTTCTGAACTTTAAATTGTAATGTAAAAATTTATTCACAGGCGAGTAATATATATATATTTTTTTTTGTCAGCAATAACTTTATTAGAATTCAAAAATCAGTAAAAATTTAACATTTTCAGAAATCTACCCAAAATTAATAGACTTTCCCAATATACTTACAAGTAACCTGAAAATGTCAGATAAAAACCTGGTAAAACAATACAACCTGATAAGAAAATCTCTCCTTCTCCTGAAATAAAAAAAAGAGATACAAAATATCTCAAAAACTCACCAACAATCAATTTTACCATAAGTTTAAAAATCTCATTGGAATGCTATGATACCCTAGACAAAAAAATTACATATATATTTTTTTATTTTCAGTAATATGATCATTTCTCTCTGCTACCCATACGTAATTAATTAATTAATTAATTTCTAAGCAATAATTGAATAATACATGTATATGTATATATTATTATTATTATTTGTGTTGCTCTCTCTGGCATTGTTATTGTGTATGCCAATCAGATATGAGAATCATGGTTTGCTGTCTGCAAGGAACATTATGATAAGGTGGTGGTCAGATAAGATGGGTTTTATTTATAAGATCTCTAATTAATGGGGAGAGGACTACCGTCAATACAGACATAATTATAGTTTTAACTTTTAATTAGCTTAAATAGATTCAGCTTTTGCATCTCACCATCACTTTAAAGAGATTAAGCTCAAGTTGAAGAAAAGCAAAAGCTTAATTTCTTTCAACTGTGTCGGATTCCACTTTTAGCATTATATATTGTCTATTTTCACTTTCTAGATATATCAAATTAAACTCAACAGTTAACTGTATTTTCATTTTTTTATTTTTAATTTCTAGAATGTTATCCAAAACCCATTTCTGGGAGTTCAAAAACATGCAAAATAATTAGATTGGACATTACTTCTAGAGCATGGAAATGAAAAAGTTCCAAAAATTTCATTGGTGGGATATGCAACATTTACAGAGAAAAAATTAAAAAAATCAGTAGCCTTTTCATAGACGATCAGTCGGAGAATGCTGATGATATATATATATGGTTCAAATTCCAAACTGAAATAAACTACAATTGGATATTTGTTTTCCATCTGTCAAAATTCTTGGATTATTTTCACTTATTTTTATTTTATAATCTAAAAGAAAGCAAAAAAAAAAAAAAAACTTCTAGTTGTATTATTAATTTATTATGGTATATAGAGTTAAAGAAATATTAAAATCTTGAGGGAGAGACAGAACAGTAAAGGCAGACATGACAAAAAGGCTAAGTTTAAATCAAGAAAGTTCAAGGTATAAGGATAAGATTTCATTATTATTAAGCCTGTTTTGCTGCTGGTTCTGGTAATAGTAGTCGCAATTCTTGATCCAAATAAGGAATTATTAGTCTATTTTAAAGATGCTACAAAGAAAACCGACAACCCAAAAAAGGAATTGGCAGGTTTGATCCCTCTTTGCAATAATAAAATCTAAAACTCTAGCAACATTCATTACACCAGAAGCTAAAGTTCTCTGTTGCTACCCAAATAAGATCATTATAATATTGTTAATTAGCAGACAGTGCATTACCGTCATCAACATGGAAGTCCATTTTAATTTCCCTTTTCTTTTTTACATTCTTTAAGATATATAACAGCAATTTTATTTTTGGATATCAGTAAAAAAATGAACTGTTGGTATTGCTGCTAAATGTTGCAACAAAGCTGAAACAGTACACAAATGACATGTGAAAGGTGTTTTGTTCCCCCCACTTTTTGTAAAACAAACTTAAAAGGGTTGATGAGATTTCATATAATTTATGTAGCTGAATGACAGAAGTTTGCGATTTTCCCTGACATGGCTGCCAATGAAACCTGAGATTGTAGGCAATTTCCATTTGAACACCTTCTTTTTTTATTTTAGTGCATTTTGTGCCTGAAATGGATGAGGGCTGCGTTTGCTGGCCCTTCACGTTGCTAAGAAGCTAATGTTTCTAGGAAGCAGCAATTTTAACTCTGGCACAATGTAGACAAGACCAGAATCGGTCAAGTGAACTTACCAACTAAGAAAACAAGCTCCGTTACACACGTAGTCGGTTCATCGGGCTCACTTTTAATACAAAATAATTTAAGCCATTTACCCATATAGCATAATTAGTCTAGTGGTTGAATCTCTGCAGATCTCATCTTAGTGGTCACAGAATTAAGTTATAGAGTGGCTATCTTAAAAAGGGCTTTAAACATAATCGTTTTCCTATTCCGAAAGGGAATAAACGATGCCCTTGGTAAAATGAAAAAAATACCCTAATTCTAGTTTCATGTCCTTTTCATTATAATTAACCTTTTTTTTTTTTGTATTTATCAATTTCCAATTCCAATATTTTTACTTTTCTTGTATTTAAAGGATGTGGGATATTATTAATGTCTATATTCCAATCTATAGGAAGTTTTGAAGCTGAAATTTATACCTTTATTAATTTTTTAAAATAGTAAAAGGATAGGATAAAGTTCTAAATATTTTTTTGGGCCAATGTTACACTTCTAAATGTGCGAGCTCGATATCTGAATATAATAATTTATCTAGAAATAAAGACATTGTTTTGATGAAAAGCTCAAGCTAATATATATTTTATTATACATATTGCTAAAAAAAAGAAATATCAAGCAGGTTACACAAATTGACAACTTTGAAAATTATTTATTATTATTGGACATGATATTATTATACTAGTAGATAAGGTGCTATAATGTTTCAAACATTAAACACCGCAATAAGCCTTCAGAGCAGATTCAGATTTCTGACCGGACTCTGTATAGTAGAATCCAAGGAACTTTACATGATCAAATGGCTTAAAGAGCAGAGGATGTTGTTCATCAACTAGCTCCTCTGGAGCTTTTACCATGTAACCAGCTTTTGGTATCGAGAACAATCCAGCAGAATACCTTGCTTCATTTCCACTCATCATAACTCGATGGTATGGAGAGTACAATCGACCATTTGCCCATGCCTGCAAATATATATAGCATTAGCTAATAATTGTACATAATTTAACACATTCGAATTCTTGATTTGTTGTATTATTATTATGAGACCAAACCGGTTTATTAGGCCAGGGGTTTGAAACCTGGAGTGACTGTTATTGTGAGAATTTGGTTATGTTAGGCAACAGCTCTTTAAGTAGCTTTTAGTGTTTTTAACTAGTCAAAACGCTACATAATGTCTTTTATAATGTTCGGTAACGTAATGTTTGAACTAGGTTTTAGAGATTATATATTATTTTATAAGAAGTTAACTCATGCAATGTTTAGCTTTTAATGTTTTATGAAGGGTTTGTTCAGCAAAATTAACTTTTTTTTTGCAGTTGTTAGCTGTTTTAGTAGCATTTAATGGTTAATTGTTTAAATAGTTTTTCATAAAATATTAAAAGCTAAACGTTACATGGATTAACTCTTTATAAAATGCTACCTTAACAGCTATCAAAACAATTAATTTTATCGAACAGATCCTTGATCTAAACACAACTTGTCCAAACGTTGGAAACACGCGTGTGAAATAAAAAAAGAAAAAGAAAAATAAAAACAAGTGGGAAGAACTTACATAGAGAGAATCTCCAATCATGACAACAAAAGAATGTGGTGAAAGTTTAACATTTATCCATTCACCTTCTTTGGTTTTTACCTCTAACCCATCAACTTGGTTTTGGTATAATATGGTGACGATGTTTTTGTCAGTGTGAGGATGTAGGCCAAGCTTTGTCTCTGTGGTTTGTGGACCCTTATATTTCATCACTCTTAAAAGATAGTTTGTAGAGTTCATATGTTCATCTAAGTATTTCTCAACACCCAAGCTCTCAAGGATCATCCTCCTGACTGTTTGATCCAGTTCTGATACTAGCTCCGAGTATGAAACCACAGTCTTGCTGCCAAAAACAGTTAAACTAGTTAATCAGTATGCAATTAAGTAAGTTAAATGGAAGATTATCAAATTGATGAGATAATTATTAGTTTAATAAGACCCATAGAGGATAGTTTTGCTGTATCGTGAAGTCACAGGCGGATTTAGAATCGATTAAAATTGGGACAAAAGATGCTGATAGGTAGCAACTTTTTGAAATTGTGTTCGATAATATCTTTTCAAGTAGTTTTTAGCTTTTTGACCCGTTAAACAGCTAAATGCTATTCTTTTTATAGTGTTCGGTAATCTAACATTTGAATTAATTTTTAGATATTAAGATAGCGTTTTATAAAAAGTTAATCCATGAACATTTAACTTTTTGATTTTTTTTTTAGTATTTTATGAAAAGCTACCCAAACAGCTAACAGTTAAACATTATTAAAATAACTAACAGCTAATTTTGCTGAACAGACCAAAGTTTTTAGTGTTTTGATTTTATTCAATCAGCTAAACGCTATTAAAAACAACTAACAGCAACCAAAACAATGAATTTTGCTTAAAATGCCCAAAAAATTGTTTAGGGTCCAAAACAAAATTTTTATATTTTCAGAAATAAAAATATAGTTTATATATTTTTAGTAATCATAATATAATTTTTCTGTAAGGAATTTTTTTTGGAAAAAAAAAAATTTTGGGGGTGCGTTGACCCTCAGGTCTTCGTGGTATCACCCCTCGATAAAAGTTACTCCATTTGTAATTAGAGATTATGATTTTCTTTTTTTTTTTTTTTTTTTTTTTTTTTGCTAAGGAATTTTTTGAAAAAAAAAAAATTTTGGGGGTGCGTTGACCCTCAGTCTTCCGTGGTATCACCCCTCGATAAAACGTTACTCCATTTGTAATTAGAGATTATGATTGTCTTTTTTTTTTTTTTTTTTTTTTTTTTTTTTTTTTTTTTCTATTTTTAAAGAGACTATAGAGAGTGTCGGAGAGTAAAAACGCAAACCTAAAAGCGGGATTTCCTTGAGGCCACAAGGTATTGGTCAAGCTATCAACATTTTCAGGCACATCGGCGTCGTCAATGCCCATACTCTCAAATAATGGAGCTTGAGGGTACTGTCCAACATACCCATGAAAAGGTTTCTTGGAGACATTTTTCAATTTGGTCTCCAATGGCAACTCAAAGAGCTCTTCTATCGCACCAACAACGCCCTTTTTAAGGTCAGACGGAACTCTGTTATAAAAGGCCTCAAAGCAACCATATTCTTTTAGTGCTTCGAAAACTTGGGATCGCACTGAATCCCACTCTTCAGTACCTGGTTTTAGGTTTCCCTCAGAGAAGTCTATCACTGGAAGCCTAAGTGGGGTTTCAGATCCCATTACTTAATTTGGATTCTTGATAATTAATTAAGGGGATAAGCAATGAAGAAAAAACTGCTTTTGGTGTTTTGGTTGAGCTTTTGCATGTTTTAGCTAAAGCTAGCTATTTATATTGGCACTAAACTGTGTTAATTTCTAATAAATGATTTTCATAAAAAAGGGTCGTTTTCAAGATTGAGAGATTAGGAACCTGAATTACAATTAGTACGTAATTAACCAATAACTTTGATTTATTAATATTAGAGTTGTCTTTGTCATAACTTAAAAAAAAAAAAAAAAATCATTAGTTTAGACTTTATCATAATTAAATTGACAAGTATTTTTTTTAAAATCTCAAGAATTTTAGTGGGTTTTATATATTCTGTTTAGTAAGATTTGAGAACTAGCATTCTAAAAATAAAATTTTAAACTATATTATATAATAACAATATTCGAATTATTTTTTCGCTATATAAAATGAAAATTATTGGGTATTTGCAGACAAAGGATTACATATGCAGAATCAAAATCTTAATATTCCTTAATAATAAGACGTGTCATTATTTAATAATTAATTCCTTTCTCTTTTAAATTTTGTCATTAGCCTTTTTTTTTTTTATTTTGTTAATTATTGGATGGATGAGTGATTGAGAATATATTTAAAAATATATTAAGAATAAAGTTAATAAGCCAGACAAATGCCTGGTTGATTATAATCTATATTCTTTAGACGACCATTATTGGACGTTTTCCTTAATTATATTAATTTTCCTTAATGTTGCTAATCACATTGAAATTATTAATTCAAATTGAGAGTTACATTTTATATTATTAATATTAGGAGGGGAAATTTTTTATATTAGTAAAATTTAAAATTTGACGTATATCCTTGCATTATGATGAAATTATTTATTTTTATTATTTTTTTATAACAACTGTTAGTACTTAAAAGGTGGCTATTTGGATTTTGACTTTGAGAATGATTTACCTATACTTGGATATGAAATTAATGAATAATAATTTTTTTCTGAAATGAAAGTATTTTTTACCGTTCGCTTGCTAGGAAAAAAAAAAAAAAGTAAAGTCATAATAAAAAATTATTATCATAATTAATTTAATTTATCCGTGAATTCATAAACTAGTTCTAGATAAATTGTATTCTTAATATATATTTAAAAATATATTAAGAATAAAGTTAATAAGGCAGACAAATATCTGGTCTAGATAAGTTGTATTCTTTTTTTTTTTTTTTTTTATATCTGGTCTAGATAAGTTTGTTTATTCTTTTTTTTTTTTTTTTTTTTTTTTTTTTTTTTTTTTCGATTTCTGATCTGATTTCTGGTACCAAAATCTGCAATTACGAATAGAATGGGCCGAGCGCAACGCTCCAGTAGACGAACCGGCTAGCTGTGCCCTGTGGATCTCTACCATATGACGGGCTCAATATCCCGACTCTAGCCTCTAAGAAGTTGAGTTTGCAAAATTAGGGGCATTTACTGGTTTTTTTTGGTAAAATTTGTTTTTAATTCAAATAGTTAATTCTCTCAATTGGTTGTTAATTGAGGCTAATTTGGGTAACATAATACAATGTAACTTTTATAAATTAAAAGCTTTAAAATCATATAAAACCTATAAATTAAAAGAGATGTTAATTAATTCATGAATTAATTAATAATTCATTAACTTATAAAATGTATTTATAATTTAATAAAAATATGTTTAATCAAATAAATATTCATTGTATTTTATCAATGTAATTAATTAACTATGAATTAATTCACTAAAAATAAAATATACATGAAATCAATAAAAGGAAAGTTCTGATTCAAAAAAATAAAAAATAAAAAAAAAAATAAAAGGAAAGTTCAGTGTTTATGTACCTATTTCAAATAATATTGATTATAATTGCATTAGTTTAATTAAATTTATTCCATGAATAATATGTGTGAGTATAATTCAATTGGTTCATTTTATGGACTTTAAAGCTTTTTATTTCTTTTTATTAAATCTCATTTGAAATAATAATAATAAAAAAAAAAAGAAAATTAACAAATCGCACGACTAGTTTATATATTATAAATAGCTAGCATAAATATCAAAAATACATATATGAAAATTAAGAAACTATTTATATAGCTAATATGCAATAATTAAATATGTAGGGGATAGCGATTAATTTGGTACACTCAATATATAAAAAAACACTATCTTGAAGTAATCTTCAATTGTAGTTCTTGTTGCATCTTTGTGAACAATTGTCCACACAAGCTGGCACTTCATCCAAACCTTAAAAAAAAAAAAAAAAAAAAATAAAAAAAAAAAAAAAAAAAAAGCAAATTAATCATAGAATACATTATATATTGTATAATTTTTCAAGCCAAAAATAAAAAAAAATATGGCAAAAAAAAAAAAAAAAAAAAGAGAGAAAATATAAATTACGGAGAGAGATGCCTTGGAGATGAGGGCGGAGCATATCGAAATACAAACCCATAATAATGGAACTATATTATATATCATAGAGCTCGCGCACAGGGTTTTTGTTTTATGAGTATTTCTTGTATTAACGGTATTCGGTGAATGCGGATGTATGGAGGGAGAAAGGAGATGGAGGAGCACTATCCAAAAAAAAAAAAAAAAAAAAAGAGAGAAAAATATAATTACGAGAGAGATCCTTGGAGATGAGGGCGGAGCATTCAGAAGTAGCACAACCAAGAGTGCAAAATTGCAGTTTTTTGTTATGAGTATTTCTTGTATTAACGGTATTCGGTGAATGCGGATGTGGTGGAGAAGGAGATGGAGGAGCATCTATCAGGCAAATGCCAAAGCACTTCATAGGGCAATAAAATTCTCCTTGACATGTAGGAATACAATCTCTAATGCAATTCAAGAACGATACGTGGTCGGTAAACTGGGCTATGGACCGGCTTGCAAGAATCCCAATCGCCAAACACATCACAACGAAGGACAAAGTTTTTCTCTCCATTATTTTCTTGAAATGAAGGTTGCTATACCTCTGTTCTTGGCTAAAAAATGGTGGTTACTGAGGTATTTATATAGCAGGCCGGAGGGTGCAACCCAATCAATTTTCATCCGTACCCAGAAAAAGAAAAAAAAATTTATTTTATCAAAATAGAAATTCAATAAACTGATTACACTACCATAGTAATTAGTTTCCAATTAAGCTTTATTAGGAAGAAAGGATGTAAACATAGAATTAAAAGGAAATAATATAGAAAGAAAAATTTAAATTATAGAGTTAACTACTATAAATGAATTTCTTTTTGACTGAACATAAACGAAATAGAGACTTGAGACGCTCCTTATCAAAACTATGGCAATATTCGGTGAACTAATAATATGAAATAGACGTTGATGGATGATCTTTCTTACTCAGTACGATATCATACATAACAATTAAATGATTCATTGGGCTAAAAGAAAACAGTTTGGTATAGTTTCAAAAAATTTATGATGCGATTCAAGAGCGTTACATGGTGATTAATGTATATTCTGAAGTTGAATATCACTACAAAGAATATGACCTTATGAACGTCCAAATTTATGTCAAGTCGAGTTGAAATTGGATTTCATCTTGACCCGAAATCAGCCAAACTTCTAAATATAATCTGAACTGATAATTTGAAATATATATCAAATAAACTTCCAAAATCTTATAAATTTTTGCTTAAACACTACTTAATAAAAAACCCCCAAAAGTTCAATAAAAAAAATTTAAAAAATATTGACAAATATGTTAGAAATAATACTAAAATTAGTAATAAACGAAAAAATTGTGATGAATTCATCATCTTTTACATATATTTGAATATCCAAATTGCAATAAGGTTAAATTAAAAAAAATATATATATTATAGAAAATATAATATGGAAAATTATCAATTCGTAAACTTTTAGCAATTATACTATGTTTGAAATGAACTAGTAATAGTGTATTGATTATTTAAAATATAATATAGGAAAAACATTAATTGTGCAATGGGAACTAAATGAGAATTATCAATTGGTTTCTTCATTGGTGAGATCTGAATGGGCTATTGCCCACCATGTTTCACGAGGCTAAGGTCCAAACTTCCCTCGGCCCATTAGGGTATTGGGTTTTAATAGCACTCTTAACCAAACATAGATTTTCTTCAAATTGCAATATATTTCTATCAAATGCAGTATGCTCTTCATCGTCTTGGAAATAAATCCAATTTTTAATACATAAAAAAAGATACAAGTATATATATTTTAACTGTAACCAGTATAATTTTTTCTTATTCCAAATTAAAGTTTCATCCATTTTTATTATAATGTCAAAATCATCCATTTCACAGTTGAATCTTGATGAACATTATGACATTATACATATATAGTCAAATATCAAACGCCAAAGTAATCTTTTATGGTGGGAATATCCTTTTGAGAGTTACTGAGTAAATCTTGCTGGAACCGTTGATTGACTTCCATAAAATCAAAAGGCCTATAAAGCAAGGGATTTTGTTCATCAACTACCTCTTCTGGAGCTTTTACTATATATCCAAACTTTGTTGCTGTAAATGTTCCAACTGAGTATCTGTCCTTATTTCCACTCATTGTAACCCTATGTATTGGAGCATATGTTCTACCATTTGTCCATGCCTGCAACTCAGTAATTAATTTTCATCTATCATTATAACAAAATTCTAGCTAGAAGAAAAAGAATCCATGCAATATGAGATTAATCATTAATAACTCACTTGAAAAGTTTCTCCAATTAAGACCAAGAAATTGTTTGGTGAAAGGTTGACATTAATCCAATCTCCATTTACTTTGGACTGAACTTCTAATCCTCCAACCTCATTCTGATACAAAATGGTAATCATGTCTTGATCTATGTGTGGTGCTAATGCAATCTGTGGCTCACCAGGTTCTGGAGCATCATATTTCATGATCCTAAGAGAGGTGGTTGTGGAGTTTATGTGCTCCTCCAAGTACTTTTCAAGACCCAAGCTTTCTAATATCATCGTCCTCATAATTTTCTCCATTCCGAGTACTTGTACAGAGTAGGATTGCATGTTCTTACTGCCAAATTAAAGCAGAGTTGCATATATACAAATCAAACTAACTCGTACGTATTAGTGATAATTAAAATATAAAGTACTGTAACGAACCTGAAACTTGGCTTCCCTTCAGGCCAAAGGGCATCGGTTATTCTTTCAATCTTTTCCAGGTCAATAGGATCAAGAAACCCTAGACTCTCAAATAGTGGTGTGAAAGTTGCTTTTCCAATATAGCCACCATTATGCATGTCTGCAACATTTCTCATTTTGGTCTCTAAAGGCAATGCAAAAAGCTCTTCTATATCTCTTAAGACGGCCTTTGTTAGTTCTGAAGAAATTTTGCTCGAGTTTGCCTTGAAACAACCATACTCTTCTACTGCTTTCTTAACTTGGTATCTTATGAATTCCCATTCCTCAGGATTATTGCTTGGATTATTGAGATCTAACTTAGAGAAATCTATGGTTGGAAGATCAGCACAGGCTTTAGGGCTCATTTTTCTTTTATTTTCTCTCTTCTTTTTTAATTATATTTTTTGACTGAAAATATATAGTGCTGGGAATTGACCCTTTGGCTTATTGCTCGCCTTTTATAGACTTTGGAAAGGTTCTTTGTCCGTAAGAAAACAAATTGATGCGTTACAAAAATCTGCTAACTAATCGATTAGTTACTAAATTTTTAGCATTGGTAAAATAAACTCGCTTCATTTCACATAATCCGAAAAAAAAAAAATTAAAATTTGAGAAAGGATTTGGTAATTATTCCAATTAAAAAATACAGCCTAACTGATATCATGATGACAAGTTACAAATGATATTGAAATTTAGTTAATTTAATGAATTAATACATTTTAAATTAGCCATGATTACTATATTAAAATCAATCATAACTGATCTCTTTGTCATATCGAATCAATTATTGCACGATTTGTCGAAATATTGAAGTTAGTTACTGGCAAGAAAAGAACATTATTATTAAATACTATAGAGAAAAATGTCCATTTGCTGATCGTTTCTATCAACATATTATTTTAATTTGATAAGGTTAGTCATTGTCATGGCTCTGAGCTATCATGAAAACGAAATTATATATTTATAGACTAAAGTCCCCTTCACATCTACTAGTTTATTATCAAATTAGAAGCATAAACAATCATAAGTACATGTATGTGAACACATAATTTGAAATATCAATTGGATTTAAATTATCAAATTAGATATAACATCACAACAAATCATGTAAAAATTTTTATTATCCACAGATAGATTATAAATTTATATAAATGAGGAAAAGAATTCATTTATGGATATTATAATTTACTCCCGAAACTTGAGATGAAATGACATAGATCACTTCTCTCTGTGGGTATAAAGTTCTCGAATTCGAACTTTGGGAAAAGTCCCTTCAAACAATCGGGAGGAAGAGTTTTGTTCGCTTCGTGGGTCTATCTAACACGAATCTAGATTAATTGAACTGGTGGATTTGGCTACTATTAAATAAATACTTAAATCATTTGAATTCAAATTTCAAACAACACCAAAATAAGCCTTTAAAGGGACAAAAACATTTTGCTGACTTTGATTGTTCTTCAGTGCCTGGTGGCGTTGAAGGACATCAAGAATATCAAAAGGCCTATATAATAAGGGATGTTGTTCATCAACTAGCTCTTCTGGGGCTTTTATAGTGTAGCCTGGTTTAAATATTGTGAACAATCCAATTGTGTATCTTTCTTCATCATTTCCTTTCACTGTAACACGATGATATGGAGAGTGCAATCTCCCATTTGTCCATGCCTGAAAATATCAAATACAAAATAAATAAAACCAATTAATCTTTTGGTAATCCCTATTAAAATATCAAATTAGGGTTTTCTTGGAAGTCGAAAGAGAGAGAAGAGACTCACGTGGAAAGATTCTCCAATTAATACGAAAAAATTGTGAGGGGAGAGATTGACACTAATCCATTCACCTGATTTGGTTTGTATCTCTAATCCATCAACTTGATTTTGATATAATATGGTAATGATGCTAGCATCCATGTGAGAGGCTAACGCTAGCTTTGGCTCATTTTCTTTGGCCATTTCATATTTGATTATTCTAATCTTGGATATGCTTGAATCCATGTGCTCGTCCAAGTATTTCTGCATACCCAAACTCTCCAATATCATCCTCCTTATTCTTTCTCCTAATTCTGATATTTGGTTACTGAATGAGTGTATTGCTTTGCTACCAATCAAGTACAAATGTTAATTTTCTTGTCATATATTTAATATATACTCTGTATATTTCAAAATACAAGTTGTTTAAAGTTTTTGCGCAGGAATTAACAAAACAATCAATTCTCCTAAATTATATTAAAATCAAGAGTAATTATGATCAAATTATCATTTATCTCACATCATTATATTTTAGTATCTAATATAAATAAGGGTAAAATTTTAAAAAAATTATTTTTTATCCCTTAAAATATTTAAAACAACTAATATTTTAGGACAAATAATCATCCAAAACAACTTATATTTTGAGACGGATGGAATATTTTCTATATTTTTGCATTTGGGTTGGCATAGAATAATAAACTAGAACTCTGATAAAAATTGAAAACCCTAAATTCAATTTGGTATAATGCAATTTGAAAATTAAAAAGGTCTAATATTTGAAACAATAGATTAATTAAATATACTATAATGACTAATATATAGTATTAATAATGAATGCATATTATAAATTTGGTACTTGAGAGAAAAAATTACAAACCTAAAACTTGATTTTCCCTGTGGCCAAAAGGCATTGGTAAAAGTTTGGACCTTTTCCAAAGAGTTGGGATCATCAATGCCAATGCTTTCACATAGTGGAGTGATAGATGACTTCCCAATGTACCCTCCATTTGGTATCTTTGAAACATTTTGCATTTTTATTTCTAAAGGAAGCTCAAAAAGCTCTTTCATTTCATGGAGAATTTCCTTTTGAAGCTCTAAAGGAACTTTCTTACACAAAGCCTTGAAGCAACCACACTCTTCCATAGCTTTTATAACCTGGGATTTTACCGAGTCCCACGTAGGAGTGCCAGGCTTCATCTCTAACACTGAGAAATCTATTACTGGAATAGTGGGAGAAAGAGGGGCTTCTGTGCCCATTTTTACTATTTGGGTTTGAGATTAATTGTATGTTCATGCATGTTTTTATAGACAAGACCCAAAATTAGTGTATATAGTGGGGGGAAATAGAATTAATAATGTCTAATCCTTAGCCTGATTCACCGAGGAATCTCTTTCTCTCTCACTCTCACATGGTGGAAACATTAGTTTAATTTTCGCTAGCTGTATTTATTTCTTTCTTTCGAAGTCTTTGATTTAAATATTAATCCTCTTTGTCACTTTATCATATTCTTCATGATATTGAGTTGTTGGAGCAATAATTTAAGTTCAAATCTCAATTGGAGCTAATTAATACGAGTAAAAAAAAAGTATTATCTTCAAATATTTGTCTCCTAGTGCAAATTTTCCTGAAAAATTCTCGTAAGATTGAAAAGATGGAGAGCCAATGATATAGAATGATACATGACTGCATAGAATTTTAATTTTAAATAATTAATTAATCAAGCTTTATTGTGGTTAACTTTATTCAAACTCAATCTCAAAATCCTAAAAATAAAGTTTAGTCTTTTTTTTTTTTTTTTTTTTTTCACAAACTCTCACATGGATGTGATTAAACCATTTTAGTTTATTATCATATTTAATAAGTCTTAGTGTTATTAAGGTTTTGCTTATCTTTCAGAAAGTCTATTGATTTAAATAATATATCCTTCTTTTTGTTCACTTTTATCATATTTCTTCATGATAATTGAATATGATTGAGCATATTAATTTAAGTTTCAACCAACTTTCTCAAATTTGGAGCTTAAATATATATACGATGATAGAAATAAATAAACGTATAATATTCATATTACATATAATGTGTCCTCTCGCACTAGTGAAATTAAATTCTCTGAGAAAAATTAATCTCAGTAAATGATTGAATACGCACTGGAGAGCTCAAAAATGATATATTGAAATGATACATCGACTTGCATCAGAATTTTAATTTTTTGTATAAATATATTAATTTAATAACAAATAAAGTCTTTATTAGTGTGAAAGTAGATTGAAGTTGTATTACTTTTTATTGTCAATACTCATATATAATATATCTCTAAATATGCTACCAACATGTACCGACAAGAGAACTTTTTAGTCTTTTTTTAATAATAATTATACTTTTTTGTTTGTATTTATCGGCTTAGATAAAATTTTTATTACTTATATGTTGATAAGAAATATGTATATCGAGATCCAGAAATAAAATCTATAAGTTCATAACCCTGATCAAATTTATTATATACTATTTTGTTGGGAACTTATTAGTAACTGTTGCCGAGTTAAGCAAACTAAATATGCAAAACTCAAGGGTCTAACACTGACTCGGGCTCTCCAGCCATACAACTCATGCATTAAATACATTAACCTCAGAGTTGATTATTATAGAGAGGAAAAATGAGAAAAAAAAAATGGTGTTAAAAAAGAACAAAGAGGTATTAGTGTGAGCTTACTAAGATATCATGCTAGAAAATTGGAAACAATTTCTTATTATTTAGTGAAGTCATAGATTCCATATTGTACTTGATTGAGTACTATGTCTAATACACCTAAAAGAAAAATATAAGAGCACTTCGATTGTTAAATTTTGATTGCTCCATTGGATCAAAACGCACCGATTGCCATAGAAAAATTAGGAGTTTAATTTAATTCAACCTTCAAATTGATTCATCCCAGAGATTCAAGTAAACAATTATGTCTTCTAGAGATCACGACCAATACATAGTCTAATAGTTAAAGTGACAGTAAACACGATCTTGGATAATATCAGAACATCAAGTGTTGAAATGCCCCCACTACATTCAATAGCCCTCACAAAGAAAAAAAAAAAAATGAAGCAACACAAAAGAACAAAAATAGAAGAAACAGAAGATTAAAAAGTGAACACATTCATTAATCTAGTAACCAACCGGGTGAGAGTAAAACAATGTAGCTGATTCTCATTCAACAGCCAATACTAAGTCTAACATAAAAAAAAAAAAAAAAAAAAAAAAAAAAAAAGAAAAAAAGAAAAAGTAAACATTATTTAGTACCCGTGGAAGTACATGTAGCTGATCTATTCACACAACTAAGTAAACACCCGCACATTTTATTTATAGAAGCACACAAAATATATATGTGCTTATAATTAATTTAATGTAGCTGGGTATCAAACATCAATACCATAATAAGCTATCAAAGGAATGTAGGAAGGGTTTGGATTAGTTTCATAATGCTCTGCATCCCTTTTGATCAATTTGAGAAATTCAAAATGATCAAATGGCTTATATAGCAAGGGGTTTTGTTCATCCACTAGTTCTTCTGGAGCTTTGATTACAAATCCTGCTTTAAAGGCTGTGAACAATCCTGTTGAATACCTTGGCCTATTTCCTCTCATTATAACACGATGATATGGAGAGTGTGCTCTACCATTTGTCCATGCCTGCAAAAAAAATTCAAAACAACCAAATATTTTACAATATTTAGTTTTAATTAATTAATCGGTCTTTCTAATTTGTTTTATAGCTTATTAGTAACATATATATATGAAAAAGCAAATTATAACTCACATGGAGAGTTTCCCCGATCACCACCATAAAATTATCCGAAGAGGGTTTCACGTCTACCCACTTACCATCTCTTGTTTCTACCTCTAATGCATCAATCTGACTTTGATACAATATGGTCATCACATCTTGGTCCTTGTGAATGTTTAGGGCAACTTCTACCTCACCCTTTTGAGGTATTTCATATTTTTGAACCCTAAGAGCATGAAACACTGAGTTGCAATGCTCATCCAAATACTTCTCAACGCCCAAACTCTCCATCACCATTCTCACTATCATTGTTTCCATTTCTGACATTAGTTTCGCCAAATCATGTACATGTTTGCTGCGGAAGAAAAAAAAAACACCATATAAGGATTACAGAAGTGCAAAAAACTTTATGTGAATGAAGAAATTTATTGAAATAAATATACAAACTTTAAACTTATTTCAAGATTATATAAACAAACCAAAATTCAGGCTTTCCAGGAGGCAAAATGGCATTGATCAATTTCTCAACCTTTTCCAACATAAAAGGATCATCAAATCCAATGCTTTCATATAGCGGTCCGAAAAGAGACTTTCCTACATAACCACCATAGAGGTCGGTGATATGATTAGTAAGCTTTTTAGTTTCTAAAGGCAAATCAAACAGCTCTTTCAATTCATTGAGAATTGAATTTGGAAGGTTTTGAGGAATTTTGTTGAACACAACCCTAAAGCAACCGAACTCTTCCACTGCTTTCCATATTTGGGATCTTGCAGAATCCCATTCTGGAGTCATTGGCTTTAGGTTTGACAAATCTATCTCTGGAACATTAATAGGGTTTTGACCAGAGACCATTTTTTTTTTCTTTCTTTTTCTGGTGAATAACTTAGATATAAAGTTCTTTAAATTAAAACGAAGTTATTTTGTTGATTTGGTTCTGCAATTTTTAGATCTCTTAGCTACTTTATATATAGAGTTTTTGTAAAGATACTCTTCTGAAGAGACAAATGAAAGATCATAGTTTTTCTATTGTATAATGAATATTAATTGTTCTTTTTCTTTCTTTCTTTTTTTTTTTTTTTTTTTTGAAGAGAGACAAATGAAAGCAATCATAGGTTTTCCTATGTCATAATGAAGATTAATTGTTCTTTCTTCTTCTCTTTCTTTTTTTTTTTTTCTTTTTTAAATAATTGCATAATTTTTTTTTTTTTTTTTTTTTTAAATAATGCATAATGGATGCCACAGAAAATCTCACAAATTTTGTTTGTTGTCATGCTATATGTAATCCTAAATATGATAAGATGAAAAGCTTAATTAATTAATCTTTTTGGATTTGATTCTAATTTATGATATAATTATTTTATTTTATATTTTTTTAGCAAATATATATATATATATATATTTGAAATTTTCAGGTCAATTATTATGCTAATCAATATTGTCCTTGGATTTGAATAATTTGATAGAATAAGAAAACCTTGTGATTTAAAATTTAAAGAAAAATAAAACAAAAAAAGATATACTTATCTCCAATAGGATTCAATGCGTCAGGGTTTTGGAATGGACCATTTGGACCACATTTTTTTCAATTATTATGAGCAATATGACGATCTAAAAATTGAAAAAATAACAAAAATGGACCACATTCTGGACTTTTCAACCTGAATGTGACCGTGCCACCCGAGTAAATGAAGAAAAAAAAACGTGTTGATTTTTTTTTTTTTTGTTTGAAAAAAATATAATCTGTTAATAAAATTAATTTTCAAGCATTACAAATAATATATCGCAGGAACATAAATTAGAACCTACTATTATAACCAGTAAGTACACCGATCTCTTATTAAATGAGAGTAAGAATTGGATCTTAAAGTTGGTCTTTTGGTTTGCTACCTTTTATACTTCAACTGCTTTTTTCACAAATTGCTACATATTATCTTTTTATATATATAGTTTTCGATTTAACTTTAATTATTAATTTTTTTTATTCATTTGGAGGCCCTTGAACCCAAATAATACTACAGCCTACATAACAGTATGTAAACACATGTGGCCGAGAAGATTCGAACTCGAAATCTTCCACTCCTTACATAAGTAAAAAGATCAATCGAACCATTGGTAATTATTAAATTTATTATGTTTTGTGGTGAACTCATCGATTGTCACGCCTCGACTTTAATCACCAGAGGAATTGTCCGCTTTGGTGTAGTCCCCGCACGGTTTTGTCCCGCAGGTGAAATGAGAAACTTCCCAGGAGGTCACCCATCCTGAGGCAGGTTCGAAATGGAAACTCTAACCCCAGAGCGGTCACCCAATATAAAAATAATTCTACAGTATATTAGCGAGCCGCACGGTTACCCGCTGGAGTTCTCTCCAAGTCTCTCTAGCCATCTTACACAAAAGGCGTTCTCTACATGATTCAATTTCCCCCTTTTTATATCATTGATTCCGATTACACCATTTCCTGTGTTCCCGCATTCTACTACCTAGCTAGCTTGTCATCCTGGATTGCTTTTACGCGTGGTCGGGATTATTAAATGGAGATTTAAATTTACAAATACTATTATCTAATTTTTTATTCTCAACGGATATATTGATGAATCATTGAATATTCATTGATGTGCACAACAAGATACCTAATAAATCAGTACAATTGCTAGGGAAAGCTAATCTATGTTAACATCCTACACACACAAACTATTATTAAGCCAGGTTAGCATTTATAATGTTCATTAAACAATTAGAAACTACAATTATTGGAATAATTCCTAAACAAGATGTATGAATATGATGCCAAAATAAGTAAATTAATTAAATTCTAATGTTTGAATTTTCCCTCCAGGCATTAAATTATTTCGCATTAGGTATGCATTTCCAACTCTCCAGCCATTACACCAAAAGGCGTCTCTAATGATTAATTTCCCCCTTTTTGATATATGATTCGATTCATTCCTGTGTCCCGCATTCTACTACCCTAGCTAGCTTGTCATCCTAGGATTGCTTTACCGGGTCGGGATATAAATGGAGAATTTAAATTACAAATCTCATTATCTAATTTTTATATTCTTCAAGGATATATGAGAACTCATTGAAATATCATTGATTGTGCCACAACAAAGTACCTAATATAAAATGGTAATTGCTAGGGACAGTATACATATGTACACACACCAAATATTAATTAATTAGTAGCATTTTATATTTCATTAAAATTAAGAAATACAAATTATTGGAATAATTCCTAAACAAGATGATGAATAATGATGCCAAAATAAATAAATAAATTAAATTCTAATGTTTGAATTTTCCATCACCAAGTCATTAAATTGATTTTGGATTAGGTATGATGATATTATGATAAAGATAAATTGTATATATAATTATATTCACTTTCATTATTCCTTCTCTGTGTTTTAGAAATTAGCCATAAAGACATTTTGTGGTCCATTTTGGAGGGAGGAGATTAGAGAGTGTTGGGACCATTTGATTCAAAGCTTTGAAATGGTCATGACCTTCTACATTATTGAAATTTTTATTTGTTTCTTTTAAATAATGAAAAAATGTTTTGGAGTTTGGCCAACTGCTACTTTAATTTGGAAATTAAAATAATATGAAAATTAATATAAAAATTCCTTTTTTTTTTTGGATAAATCAGTCTAAAGAGCATTATACAAAATGAAAATGACATAGAACTAAAGGATTTTCAAATAAAGACAACAAAAGAGCTGGGCAGAAGACATTGAGTCTGCTCAGCAAAAATAGTTATTTTGATAGCTGTTAGCTATTTTAATAGAGTTTTATTATTAGTCGTTTGAGTAGCTCTTCATAAAAAGCTAAAAGCAAACGTTATATAATTTAACTTTTTATAAAACGTTACCTTAACATCTAAAAACTAATTCAGACGCTATATTACTGAAGACTAAAAAATAACGTTTAAAAGATACCTAAAAAGCTATTAGTCGAACATAGTCATTGATTCATTGTACTATTGGCCATTTTTTAAGACCTTAAGAAGTTGCAGGCTTGAGTTTCATTTGTTCTACCAATTATCCACCCCCATGCTCACCAAAAGACATGATTTGATTCATCCATGAAGAAACCAGTCAAAATAAATATTTTTTAAAATTATTTTCACTTTATTTCTTTTTTTTTTTAAATAAATACAATTCTTCCAATTAAAATATTATTTTTTATTAGTTTGATCCGTAAGTAATTTTCCTTATATATATATTTTTTTCAAACTCCAAAAGTTTCTTTTCCAACCATGCTGTAGTGCCAAAATAAGGTAAACGACTATTTAGTCCCCCAAAAGGCAATAATGATGTGATAAAGCATCAAATGTTTTTGGTATGTCTTTTTCTCTATTTGGTCCCCTCATATAGTTACTTACATGAACAAGTTTAAATAAAAGAAAAATGTCATTTTTAGGTCAATTTTCATCAACATAATAATGACATTGCCACATCATTGGTCAATGACTCAATGGTTCTATATTATGTCGCTTAATTATTTTTTGTGCTACACAATTATGTAAGCAAGAAACTTATATATATATATATATATATATATATGATAATGGTCCATTTACATGAAATCATCGTAGTACTGAACTAGTCCAAAATGGAGAAATCTAGAAAGATTTGTGGCCTCTTACCACAAAATTTTCAATATATATTCTCAAAAGGTTAGGCTTTTTTTTTTTCCCTGAAAATTCTTAACAAAACCTTATAATTAAGTTTATTTATTCGAACATTGTGTCTTGTTATAATTACATTTCATTTTCTTTTGATTTATAATTGCATCCTAATTTGTAATTTTGGAATTAATTTTTCCTAAAAGGTTTTCGGAAATTTCTCACTTCAAATGGGCTTTTAATCATTTTAAATATTAAGCAAAATTTTAAGTGTACAGCCAAAAAATTATAAAAATAATTTCTGACAACTTAAAATTAGGTTATTCTTTCATCGGAAATTGTTTATTTAAAATTTTAAAATTTTAATATTTTAAATTAAACATGGTTAAAGACATATATACACAATTAACAAATAGGAATGCTGGTTATCTTAATTTTCTCAGGTTGAGTTAAATATATTGAACGACTTTGATATGTATTTTGACCGTTTATGGTATAGAAATATGCAAAAGAATTTCATCATTTTTGCTTTTATTCTTACAACTCTCTTTCATTTTTCTTTTTTCTTTTTTCTTTTTTTTTTTTTTTGGTTTTTCAGTTTTTATTTATTGAAAATATGAAAAATAATTAAATTTAATCAACGCAATAATAAATGAAAGATATTGTCTTAATTTGAACATAAATTGAAAATCTAGAGTCAATTTGAAGTACAATGTTTCTCCAAATTTGCTTCAAGTGCCGTAAATTTTTTTTTTCTTTTTAAATAACTAAAATGAATAACAAATTTCGGGATTCATGAACTTAGTAAACTTGGAGGGGGAAAAACAAAAGACTCGTTGATATCTATGCACCACAATGTCAAGACTTACTACTAAACCATAGTGATAGATCGAGTTTTTCTTAATCCACAAAATGAAATTAAGCTTTTATTTGTTTTTTATAACGAAAATATATAAAAAGTTGTTTTGATCTATTAGATCAAAGCATCGAACCAATTAAAATTATTGAATCGGATATGCATTTTTATCTAGATTAGGTTGAATGTAAATGAGAAGTCTAATGACTTAGAATAGCACTTGGATAAGATAAATTTTTTCTGAATAATATAATTTAATAAAAATTATTTTTGGTGATAAAAAAAAAGATCGGATATGCATTTGAGGTGTAAATGTTAAAGAAGACATATTCAATCTACTAATAATTAATTAAAACTTAATTAAAACATTAAATGAGAATTAAAAATCCATAATATAGAAACCAAATTTGAAAATTAAGCCACAATTGGCAAATATATATGTAATACAGTTGCCAAATAGTCAAAGACACGCATATAAACTAATTATTAATTTTCTTTTCTACATATTGAAAATTCAGAAACACTCTTAATTAATAATTAAACTCCACAATAGGTTTTGACCATGTTGCTCTCTCCTTTGTTTTGAGCATTATTTGCCACATAAAAATCAAGAAGGCCTTGATGTTCAAATGGCTTATATGCTAATGGGTGTTCTTCATCCACTAGCTCCTCCGGTGGATTAATCAACCCAGTCAAGAATGAAAATAGCCCTAAAGCATATCGAACTTCTTCACCACCCACTGTCACTCTGTGGTAACATGATTTTATTCTGTCATTGCTCCATGCCTGCATTTTCAAGAAAAGCACAAATTATGCGTTGATGGGAAAAACTATTTATGAAAGGGTAACCACGAACCCCGAAACGATATATATATATTTTTTGATAGGCAATTTAATTAAAAAAGAGAAAGAAAGATCAGTGGTGTTAATTAGATCAGAAAAGTTCACTCACCATGCATGCATCACCAGCAACGACTGCGAACGAAGAAAATGAAGAAGGTTCATAAGAAATCCACTCTCCATCTTTTGTTCTTATCTCCAAACCCTTAACATGATTCTGGTGAAGTATAGAGATAAAACTCTTATCTGTATGACCTTTGAAACCAAGATTAGTCTCTGCCTGTGATCTTCTATATTTCAATAAACGTAGAAGATAAGTAGTCGATTTGTTACGAGACTCGCTGTGCTTATCTATTCCATAACTTTCACACAGCATTCTCACCAACAGCTCCTGTAGCTCAGCCACCAGTTTTGCATAGGAGTGAACAGTCTCACTAAAACCCAAAAAAAGATAAAAAAAAAAAAAATAAGGATAATAATGATAATGATAATAATAATGATGATGATAATGATCAAAATACCAGAAATTATCGTTTCCATCAGGCCACATGAGATTAGTGAACTTTTGACACTCATCTTTAATGGTTGCGAATTCTATCCCCAATCCTTCATGAATAGGGAAAGTGGAGATCTTGCCCATGTAGCCATGAGCAGGCTTAGGGTTTACATTTTTCATTTTGATCTCTTGAGGAAGCTGAAACAATTCTTGAAGAGCAGAAAGAACTTGGTTATGAAATTCAATATTAATATTGTATAATACTTCCATACAGCCATATTCTTCAAATGCTTTCCTGATATCATTGCAAGCAGAAAGCCAAGCGCTTGAACCAGGCTTCAGGTTTTCGCTACATAAATCAATAACAGGAATTTTGGACATTGTTTCGGAACCCATTTGTCCAGATTTTGTGGGTTTTTTTCTGGGTGTGTTTCAGTTTAAAATGTTGACAAAAGTCAAATTTATAGAATAGCAGGTTGAGAAGTTAAAAGAGATATAATATTTTATTTATTTTCATACAATTATTTTGAGTGTTCTCTATTATGGAACAACTTAATATACATATTTAAGTTGTCTATCTCAGTGTTAAAATAGATTATTAATTATGTTTGTTGTATCTAAAATTTCCAATTTTTTTTATTTTAGCATAAACATTTTATAATTAAGTATTTGAATTAATAATTTTTATACAATTAAATATGTTTGTCCAAAATTTTCTCATTGAAAAATTAAAATGAATTTATTTATCACATTATTTTACTTTGTTATTTCTCTAGAACATTATCTTTCTTTCTTATTTTTTCTCTTTTTTATTTTAATTTATTTTGAGTCAAAAGAAAATTAAAAGGAATTTTTTAGAGCTTTTTAAAGAAGAGATATAAGACGATAAATTTTAAAAAAAATGAGAAAAAGAGATAATTGAATGGATACTTATGTCTGATATTTTTATTGAATAAAATTGTTCTTTTTAGTTTTTTGACAAAAAAAATCCTGTTATATATATTTAATTGTAATTTTTTTAATAGTTTAGATATTTAATTGCAAGTTTTTTTTCATTCAGACATTAAAATAGAAAAATAATAATTTTTTCATAAATAAAACCTCAATTCTATTAATTTTGACATTTTTTAACTTTTTCCCACTTAGTTGACACAGTTAGAAAATTAAGACAGTATTTAATTATTTTATTTCAACTTTACCCTAATTTAAATATTTCTATCAAACTTTATTTCTCTTAATTATAAAAAATTTGTTAAATAGTAATTTAGTCAATTGCTTTTATTATTTATTTTTTTTTTTAATTTAGACGGTTCTATCGTTTTTGCAATTGTTACGACAAGTTAAAAAAGTGTCAACTTCACATAAGGGAGGTAGTATACTACCTTTTTTTTTTTCTCCTTCCATCAAAATCCAACTCCTGCCTCGATGAGAAAATATTTTTGTGATTATTAATATTTTATAATTTAATTAATTAGTATATCGGACTGGGCATAATATAATATCAGATTGGGTATATATTTTATAATTAAGTTACTATATGCTTTTAAAAAAAAAAATGAAAATTCTGTGTGCTTTTGTGGGGACTAAAGATTATATATGAAACAAAGACAAATCAGAATATATGGTTTCAGCAAGTGTAATATGCTATGGACATGTAGATCACTGATGACGTGGAATGAAGGTCAATTATATAATTATGTTTTAATTAATTGCATTTAAATTATTAATTTGGATGCCTATTGGTTCTGTTCTTGTGGTCCGCTCCAGCGATCACTTTATTTGGTGCACGGACCACTAAATTTTGTTCTCAATGTATGTTTTGATCTAACGACTGAATTTGATTGGTGGGTTTCCTTGTGAATTTAATAATATATCAATTATTAAATTAAATATAAATAACCAATAACTTTTGCTTGCTTTAATCACCGATTATTTTTGAAAAATGTAAGAGTGAACTAAAACCCTAAATTTTTTTTTTGTTTTTTTAAATGTGCAAACTAATTTAAGAGTAGAACCTGATTGACATACTAATAAAATCTATTGGCTTATCTTGAAAGGACTTACCTACTCCTGATATATAGGTCTATTCGTACATTAAATCGTTTAAAAATAAGTTTTTAATTGTAGCAAGAATATTTTTTGACAGTGGTTTTTCGCAAGTATACGAAAATCGCAACAAGTAATATGTAATGAGTAGAGCATCGTCTCTACAGGAATTGTATATCAAGTACCACAATTACGTTGACTTACTATTATTTAAACGGCAATAAAGGGGAATTTTTGTGAGAAATAAATAATTAAAAGTGAACAGAAATAAATCAAGCAACAGTATTTGAAGAAAAAGAAATCAAGGATTTAAAGCTACTAGGGATTTTGATTTCACTTAACTCTATCCAATTTATTTTATTAGTTTGTTAATCAATTTTAATTATTATCTATTTATATCTGGATCTGCGGATAATATAATATCAGATTGGGATATATTTCTATAAGTTACAGTTATCATTGTCTTTTTATAAAAAAGAAATGAAAATTTTCTGTTCTGCTCTTTTTGTTGTGCGACTATAAGCTCTCCTAATATGATCATGGAGACAAATCAAGAAATTATTATATGTATTTCACGCAGTTTGTTAGTATGCGATCGACATGTAGACTCACTGCATGATCGATTGGAAATATGAGCAATAGATAGTCCTTTTTATTATGCAATTGGTTTATAATTAATTTGCAGTTAATCAGATTACTTTTCATTTGTATGCCATTGTTTGTTTTGTGTTCCGCTCCAACACGATCACTTTATTTGGTTGCACGGACACCTAAATTTTGTCTCATGTATGTTTTGGATCCTCAACGACTGAATATGGATTGGTGAAGGTTTCCTTGTGATTTTAATTTTATATATCAATTGACATTAAATTAAATATAATAATACCAATAAACTTTCCTCTAATCACCCTCGCATTATTTTTGAAAAATGTAGACGTCGCAATCTAACGACCTAATTTTTTTTTGTTCTTTTTAAATGTGCTATATTATATTTTTATTATGATTCTTATTTTTCTTTTTTATATTTCTTTTTTATTTATATTTTACCATATCGATATACTAGGTCATATTCGTACATTATATTCTGTTTAATAATATAGTTTTTATTGTAGCATGAATATTCTGTGTTTTGTGTGATGGTAGTACTCGGAAATCGCAACAGTTAGATATGTAAGGTATATTCCGTTCATTCTATTGTTATATCAGAGTCGACTCACATTACGTTGACTTACCTTCATATCTTTAAACGAGGGCAATTTAAAGTGGAATTTTTGTGAAGAACCTTTAAATAATTAAAAGTGAACAGAAATTATATCAGGAGCTAACCTAAGATTGAAGAAAAAGAGATATCAAGGATTTAAGCTTCACTAGCGCGGCATTTTGATTTCATACTATAACTTATCCATTTGATTTTATTGGTTTGATTAAATTCATTCTTTATAAATTATTTCTCAACGTTCGTTCTGGATAAACAACCCTAGAAATCAATAACTAAGCTCTCCGATGTTTTGTTAGCGATATCATTTAATCCAATTCTTACCATTTACCTATCTTTCCAACCAGCGCAATCAAACCATTGAATTTACATATATTACAGTTTAATGCGTTTGTCTTGTGAATTATTACTTTAAGGGTCATAACTTGTCTGACACAACCCCCGATTGCAGTTAAGAACCACTATTAGTTTCCGCATCAATGTTAATTAATTCCTCATGTAATTTAGTTACTTCTTTTCATATTCAAAAACCCTTTTTCCCGATAGTGGATTACAATGTAAATAAATCAATCCAGGAGAGTAACTTTCTGCCTGAAAGCATTAAGGTTGCAATAATAAATCCTTCACTGTTGACCAAAGAAAAAAACAAATCCGTAATCATTACTAAAGTCGAAAAATTGAGAATAAGTACATCATCTCTCAGTATTCAGAATTTAGTTCATCATATAGTAATTACAAAGATACAAACTGCAATGAATACCTTGAAATAACAAAATAGGATCTATGCGCAATCAGGTAATGAAAGATAAAACAAGTCTTAAAGAGTTTAGAAGATAAAAACATACGCGGGCAATAAATCATTTGGTACGCTATTCCCTTAATCTTTTGACACAAGAGTCTTTAAACGCTTAGAAGTTCTTTGAGTGACTAACGAATGAAACCATAGAACCAGCAGTAGTTCAGAGATGGGAGATCTCCTCTGACACATGAATGACCGCGTTCTTTTATATAATAGACTGTGTCTTGACGCAGACAAATTGACTCAATTGGGAGAAAATCTGACTCTGTTTAGGAAATAGAATCATTATTAAGTAAGAAGTCTTTTTGGAAATATGAAACTATTTAGGCTTTGGATTTCTTCTTAATTAGGATTTTTCTATCTTCCTAAATAGGATTAGATCTTGATTTGCACATTAGAAAAATATTTGAGGTGGGCCAATGTAAGTTAATAAAATTGGCTGGCGTTCTCAATTTAGGACAGCACCAAATTCATAGCATGGGAGTGCTGTTTTGCAAGGACGTGCTGGGCATGCTAGAGCCTGAGTTTTATGGATGGTTCAACACAGGCCGTGCTCCGCGACACGTCCAGAAAAGAAACTGTGGCACGAGCGTGCCCCATAGTACGGATAGGGCGTGCTAGGCTCTGACTTTCCAAGATGAAATGCATCACAGGCGTGCTTAAGCGAGTACACCCCTGAGGTCCTTTTAGGCACGGGCGTGCCAGATAGCACGGCTCGGTCGTGCTAAAGTCTGAGTCTCCACTTGATTTTCCTTAAGTTCAGCACGAGCGTGCTAATGTGCACGGGCAGGGCGTGCTAGGGCCTGAGTGTTTTGTTTTATTTTGCTTTTTTCTGTGTCAAATGTAAATTTCTTTAAGATCAAGTGGATTATTTTTTCTTGTTTGATTTTGCCTTTTTTCTGTGTCATAATGTTACAATGTCTTTAATGATCAAAGTGGATCCTAGATTGATTCAGGAAGATTTATTTGCAACAAAGATTAAATAAAACTACATAATATTAATATTAATATTTAATTAAGTTAATTAAAAATTAGACTAATAATGTTCTCATTAAATCTACTATATCTAGAAGATTACTATGAGTACAATAAACACCTATCATTTTCTGACCCAAAAAATAAGATATTGTTTCATTGAATTTTAACTGGTCTAATGTGCACGGGCAGGGCGTGCTAGGGCCTGAGTGTTTTGTTTTATTTTGCTTTTTTCTGTGTCAAATGTAAATTTCTTTAAGATCAAGTGGATTATGATTCAAGGAAATTTTGAACAAAAATATAAATAAAACTAAATAAAAATTAAATAAAGTAATTAAAATTACTAAAATTTCTATTAAAAACTATATTAGAAATACTATGAGAATAACACCTATCATTTTTGACCCCAAAAAAAAAGATATTGTTTATGAATTAACTTGGTATATGAGTAGTTTCATTATAAATTTTTTAAAAAATCATTACAAGCATGAAATTAGTACAACAATATTCATATCAACTGTACAAGTCAATGAGATTAGTCCAATGGATAAATATGTAAATTCTTTTTTTTATCAATTAAAATTTAATTCAAATGGAAGTATTTTAAATAATATTTTTTTAATACATCCATTTATTAAGCCGTAATAAAATGTAATAATATAATGAATTGATACACAATATAATAAGAACAAACCAGTTTAAAATAAATTAAAATGTTGCTCTCAGAACAGAAAGAAATGTAGAAAGAGATAAATGTGATGATGTGGATTAATTTATTTAGGAGTTGTTATTAAGACCCTTTATCCCACCAATAACGATTCTCTCTTTTAATATATAAATAAAAAAACATTTTTAAAACATACTATAATATAACGTTTTTTTTATCGAGGGTGATGTAATATCCAATTTATGATGATTATTTTCTTCTTCTTTTTTCTCTTCCGAAACACGGGTTTCTACACACGGATTGGAGATCAACAATAATTTTAAATTTTAAACTACTTAAACTACTGACGTTAAATAAAATTTAGATTAAGAAATGTATTTTCACTTATTTAAATTTGTGTAGGTTAACAATTATTTATTTTGAATAACAATTAAGTAATTAATAGATAATCCTAATTTTATTCTAAATTGAAGTTAGATTAATTTTAAAAAATGTGCAAGGAAAATCAGGATTTAAAAAATGCCAGCTTCTAAAAGAGAAAGTGGTGATATATAAGTTGTTTAAACCAATGAAGTTATTCACTATCTTTTTACAATCAGAAGATTCAGTTTGCAAAATACTTAAATTCGATTTGATTTAGTAAAGTCGAGCTTAAATTAAAATTAAACTAATAAGTAATTCATAATATCAAATATTTATTTTTTATATAATTTTTATGTTTATTTTATTTATTTTTTAAAGGATATGTATTTCAATACTATATAAATATTGAAAAATAATTTATCTAATCCAAGCTGAATTCAAATTTACTCAAATTATTAGATTTTTATTTTAATAATAGTAAATTAACTCATTTGATTTCCAAAAATTACAATCAAATGAGTCAAAATTAAATGCTATTTACCGAACTTGAGTACACAAATTAAAATTTAATTGAATTTAAGTTAAGTTCTAGAATAAAATTGAGATTGGATTAAGTATTAATAATTATATTTAATCAATTGAAAATATAAATTTAATAATCACAAAATCTCGAATTCAAAGTCTTAATTAAAGTAAAATTAGAAAGAGAAAGAAGTATTCTTCGACTTGCAGCTTATTTGATAATTCATAGAGCAGAACATTAATAATTAATATAACAATACATAATATATAGAGATACAAATTATTTTCATTTTGGTTTTTATTTCAAATACCACAATAGGCCTTAACAGGACACTTGGATTTGTAACCCTCGTCCGTACGATAAAAATAGAGTAATCCAATATGATCCAACGGCTTGTACATCAATGGATGTTCCTCATCTACAAGTTCTTGAGGTACTTGTATTTTTCCACTGTTGAAAGCAAATAGCCCCGTCGAATATCTATCTACCTTCCCATTCATCATCACTCTATGGCTAGGAGACATAATCCTGTCATTGCTCCATGCCTGACCCAAATATATATACATGTATATAATTAATCATGGATATATAAATATATATTTCATACATAAAAAATTCTTTAAAAATAGTTAAAGGGTTATGGTGCTTTGAAACAAATATCGACGGCTAGCTAGTCCAGTAGTCTCTGGATTATTAATTTACCATTAAAGCATCGCCTGCTATGACTACGAACGATGAAGGTGAAAACTCGACCATGATCTTTTCACCATCTCTAGTGTCAACTTCCAAGCCATCAACTTGATTTTGATGAAGTATGGTTGTGAAGCTCTTGTCAGTGTGAGTTATAAACCCTAAATTAGGCTCATCCCCTTTGGGAACTCTATTTTTCAAGAGTCTGAGAAGATAAGTAGTAGACCCAATGTAAGAGTCATGTAACTTTTCCACTCCATAGCTTTCAAATACCATTCTGGTCACCATGTAATCAAGCTCTGCTGCCAACTTTGCATACTCAAAAATAGGCTCACTAGCACAAATTAAAAGAGCAATATGTTACAAGAAATTATAATTTCTGCAAATAACAAAGTTGGTCTAATTTTAATACCTGAAGCGAAGATTTCCATCGGGCCACATGAGTTTTGTGAAACTTAGAAGTGCCTCTAAAGAAGTTGCATTGTCAATGCCCAAGCTTTCATGGAGAGGGATTTTAGGTATCTGTCCAACATAGCCATTTAAGGGTTTTACATATTTGTTCTGCATTTTGGTCTCAGTAGGAAGATCAAACAAGTCTTTCAAGGCACCAAAAACCGAGTTTCGAAGTTCTGGAGATAGTTTGTTGTACTTTACTATAAAACAGCCATACTCTTCAAGAGCTTGCCTAACTTCACTACAGGTTTTGACCCAGAAACTTGAACCAGGCTTCAAGTTTTCTTGAGTGAAGTCCAGGACAGGAAGCTTTGGTGCTAATACAGAACCCATGATATAATTTTGAAAATTTTGGTTTTTTTTTTTTCTCTCTTTTCTCACTTGTATAAATTTCAAGATTTGTTGTTGTTTCTTTATAGAATTATGGAGATGCAGGAGGCTGTGCTTCGGGCTCATGATCAATACAAGACAAAAAAAATGAGAAGATTATCATATAATTACAAGCAAGAAAACATAATGGAAAAAATTAATTAATTAATTAATTAGAATTAGGAGATCAACAATTAAAGAGGTAAATAAAATAAATTCTTATTTATAATCCTACCTGAATTGAATCTTCTTGAAATTTTGGTCAATAAAATGAAAATTTAATCTTTTTTTTCTAATTTGCACACGTATTTTCATACTCGAATCAAAAGTAATACTATATAAATAAAATTTTCTTAACAATGATAATTTCAAAACTTTAAGTTTTATAACATTTCACGTCTCAATACTATATAAATAAAATTTTCTTAACAATGATAATTTCAAAACTTTAAGTTTTATAACATTTCACGTCTCAATACTATATAAATAAAATTTTCTTAACAATGATAATTTCAAAACTTTAAGTTTTATAACATTTCACGTCTCAATACTATATAAATAAAATTTTCTTAACAATGATAATTTCAAAACTTTAAGTTTTATAACATTTCACGTCTCAATACTATATAAATAAAATTTTCTTAACAATGATAATTTCAAAACTTTAAGTTTTATAACATTTCACGTCTCTTATTCTGAACTAGCGTACGAGACAGATTCTGACTTAGTAATCTCCAGTAGTTCTGAGCAATGTTGAACTAAATGTCACAATTGACTTTGCCATGTCGCCATTGGTGAACATTACTATGTGGATTGATATTTGCTCACATCAAACCCATATTTATCGTCTAACTTATCTACAAATACTATATAAATAAAATTTTCTTAACAATGATAATTTCAAAACTTTAAGTTTTATAACATTTCACGTCTCAATACTATATAAATAAAATTTTCTTAACAATGATAATTTCAAAACTTTAAGTTTTATAACATTTCACGTCTCAATACTATATAAATAAAATTTTCTTAACAATGATAATTTCAAAACTTTAAGTTTTATAACATTTCACGTCTCAATACTATATAAATAAAATTTTCTTAACAATGATAATTTCAAAACTTTAAGTTTTATAACATTTCACGTCTCCTCCTGATTCAACCGTTTATAAAACTCATATTAATACGTTTATTCATTTATAAAACTCATATTGCTATGTTTATTCAATAAGGTAGAGAACAAATTTGCTTAGTAATCCATAGTTGAGCATGTAATTAATTCAAATTGATTTGGCATGTGCATTGGAATACATATGATTAATTTGCTACCAATCAAAATTTTCTAATAATATAAAGCATAATACGACTAGAGATTGAGAATCACGTGGTCCATCCATATATTATAGTGCTCTATATGCTTGTCACAAATAAATTTATATATTATAATTAATTATTAGCAAGTTGCATCCCTTAAAGCAATATTATTATTATTATTATTATTATTATTATTATGCTTTCAGTTTCACTGAAAATGACAAATGTAAATCCAATTCTATCTTTTCATTAAACCTACTTATAATTAGAAAATACTAATTTTACAGGACCACTATTTTCCAAACAATTAACCTTCAATTTGTTTGGGATATTATATTTATATGTAGGAAATGTCATTAGACAATAAAATATTATTACAATATATTTGGATATACGAAATGGAACAAAAAATGATAATGCTGAAAATGACAAATGTATTATATATAAATTAAAATTAGGATTAGAGGATCACTTCTTAGCTTCTCTAATGATAAAATTTTGATGGGTCATAATCTGGTTTTGGATCAGAGTGACAGTGTTGTTTATTGGTTTCAAAATCATTTTATAAAGTTAAAATCATAAAATACGAATATTCAACTCTTTGCATTATTAGATGTTATTTTCTCGACAAATGTCGTGTTTGATGGATTTTCTCAATGTAATAAGTTATTGAGTTTTATTAAAAACACAAAAACTGGGACCATTTTATTAAATTTACGTTCTTCATTCTTGTTATTTGAGATTGCTATACTAAAATTATATTGAATTGTTTTACCAATTACTATATGGTTTGATTGGTCTTTTCACGTCTAATGCGGAGAGCGGGAGAACTCGAGATCCTGATATCTGGATCAAGATATTTTGAAAAGCAATAAAACTTTTAAAAAAGAAATTTTAGTTTGACCGTACCGTGCTCTGTCAGTCAATGAAAGCTTCAAATGCTTCAGGATCCTCTATTATTAACTCAACAGTGTTGTTGATTCTGAAGAATCATGCAAGTAAATAACTTGCATAGATATTGTTTTGGTAAAATCTTACCATTCTATAGTTAATACATCACCATAAAATTTATATGAGCAAATACAACAAACTCTTATCTCATCGCTTGTGGAAATTTATCATCATTAAGCCAATGGCAAAAACACATGCAAATAGAACTGCAAACCCAACATTTGCAGCTGCAACCACACCCAGAAAATCATGTCTGAAACCGAAGAGCGTACTCAAAAAATCTTCTACTGCTAGACCAATGTCAAGAACGTCCTTCTTATCTCCATACTGTGATGTAACCAATCCGTACAAGGTCCAAGCAACAGGGCATAACCAGTAATACCATCTCCACCACACAGGAATTCTCTGTATCGGATAAACTATGTTCAAGTCCAAAATAACCTCTCTATTGAAAAAAGAAAGAAAAGAAAAAGTTACAGATAATAGGACTTACGGTTCGAGGGATGACAAATCCTGAGAAAAGGTTCCATAATGCATAAAATGCCGAGGAAATTATGGAAGCTATGTAATAATTAGGTGTTGCAGCTACAGTTGCCATGCCATAAAAGGTGAAGTACAGTAAGGTGAAGTACATATAGAATATGTACCAAAGGAACTTAATCATAGTCCATTCAAATCCCATCATTGAATAAACTATGACACCATAGGAAACTGCTTGTACAAAAATGTACGGCAACTCTATAGCAACCTGCAACAGAAGTTTGGAAATTGGTCAGTGAAGGAAATATGCTTTGATAGAAAGAACATATCCATAAAATATAGTTACCTGAGCAAAGGCATAAGGCACGGCTGAATACATTCCAGCAGCCTTTTCCCTGTAAAAAACTGTTCGCTCCACTGCCACCACAGGTTGTACACCTCCACAATTTTGAACGCCAAGGAAAAGAACAGCAGTATACATAGAACCCATTGCATTTAACAGATCTTGTTCCTTTTCCCTGGAAGATATGCATCAGAAATCTCATTGTCACTGCTAGTTTTCATCAAGATGTTAAAGAGTAGAAAAATAATTCCTATGTAGAATCTTTTGCAGTTGTGACTTACATTTTGGAGCCAAGGTCCCAGAACATTGTACCAAACATCAAGGCAATGACAATTGTGAACAGAAACCTCACAGCAGTATATGATGCATTGCGCCAGTATGACCAGTGTTGTTTCCATAAACAAGCAATGAATTGGACAAAAAATGACTGTGGGTACCTGGTGGGGAAATGGAGGTCCTTTGTACCAGGAACAGGGTTGCTTAGTTGTCTTATAAGGGCCTTGTTTCTCCTGAAACATATGGCATACAAGTATTTAATCAGCTGAAAATTAACAAGGTCCTCATTTATATCATCAAGTACATAACACTACATGTCGATACACGAGTGAAATTGTAGAAGCTTTATGATATTGTAATGCAGGGAAACAGCAACTTATCATGCTGACCGGTATAGTTCCGAATTTTTGTACACATCAGTGAAATCAATTCCCAAAGATCTTTCTTGGGCTGGAGTCGTGATATCTAGCACCCAAGTTGCTGGATTATATCCATCTTTAATCTTGTTAACTCCTAATCCCTACATGAATGAGCATGTGATTAAGCAAGGTGATGTACACCGCTCTAATTTCCAGTTGTCCAACAAACTGTACCTCAAAATAATTGATTAAATCACAAGAATGATGACCCAGTGGACCTGCATATATCACTTGGCCTCCTTGCTTCAATAGAAATAGCTGTGACCAAGAATTATGTAAGAGAACCACCAAGACTTCATTGCAGAAAAGAAAACCAAAGTTTATTATGCGGTTTTTGATTTGCTACTACCTCATCAAAAGATTCAAATATATCAATGCTTGGTTGATGGATGGTGCACACAACTGTTCGTCCAGTATCCACTGTGTTCCTAACTGTTCTCATAACTATGGCAGCAGCTCTTGCATCTAGTCCTGAAGTTGGCTCATCCATAAATATAACGGAGGGGTTTGCCACCAGCTCAACAGCAATTGTTAGCCTCTTGCGCTGTTCAGTGGAGAGACCACTCACACCAGGCAACCCAACTAAAGCTGTCCTCAATGGATTTAGTTCCACAAGTTCCATGACTTCCTCCATGAACAACTGCAACAATTTGTTAGGATAAAAAGAAAATCCAATGCAATCAGGAATTATTATGAGATTTGAATCTTTCAATTAAATTGAATCAAAAGGAAAATGAGACATGAGGCATGATCAAAGTTTGGTTACTGGACACCTTTCTGGCTTCAGTATCAATTTCAGCTGGTAAACGAAGCCAAGCGGAGTAGAGCAAAGACTCGTAGACTGTAACATGTGGAGAGTGGATATCATTTTGCTCACAATACCCAGAGATCCTAGCAAATGTGTCTTGTTTCTTTGGGTATCCAGAAATGGTGATACTACCCTCAATATATCCACCAGTTTTCCTGCCAGCCAGCACATCCATCAGAGTGGTTTTACCAGCACCAGTAACACCCATCAGAGCTGTAAGAACCCCAGGCTGGAAACAACCACTCACATCCGTCAGAAGTCTCAACTTATCTTCTTGAATACCTTGATTTTTCATTTCCTGCAAATTCAAGTTGTTAAAGACTCGGCAACTCATAATTAACAGGTAGCTCTCCTACTTATAAACACATTTACCAGCCCTTGTGATGTATTTCACCTGAGGCATATCTACTGAATACGTAATGTCATGAAACGTAATATAATGTGGATCAAATGGAAGAATCATTCCCTTCTTTCTTTTTGAAACTGCCTGGGTCCTTGCAGATAAGGATCTACAAGAGGCAAAGCTCTTCCTAAATTCATCTTGGTGCTCTGCTTTTCAAATGAATTTAATTGTCAAATGCAATAAGTAGAATGTTTATACATGCAGTATAAGGTGAACATACACCTGTTTTGGGTTTGTGTTGAAATGATAATTCAATGTCTCCTTCAGCTTCATCAATGTCATCATTGCTTTTATAATCTTCTACTTTAACAGCTCCAGGCTTTTCAAATGCTGCAGAACATGTTTCATGATAAAAGTACAAATGCTTCTCCAAAAAGTTTCCAAGGGAAGAAGATAGATTACTTACAGTTGAGATAAGTGAGAGCCAGAGTATAAGCAACATTAAATAATAATGTAAACCCGATCAATGCTCCTATTCCTATCCAGTACCAAAATGCTTCTGTGAAGTAACCACGGGACTTGAGAACCGCAATACCCAGTTTTTCCATGGAATATGGCAGCACCTTTGATATGAAAATTAGTTAAATGTAAGAAGTCATTATCAGAAAAGAAACACAAAAATACTTAGATAGATAATTTTGTAAATTTACATTACTCCAGCTCTTTCCTAGGAATTCATTAACTGCTACTGCATTCTGTCCATACATCATAGGTGAAATCCAGTAACCCCAGATCCACCATTTCTTTACATTCTCTGTGCCATTGAAGAAGTGATGCAAAGAAAGAATTAGAAGACTTACAGCTCAGTTGCTAAAGCAAACGTCATTTGTCATTCACTTGCTAATTACTACTATACCTTGCGACAAGACAAAGCCAGAATTTGCAAAAAGCACAAGCAGTAAAAATGACCCCAATGTGCCAGCCACAATGAGGGTCCTACCAACCACTGCAATCAGTCTAAATAATGCAGAAGCCATCTGATTAATTAGTATGAGTACAAGAAACTGCCTAAAAAACCTGCAGCAAGAACATTACTTTATCAATTGGAACTACACAAACATGGCATAGAAATCTTCAGTTTAATGTAGACTTGCACCTTTCAACATTAGGATCAAACCCCATCATGTAATAAGTGATAATCACCCAAACAGAAACTTCTATGACTGTGATGGGGATCTTGAGAATCCATGTAGGAAGAGCATATGCCCATGCAGGAAAGAACAAGAGATTCCTTTGCTTGAAAAAAACCGGAAGCTTAAAAACAGTCAGGCCAATTTCTGAGAATCCATTAAACATAACCATAACTACAGTAAAGAACAGAGCACCCATGTAAATTCCTCCATCAGTTATTGAATTCCTTGGCATTTCAGTTCGTAAGAAGACTGTTGATCCGATCAACGCCATCAACATAAGCTAATAACGGAAGCAAAACATAATAAAATCAAGCTAAGAAGATTGAGTTCAAAAATCAAAATGGAGAGAAAATGTGCTTACTTGAAAGAGCTTGAAGAAGTATACAAATGAGTTTCTCTTCATCAATAACAATTCTCTCGACCAGCAAGCTTTAAATAGTTCCTTCTTGCTGGTTCCATATTTATCAGTCGTGAAGAGATCAGGATGGCTCTTGCTTTTATCAAATTGAGTCGCCAGTTCGTCTCCTAGTTTCTTTCCAACATGAAAGGATTGAAATGCCTCAGCAAATTCCCTCACTGAGACATAACTGTAGGGTTTATCTCTATGCGCCCAGTACTGCTTTTGATCTGTCTTTGATATGACCTGCAACAAATTAACTATTCTCACGACAACATCACTATAAGATATCTTTCCATGAAAAAGTTCCTTGTTTTCCTTTTAATACATAAACATCAACAAAAGAATTAAAAATTAACCTACTTCTTGCAAAAAGTCAGCCACTGCTTTCCTTTCAGGACATTTGAAGTCCATTGATTCAAAAAACTCAAGAACATCTGCACAGGGACCCTGGTACACAATCTGGCCTTCAGATAGAAGAACAATGTCATCAAAGAGATCATAAGTCTCTGGCGCTGGCTGGAGGAGAGAAACAAATGTAGTTCCATTAAAAATATGAGTCCATTGCTTGAGTGAGTTCACAACTTGAAATGTGGTTGAGCTATCCAAGCCAGTAGATATCTCATCCATGAACAGAACCTTTGCAGAACCAACCACCATCTCCCCTAAAATATAAATAACTAACATAGTGTTTCATACATAATGTGAAGCAAGGAACTTGACAATAATCAAAAGATCAACTTGTTTACCTGTGGTCACGCGCTTCCTTTGACCTCCAGAAATACCCCTGAATATTTCATTCCCCACCATAATATCAGCACAAATTTCCAGTCCCAAAACCTGCAAATCAAACAAAAAGTATTATAACCAAGGAATTGCTACCAATTTTTTCTAAAGATATAAAGAATTGCATATGGTGATTTTACCTTGAGAATATAATCAGTGATCACATTTGTCTCTTGGCCATCTACTGAAGCAGCCTGAAATACATGAATGTCACAAAGTTAGACATTTAGAGTAAGATTACAAATAATTTAAAGCTCAAAATTTAAGAGAGAAAATATTTTCCAGTAAATATAGCAATCAGTGTACAGGAATTTGTATATAAAATAAAAGAATATAAATTCATAGCAAAAGGAATTCCAGACTGAACGGGAAACGGTATTCTATAAAATAACGAATTTCCACCCCTTCCCTACGAGAATCGAGTTCTGTGAATGACAATAGCTTCTTTCATACCTTCATGAACACATCAATATCAGGATCAGGCTTAATATTTGCTGCTTTCTCTCTTCTCAACAGTTCCGCCAACATCTCTTCCAATTACCAAAATGATAGTAATCAAATTCCTGAGCTATTTTCAAAAAGCTTCTTTCTTAATGATTGCAGAATCTTTACAACTAACCATATCTGCCTCCAACTCCCTGGCATCTTGCAGAGAATGATAAGGTTTCTCTTACAGTCATTTCTGGAATATGTAGGTCATGTTGACTGATGTAGGCAGCAGTTCTTTGGGGCACAAATTCATGCATTTCATGGCCATTGTAAGTCACCCTCCCTGAAAACTGAATGATAATGGATGACAGTGACATAACTTAGAGCAGATGTGTAACAGGATGCAGGAGAAGATATTTTTTTCTAAAAAATAAAAAGGTAAACTGCACCTTTAGATTAGGATTAAGCTTTCCTGCCAAAGCTAACAAGAGTGTAGTCTTCCCAGAACTTGGTGGACCTAAAAGCAACGTCATCCTGGAAATGACAAGTGATCACAACTAAAAAAGGATTCCCAGAGATTTTATTTATTAAGTGAAAAAGATAACACACATCCAAATCTTGATTAGTACGAATAAGCCTTCTTTACCTGCAAGGCTTGATGATTCCAGTCACATCACGAAGGATAGAGACACGTTTCTTTCTAGTAAAGGATAAGTGGAGATAGTTCAATGAATCCTTTTTAAGATCAAATGCCAATTTATAAATTAGGAACTATTTCTCAAAAAAATTAATTAGAGCTTTATCATTTCCGAATAAACAGTAACAGTCAAGATATGGATGTGATCACCTCTAGTATATTTGCGAAGAAGTTAAAAAGTGTTGGCAAAGATCGACTTCCTACATAAGATTCTGCTTCAATATTCAGATGCTCAAATCTGACTTCTAATGTTGGAATTTCAATTCCTACTCTGAGACACATCCAAGAAAAAGAAAACGTATAGCTATGTAGCCATGGATTTAAACAGTAATCATTATCAATTAGTAAGGAATGAGAAGAGCCTTCACCTAGCAAGACGGTTCTTAAGTTTCAACAAAAACTTGTCATTATCGTTGTCACCAACTTCCATCAACCTCTTGATCAAATTTGTCCTTTCTTTGAAACCAAGTTTATGGATATCAATTTCAGTAGACTTGCCTTCTGGTGCGGTGAGTAACCCTTTCTTTAAGCGGTCATAAGTTGGCAGTCTCTCAACAGCTGCCCATTGAAGAGCTTCTTCATCATCATTTTCTCGACAAGAGCTTGAGCAAATTTCCGTGCCATTTTTCCTCCACAATGAAGAACTACTCACTTGATAAAGATCACGACTGCCCATTGCAAGCGCTACAGAACTAGTAGAACTCAAATGAATAACTTTTGCCAACATTCATGCAAAACTTGCATTTGTTGATTTATCATGTTTGACTTTTTGGTTGAGGTCAGAAGTATGAAATAAGGTAACAAATGTTGGATGGTAACTACTTACAATATACTCAACTTCAATGCATTTGTCTGCACAAATTGACAACATTTACTACATAACAATGATACAGTCATGACTAAATATAGATGCAAAGAATTAAAATATTACACTAAAAGTCTTGGCCTTTGGTCTTCCTTCGTTCACTGCCAAATGGTTGGCAGAATTTGGTCAGAAACAGAATTCCAGTTAATAGCCAATTAAAAGATTATTGAAGCATCACAGCTTCTATCAAACTCTCTTTCTAAAGCAAGGTTGGGTGACCTATTACCACGCTAGTTAGAGATTGAACTTCACGGGTGATGGACAGAGAGAATTATGTCATAATGTAGAAGGGATATCAGTAGGGGCATCTAGAATCGGATGGATTTAGAATATTAGCAAATTCTGCCAACTTTCATAGAATTAGATTCAAGTAGAACCAATTCCATGGAATTACAGATATAAAATTTCAAATAAATTTTGGAGGAAGTAGGAGCTTTTAGACAGACATAAACATGCATCATACATATGTATATATGTGTGCGTATGCGTCTCTGATCATCAATGGCGAACCCAAGGTAAGATGTACATTAAAATATTTCACAATCAACAAATATTTTAAATAAAGTCCAGTAAATATCAAGGTACAAGTAAAAACATTAAAGAATTTAAAATTTTGAGGCTCCATTTGGTTAGATTTGCATTTAAATATTTATTTAACTTTTTTATTCAAGTGAAAAAAATCATTAGACGTTAATATAATATCAAATTCAAATACTTTTCAACATGAGTTAGTGACAGTTCACTTAAAGCATATGTATAACAGAAAAATGTTAAAAATTAATTTTCGTTTCTAATTTTATATTTACATGATATTATATAAATTGTTTAATGTATGAAATTCACTTTGGCACAATATAAATTGTTTCTATCTTAGATGGGAAAACCATCTAAGACTAATAAATGCATTCTTCAAAAAATGCCGAGTATTCAAACTTTAGCTCCCTAAAATTCTATCCTATGTCTGCCTATGGTGATTGCACTTACATATGAAAGGGAAGTCATAAGGCTTAAATATTAGGTAGACTAAAATGGTCTATTAATGTAGGTTAGGAAATTAACCCCTGAAGCAAGTTTGGCAACATTAATAAATTCCATATAATAACAGAAATGAAATTGAAAAAGTAAATAAGAAAAGAAATTCTCTTTCAATGCTACCCGTATGGAACTTCACCACCCAATTCTAGCTTTCAACAATATAGGCATATCACATAATGCCGCACAATGCATCGTTCAGGCATTTCATCAAGCATGTTACACGCAACAGTTTGTAGCCTCTGAACCTAACCAAAGCGCAAAGGTGGACAATTGGCGATGCAAGTATTCAAAGTTGCCATCTATTCGCAGTCCCTACTCTAATTGGTCAATAAATTTGAGAAAACGAGTCGATTTTATTGTCTTTTGACTAATTAGGCTGTAATTGGGGTTGGACGCAACTGAATCGAACATTAAGACAAGTTAACTATTTGCCGGTTAACGGTTAATTATTTTGTCAGTTTGGTTGTATGGATTTTTTACACTGTCCTTCTACCGAATCAAATTAATTTAAAGTAATTTATTTAAATATAAAATACATTACTAAACTTGTAAGGATGATAATCATTTAATAAATGTTTATTTTCTCATATCATGTGGAAAAAAATAATTAAATTAACATACCAGGATTTTGATTATTTAAAAATTAACTGTGAAATTCATAAATTATAATTTTATTAATACTTTAGTTTTTTCATTCAAAATAAAAAGATTAAAATATTAATTTATATCAAAAAATTCAAAATTAATTTGACGATAATAAAAAGATTAATTGACGGTGGAAAGAGACTATTTTGGACAAAAGAAGCAAAATGTTGACTAAATTATAATTTAAAAATTTTATAATTAGTTCTTGAAAAAAGAAATCCTATAATTTAATAATTAATTTTAATTTTTCCATTTTTTAATCTAGCAAGGCAGGAGTATTAGAAAACCCACTCCAGGATAATCTCTATGAAACGGAAACTTTCCTTTTAATTTGTAAACCACAAGAGAGAAAATTCTCTCTCCTGTAAAAATGGCTTCTTCAAAACTTTTCAGCTGTTGCAGCACTGTCATATATATATATTTTTTTCCTATTTCCATTTCTGAAAGACATTTAACCATTATGACATTACATTAGCTCTTTGGCAGACTTACACAGAAACCAGAGGAAATTATATCATCGTCTCTGGAAATTAAACAACTTTATGGAAATTGCAAAAGCAAACGCAAAAAGCACAGAAAATCCAAACACTACAGTTGCTACTACTCCAAGAAGCTCATGTCTGAAACCAAAATATTCTCTCACAAAATCTTCCACTGTTTCACCTGTTTCAAGTTTCTCTTTGATATCTCCAAATTGTGATGCTACCAGTCCATACAGTGTCCAAGCTACTGGACATATCCAACTGTACCATTTCCACCACTCAGGCATCCGCTGTTATTTAGCATGAATGAAACAACAAAATCAATTATCACAATTATTCCCCATAGAAAATTTTATATATAAATATATATAGATAGACAGATAGAGTGAAGAACTTACAGGCCTTGGAATTATGAACCCAGAAAACAAGTTCCATATTGCATAAAATGCAGAAGAAATTACTGAAGCAATCTGGTGGTTTGGTGATACTGCCACAGCCATCATGCCATAGAAGGTGAAGTATAACAATGTGAAGTACATGAAAAATAAATACCAAAAGAACTTGGAGACGTTCCATTCGAATCCTAGCATTGCATAGACTATAACACCATACACTGCAGCTTGCACAAAGATATATGGAAGTTCAATCGCAACCTGCAACAATTGTAAAAAAACATACATGATGTTCTATTAATAATAATTCTCATAATAATAGTTTATTATTATTGTTTTTTACCTGTCCGAAGGCATATGGCAAGGCAGAATACATTCCGGCTGCTCTTTCTCTGTAAAAAACTGTTCGTTCCACAGCTACCACAGGCTGCACGGATGATGCATTTTGTATGCCAAGGAAGAGAACAGCAGCGTACATTGACCCCATTGCGTTAAAAAGATCTTGCTGCTTTGTCCTATAATTTAAGATGTAACATTATTTTTCCTATTCTGAACATGTATTTTACTCTAGCTAGTAGTTCTTGAGATGTGACTTACATTTTGGAGCCAAGATTCCAGAACACTGTTCCAAAGATTAGGCCTATGAAGGTTGTAAAGAGAAATCTCACTGCAGTGTATGGAGGATTGCACCAATATGATAAATGTTGTTTCCATAAGCATGCCAAGAATTGAGCAAAATACGATCTCGCATACTGGGTAGGGAAATAAAGGTCTTTTGAACCAGGAGCAGGCTTGCTTAAATCCTTAATAAGTTCTTTGTTTCTTCTGCAAAATTTCAACAAATCAGTGTTCTGCTTATTCCTTGTTATAACACATTTGTGGCATCAAAAGATTACCTATACAACTCTGAATTTTTGTATATATCAGCAAAATCAACCCCCAAAGCTACTTCTTGTGCTGCTGTTGTAACTTCCAACATCCAAGTTGCTGGATTATTGCCATCTTTGATTTTGCTGATTCCTTCAATTCCCTAAATATAAAAGTATGTGCATTAATTAGCTGGTTCACATTACTAAAACTTAGGTATGTTTTCTGTATTGTTCGTGATAACATACCTCAAAATACTTGACTAACTGGCAAGAATGATGACCTAGTGGTCCCACATATATCTCTTGTCCACCTCGCTTCAACAGGAATAACTGATATATGCCATTTTAAACTTGTCAAGTAAATAAAAAGTTCACATATGCGAAAGAAAAAATAATGAAGAACTTACATGTTGATTTAACATTTCTCACCTCATCAAAAGTTTCAAATATATCAATGCTAGGCTGATGGATGGTGCATATAACCGTTCTTCCAGTATCTACCGTGTTTCTAACTGTTCTCATGACTATGGCTGCAGCTCTTGCATCTAATCCTGAAGTTGGCTCATCCATAAAAATAATTGACGGGTTTGCTACTAGCTCAACTGCAATTGTTAGACGCTTGCGTTGTTCAGTTGACAGACCATTTACACCCGGCAATCCAACTAAGGCTTGCCTCAATGGATTCAGTTCCACAAGCTCCATGACTTCCTCAACAAACATCTGCACCACGTAAAACTTTTAAGTTTTTATATTTTGAATCTAAAGCTCCAAAATTTTTTCTGTTGCAGATATGTACCTCTCTAGTTTCACTGTCTACTTCAGGAGGTAGACGAAGCCAGGCGGAGAATAGCACTGACTCATAAACAGTAATATGTGGAGAATGGATATCATTTTGCTCACAGTATCCAGAAATTCTAGCAAATGTTTCTTGCTTCTTTGGATACCCAGAAATTTTTATACTTCCTTCAATATATCCCCCAGTTTTTCTACCGGCTAGCACATCCATTAGAGTAGTTTTACCAGCGCCACTAACACCCATGAGAGCTGTTAGAACACCTGGCCTGAAAGCACCACTTACACCCTTTAGGAGTATTAATTTATGTTCATGGACGCCCTCATTTTTTATTTCCTGCAGAGTTCAATCCAAACATAAGTCGTCAAACACTCATATTCTACACTGCATTACATGATCTGCAAAATCTTGTTACCTGAGGCATGTCAACAGAATATGTAATTTCATCGAATGCAATGGAATGTGGTTCAAATGGAAGAACCATTCCTTTTTTCTTCTTGTTGTGTGAAGAGCTGGGTCCAAAGCCTGCATATCAATTAAAGAATTTGATTATTATTTAGAGGGAAAGAATTAAATGACTTGCACATGAAATCACAATTAATGAGAATCGGACCTCTGTTAGTTTGGTTACTAGAGCTACTTCCATGGTTAGTCAAATGAATGTCTTCTGTTCTATCAGTTTCATTGTCTTCAGGTTCTTTTTGTGCAACAGCCTGAGGCTTGTCAAATGCTGCATAACATTATTAATTCACAGAACAGTATAAAAACTAAGCTCTCGCTTCTGGATAACTTGAAAAGTGTGAAGATTTTAACTACCATTCAGAAAAGTGAGAGCCAGAGTGTATAAGAAGTTGAATAGTATTGTGAATCCAAGCAATGCCCCTACTCCTAGCCAGTACCAATATGTTTCAGTGAAGAATCCTCGAGACTTCAAAACTTGAACTCCCAATGTTTCTGTTGAGTTTTGGGGAACCTTTGAATTTGACAAAGAAAGCAAACTCAGAGTTTAGTTGATTATTAAGAGAAAAACAACAAAATTGTAGAAATGAGTAATGTATGAGTTTACATGACTCCAACTATGTCCCAGGAACTCATTAACTACAATTGCATTTTGCCCATACATCATCGGAGATATCCAGTAACCCCACAACCACCACTTCTTTATGTTATCTGCAGCATTAAACAAAGAAAAACAAATTGTGCTGACTAAAATTTAAAGTTTGCAAACATATTAACCTTTGCACTAAGCTTATTTTACTAATTATATTTATACCTCGTGACAAGATAAATCCGCCCAAAATGAAAAGCAACAGCAGTATGAATGAGCCAAAGGTGTTAGCTACAGTCATGTTCCTTCCTGTTGCAGCTATGGTTCGGAATAATCCAGAAGCCATCTGATTAACAATTATGAGCAAGAGGTATTGCCTAAACAACCTGTAGAAATATATGAGTAGCGGATATAAAGAACATTTCCTTGTACATCAGCCTTAAAGTGACAACATATGAAACAAAACATTAGTAATAGAAGATACTAAAAATCTTTCTTATTACCTTCCTACATTTGGATCAAACCCAATGACATAGTATGTCGTGAATACCAAAATTGCAACTTCTATGAATGTGATAGGGATTTTAAGGATCCATGTGGGAAGAGCATAAGCCCATGCAGGATAGAATCGGAGTTCTCTTTGCTTGTAGAATACAGGCAGCTTTGCAATGGTCATGGAAATCTCTGCCATGCCATTAAACAATACTAGAATAACAATGAAGAACAAAGCACCTGCATAAATTCCTCCATCTATTACTGAATTTCGATGCATCTCAGTCCGAAGGAAGAGTGTCATTGTAATCAACGCCAGTATTGTCAGCTGATAGCAGAAGGAAAGAAAGATCGGAAATTCGCAATTTTTGTTCAAAACATTTACAAAAAATGATTAGAACAAAGTTAAATACTGTACTCACTTGACAGAACTTGAAAACAAAGACAAATGAGTTCCTCTTCATAAGTAGGAATTCTCTTGAGAAACAAGCTTTAAGTAGCTCCTTCTTATTGACACCATAATTTTTGGTTGTCAAAGCAGCTGGATGGCTCTTGGCCTTTTCAAATGGAGTTGAAAGATCCTGTCCAAGTCTCCTTCCAACATGGAATGACTCAAATGTCTCAGCAAATTCCTTGACAGTGATAAATCTGTAAGGTTCGTCTTTACTTGCCCAATACTGCATCTGATCTTTCCTTGATGTCACCTGCAATTATATTCATTGTAGTTAAACCAAGGTTCAAAACCACAAGTGTCACTGTTCCCATAAAAATTAAATGTAACTGATAAAAGCACAATCTTCTTACTTACTTCTTGCAAGAAGTCTGCTACACCTTTTCTTTCAGGACACCTGAAGCCCATGAATTCAAAAAACTCAAGAACTTGTTCGCGAGGACCCTGGTACACTATTAGGCCATCAGAGAGGAGAATAATGTCATCAAAGAGATCATAAGTCTCTGGTGCTGGCTGAAGGAGAGAAATGAAAGCAGTTCCCTTAAGAATTTGAACATATTGCTTGAGTGAGTTCACAATCTGGTAAGTTGTCGAGCTGTCTAAACCAGTAGAAATCTCATCCATAAACAATGCTAATGCTGGTCCAACTAGCATCTCACCTGAAATTTAGTTATCAAAGATTTTCATGAGGATATTATATATTCCAAATACAAAATGTTTCTTTATGTCAGAAATATACTGGGAAGCTTGTTTACCCGTTGTAACACGCTTCCTTTGTCCACCAGAAATGCCTCTCAACATTTCATCTCCTACCATTGTATCTGCACAGGCTTCCAATCCTAAAACCTATAAAGAAAAGTGAAAAAGGCATTTAGTCAACAAATTGAAGGTCATTGACTTCATACTTTATAGTACTTGCTGTTTATATTATTACCTTCAGAATATAATCTGTTATGACACTAGCCTCTTGACCTTCTGTTGCGGCTGCCTGTAGTAGCAGAAATAAAATAAATAGAAATCAAGCACTACTTTTGCTACTTGTTCTGCCATAATAATTTTTTGCTACCTTGTTGTGCTAGAACATGACAGAAAAAAAAAAAAATTCGAGTTGATGATTTAAACATTTTCAACAAAATTGTAAACCGTTCATTCAGAATAAGATTCGCATAAGAATTTAATTATCTCACCTTCATAAAGGCATCAATATCAGAATCAGGCTTAATATTTGCTGCTTTCTCCCTTCTTGACAGCTCTGCTAACAAATCTGCAGATAAAATTTAAAAAAAAAATAAAAAAGATTTCCCGAGTATTGTTCAGATTATTGTGTATTAATGCATGGAACTTTACCATAACGGGTTCCAACTCCTTGGCATCTTGCAGAGAAAGCCAAGGTTTCCCTTACAGTCATTTCTCCTATATGAAGATCATGTTGACTGATATAGGCAGCAGTTCTTTGGGGTATAAATTCATCCAAGTCATGTCCATTGTAAGTCACTCTCCCTGAAAACTGCAGCAGAAAGCTTAGTTATAAATCAAAATTAAAGAGCTTAAGAAATCTTATACCCTGTTACAAATATGAAACTACAACAATGAATTATCACCTTTAAAGTGGGATCAAGCTTTCCAGCCAAAGCCAACAAGAGTGTGGTCTTACCGGAACTTGGAGGACCCAAAAGCAATGTCATTCTGTTATAAACATAACAAAATAGGAGCATAATTGGAAATGAAAACTTCCTGGAAACCTAAATTAATCAGACACCATTAATTTAAGTTTTACCTTGATGGCTTGATTATACCACTCACATCTTTAAGGATATGCAGGTGTTTCTTTCTGCTTGAAAGAATATGGAAATAATTCAAAATACCCTGAATATTAGAGAATAACAAGTTACGAACTAAATAAAACTAAATAAATCCATAATTTTTTTAAGAAGTCCAGATAATAACTGATGATCAATATTTGCAGTTTGTTACCTCTAGAATATTAACAGAGTAGTTGAAGAATGTAGGCAAAGCTCTGCTCCCTACGTAAGCTTCTGCTTCAATTTTTAGATGCTCAAATCGGACTTCAATTGTGGGAATATCAATTCCAACTCTAGAGAACCGAAAAACAAGTACTTTTAGTATTAAAATCAACAGTAGTGCACAAGCCAACAACAAAAATCAAAATTCATGTTACCTTCCTTTCTTTACAGCCTTTTATCAGCAATTTAACAGAGTTCAAGAAAATGAACAAAAATTAAGAAAAAACAAGTGGAATTCAAAATTTTCACCTGTCAATACGATTCTTGAGCTTCAACAAGAATTTCTCATTATCTTCTTCAGCTACTCTCACCAATCTTTCAAGCAAATTCTTCCTTTCTTGCAATCCAAGAGAGCGTATATCAATCTCACTAGCACCACCAGTCATTGTAGTTAATACACCCTTTCTTAACCTGTCATAGGTAGGCAATCTCTCTATTGCAGCCCATTTCAAATCCTCTTCATCATCTTCTTCTCTTCTAGAAGATGGTGCAAACATTTCTAAACCATTGCTTCTCCTGCTTAAAGAAAAAGTACTGCCTGTTCTGAAACTGTTACTAGCTCTATAAAGATAAGAACTTTCCATTGACAACTAAATCAAGATTGTGATTCTTGCTTCTGGGTCTTTGTTCTTTTTTCTTTGGCAAATTATATTGGTCTTTACACTACAGGTGTTGAAGTGAATATCAAAATTAAATTTTCTTCTATGAGAACAATGAGATGGAAGCTCTCCTGTTTATATAGCAATTGTGGCATGTGATGTGAATGTGCTCGTTTTTTCCATGGTACCGAAAATGATGGGATGATTAAAAAAAAAAACAAAAACAAAAACAAAAACCATCAAATCATATGGGACAATCTCTTTATGCACTTAAAAGGAAAAAATTAATATCAACTAACAAAAATTTCTGTAAATAGGAAGATACTTGCCTCCACCATCCAACTAATAGTTGATTATTATTGTGAAAAATGGTTGTTCTTTATTATTATTATTATTATTATTTATAATAAAAGACATTTGCATCTTTGTTTATGCGAAATTTCCTCATTAAATTTGTAAATCCTTTCTTCTAAAGATAGATGTTCGTTTAAAAGTTCTTACCTACACTATACATATAACTCTTTATGTATGGACCATCTACCTTAAAAGGAAGATAGATACATGCAACTTTTAGTTAAGCAAAACTCACAAAAGAATGCCATTTAGTTTTTTTTTTTTTTTTTAAAGAAAATAGATGTTCGTTTTAAAAAGTTCTTACCATACACAACTATAACTCTTTATGTATGGACCATCTACCTTAAAAAGGAAGGATAGATACATGCAACTTTTAGTTAAGCCAAAACTTCACAAAAGAATGCCATTTAGTTTTTTTTTTTTTTTTAAATAATAAATATGCCCTTTTAATATATAATATACTATTATTATATATATAATATATTATATATATAAAAACATTATATATTTAAATTTCATTATAAAATTTCATTTTACTAGCGTTGTTACATATTTTAAATTGGTGTAGTCAACGATTGTATCAGTTACAAGTACTTTTTTTTTTTTTTTTTTTTTTGAGAATATCAGTTACAAGTACTGATGCATATAATAGTTGCAAATATTAAATTACTGTTAATGTCCAAAAATACAACATTAAAATTGTTTTCTACCTATAAGATTAAATTCTTGAAAATATTAAATTTTTTTTTTTTTTTTTTTTTTTTTTTGAGAATATCAGTTACAAGTACTTGATGCTATAATATTGTTGCAAATATTAAATTATGTATGTCCAAAATACAACATTAAAATTGTTTTCTACCTATAAGAATTTAAATTCTGAAAATATTAAATTATGCAAAAATTTAATACATAAGTAGGACTTTATTGTTTTCCACTTAAGAAAGTTATTTGTCCTCCATTTCCATTTCATTTCAGGAGCTTTAATTATCTTAATAAACCAAATAATTAACTCTTTTAACTTTTAACCAAAATTTCCTAAATCAATAATCTCAATGATGATTCCATGCATATATCCACCCATTAGGCAATCGCATAATGCAATTTAATTTAAGAACAGTACTAATGCATGTGTGGTAAACAAAATGATGCTGATATATATCTTCCCATATTATATTTTCATGTGACTGCATTTGCTGTATATTTATCTTCAATTGGAATGTCTGTGATCATTTACTCTCGTATTCACGGATAAAGATAGAAGTGAGACGGGTATTTTAGGATACCTGCTTCCCTCCGATTCATTTGACAAAAATATGGATAATTATAAATGGGTTTTAGATGGATAAAGATAGTGAAATTACTATCTGTAACGGATACGGCTAGAATATGGGTATTCGACTCTAGTACCCGCTACCAATTACCTATTATAATAGACAGTTTTAGCACCCATGAGTACCCTACCCATTTATTAATAAAAAATGCATTTTAAATAAGTTTGGATTTGAATAGTTTAAAATGGACGGATATCCTATATGTTTATAGAATACATTAAACGAATTCGAATAGAGATACTTAAATGGATATTTAACCGGATTTGAGACATATACGGATAGTAAAATTTTAAAAAAATAAAATTATAGATAGTTCAAAGTTCACGGATAGCCACCCTTTTCATCTCTATGAATAGAGATGAAAAACTCGAATTTAAAACCCCTCTAGTTTCCATATTCTTATACAAAGGAAAAAGACCAACCACATGTCCAACGTTTTCTCTAATATGTCATTGTCAAGATGTCATTGTTGGTTCATTAAATAAGCCTGGCAGATTACAGATAACATTTGACATTGGCACTATAATTTATCTAAAAGACCCTCTAATTTGCCACCCTCAACTAATATTAAAATAGTCGGTTTCTGTTTCTTGGACTATAATCTCCGTCTCATCACTTCCTCCTGCATGGTTGCAGATTTTGTGGACTATAATCTCCACCTCTCATCTATTTTTTTTGCTTTCTTTATTACACATATATAAAACATAAAGAGAGGTATATTCCGCATCTTTTGACTTGAAAATCTTAACTTCCAACAACAAATTCTAAACCTAAAAACCGACTTTGATCTCACCATAGGCAACCACATCATAATTATTTAAGCAATTTTCTTTTTTTTTTTTTCAGTTATTTGGGTATGAAAGAGGTTGCTGTATTGGGTATTTGAAGAAAATTTGAGATGAGAGTTAAAGAGGGAAAGGTCAAAGGTCTGATGCCCTACTTTCCTTATGTATTCCATTGACTTTTCACAGTGGGCATTGAATTTGATCATGCAATGTGAAATCATAAAAAGGGTAATTACTCAAATTGGGCTAATTAGGTTCCAAGTTTTATTACAGTCATGTGTAGTTTATTATTGTGCTATTTTCGCAGTTTGAACTTACCACCTTCAAATCATTGTAGGTAACTTGTCATAAATTTACAGAGAAAAAATAAGAATAATATAAATAATTTACATCGAATACATATATTCACTCATCTACTTTTTAGAAAAAAAACTTAACACTTTAAATTATGTTAGAAATTTATTGTACTCTTAAAATTACAAATTTTAGTAATATCCCGTAGCTTTCTATACTAAAAATAACAATAGCACTATTTAGGGTTTTTTTACTTTTATATTCAATATTAATTTGATATATTATTAGTATCGAATACGTGTTTAAATTATCTAATTTTATAAATTAGAGTATTCAATAAAATTATTTTGGAAAATAAAATATTTAATAGATATAATTTTATAACTTGAAGTATGTTTATAAAGATTGTTATAAAATATTTCACAAAAAGTATACCAATACATTTACGCATTTCGCTAAATAATTCATGAAATAAAATTGCATGCTTCTGTGAGGGATGGATCCTCCTTTTTCGTACATGAGAAATTTTTGAAGGAAATATTTCATGTGTAATTTTTATTCATGTACTTATAATAATTACACATGCATCGCATGGTTAGAAGATTGTTGTGACATAAAACGGAGAAGGTACAATCCCTCACGTATGAAACAAGTTATGGAGGACATAAATGTTTACATTGAAGTATAGACACACATGAAATAAATGTTACATATTCCATGTGTACACATCTGATACGTGGGTGTAATTTAAAAATATATATATATATATATCGTTACTATTTATCATTTTTTTCTCAATAATTAAAAATATTTTAATTACATTAAAAGTTAGATTTTAATTGGTTTAACGCATGAGGTGGATCCATAGATGTAAATGTTTTTCGATTTCATTTCAAATAACTAACTATAACCAAATTTTTCAGGCACAAATGTCTAAGTATAAACCACAACCAACAACTTCAACTTTGGTAGCTCCCGAAATCGTATCTTTTGTGAAAATAATTGAAAATTAGGTAAAAGCATTGTTTGGTACTAAAAGGTGTCCTCCCACTTTTTATTTGTTGGATGGGAGATTAATCTTTTTCATATCATAAATCAATTATGTTAAAAACTCTCTCCAAGATGTCGATTCGATCCTGCAATCATTTGAGTGAGATGAAATTTAATATACTTTAACTCGATCCCGTAATCACTAGAGTGAGACGAAATTTAGTGTGCTGTTAAAGTCAACCAAACTATATTTGGTTGAAAGCATAATTTATTGAGCAAACCAAATCAACCTCTTGTTTAGCAGTATAAATGAATTTGGATTTTAGAATTCATTTATAAATATAGAAATTTAATGCAGATATGTTGAATTTCATAAAATTTTAATTTTTTTAAAAAAATAATATGCATTTTTTTGATTTAAACTAAGCCTGAAAACATGAAATTTCAAGATGAGTTCCATAAAATTTTGAAATTCATTTATTAGCAAACAGAAACTAAGATCATACGGGGATGAGAATTGAGACTCATCTATGAAAATATTCTAAATTCCGTTCTTGAAATAGATGCGTAATGCAAACGATGCAACGAGATAACCAATGGAGTACTTCTCTCTTTGTGCTGGTAAAATAACAAATACTTGCTATAAAAATTTAAAAAAAAAAAAAAAACTAAAGTACGCAGTATTATAAAGTTGCTGCATAAAATGAATGTTCACTGCAGCAAAAAGATTTGGCAACGGCTCATTTCAAGTCCAGCAATAACATGCAAAAATGAATAAATCCACTGAAGAACAATGTATATATTAGAGTATAGACTAGTTTATGCAAAATGTATAATTACTGTGGAAGGACAAACCATCTTTAAATTGCTAACAAATAGCAGGAATGGCTCCAGTTAAACTCAGGAAACTCGTTTTATGGGGTTTACAGAAGACATTGACAAGCAACCATTTAAAACAGAGACAATCAGGCTAGAAACAAAAAAAGTATTCGCTACTTTCTAACCCAATGATAAGAAGCTACAAAGTTAGTGAAGTTTAGTAGTTTACACACTCTACCACTCAGTTATTGTAATAAGGATTTGTTAAATTATTCTTCACCGTCTTGCTCTTTTTCAAGATTGGCTTCCCCATTGGCACCAGAAGCAAGCTCCGCTTCAAAGGACTTCGAAGGCAACCTCTGATACACTCTAGAACCCAGAGGAAGCAACCTATGCTGCCCAATGGTGAGAGATTGACTAAGCTTCTCATAATTCCATCTCTGCTGAATATAGATAACAGCTGCCAGAATAACAGCAGTGGTGGGTATGGCAATGTCTCCAAACTTGGAGTAGAAATCCATATTTGGGTTCACAAATTCATATTCATCAGCAAAGTAGGGATTAGGAATTGGAGCTCTTATGTAATCATAGATGTGAGGAAGAAGTCGGACAACTGTAATCCCAATGAAATAGTGTGCCTTCAGCGGCTTACAATCAATCTGCCACAAAATATTACCAATAACTTGTGGCAGCAAGAAAAAATCTTGGACCAGGCCCACATACTCCTCAAGCTCAGTTTCCCATTGTCGCAGTGTCCGGGAGTTACCAGCCAAATCAACAAATCTCTCCATTCGGACAGGGTTCTGGCTATTTTTTAAGCTATGAATAATGAGAATGGTTACATAACCAATCACATGTATAGTCAATGTAGAAAGGAATACCCACTTATCACTTGGGACACGATGTGGCTCCTGAGGAGATCTTGTAAGTAATCTGATACGAGATTTCCACACCTTTTGGCAGAGTCTTAGTGTCACTAATAGTGAAACCATGACAAGAAGCTTCACTGTGTAATCAATCACATGCACCCACTGATCCTTCTCAAGATCATATGATGAGACATCATAAGATTCAGATGACATTCTCTTGAAGATAGCTTCTGCACCTGTGATCAGTGGATGGCTATATCCAAGAACTTGGACACCAAGCATAACGAGAGATATGAATGGTACGGAATCTGCATCCTGCTTTATGTAGAATAGCTGGCTTAAAATGCAGGCGATTGCAAATGAAAGTGTCAAAATTCGCAGGATCCCCTCAACTCCTCTACGAGAGAGAATGTTTTCTCTTTGCTTCCGGTAAATAATAGGAAGAGATTGGAGTGAAATCGTGTTGAAATGGAGGGGATCATCATCATTGCGATGGCTGGATAAAGATATCCTAGCAGTTGGATTGAATAACCAACTAGATGTAGTAGGTGGATAAGAAACAATCACTTCAATTAAGCAATCCAAACCTGCTTCAAGATCCATGCTATCAAATAAGATGTTCCATGAGGCTCGGACATCCCTGCACCCTACTAGATACATCTTCCCAACACGAGGGTCATAAAGTCCTTCCAGGAAAAGCACAGAAAAGTTGCTATACACATCTCCATTAAGTGTTATTTGAGCTGATACATTCACAAGGAGTTGTTTTTCAGTGTATTCAGCTTTACTGTGGTATGGAGTCTCCTCATCTGCAGAGGAAATATTGTATGGAGACCAGTATCGCCCAAACAAAGGACCAAGTGAGAGAACCTCCAGCTGTAAATCAGTTCTTGTGGGCCGAGAACTAGGAAATGGATCAGGAAATGCAGATGTGTGCAGGGTCAGGTCCTCTGCGAGAAGAGAGAGACTAGTAATGAATGCCTCTGTATCTTCTAGTTTAGGAAACTGTAACAATGATTTCTTTATGACAGTTCGGAAACTGAAGGGCTCATTTTTTTCCAGGATAGTACCAGCTTCCACTATTTTAGAGTAGTTGTAATATGGATGAGAGACTTTGAAATAATTCCAGAGCTCTGTGGGTTGCAATAGCTTTTCAAATGATAAAGGGAAATACAAAGCATTTTTGTCAGTGCTGGAAAAACTTCCAAAGATTATGCTTCTTTGCTTTATGGAAAATGACATAGGAATGTATAAACAAATCCGAGAATCACAGCTACTTCCTTCAGTATCAACTAATCCAAGACAACCAACCATGCAAAGCTGCCCGGAGGAAGACTTCCAAATTCCTTCAGCAGCAACAGTCATGTTGCTTGGCCCAGATCTCATTCCCATAACATACTGATTCTCCACTGGAGGAACAGCTCGAAAGACAGCAGCAACCCTTGCAGAACTGGTATTACCCAGTGCAGGTATCTGCTCACACTTGACATTCTGCATAAAGAGTTCTACACCTTTAAAGCTACCATCAGTTGCCTTAATTTCTTTATCTGACATAAAAGGACCAAACTTGCTGCAAAATTTATCTGAGCTGTTGCACCTCCAATTCGGCACAATGGTGAAAGGTCCAGTTCCTTCTCCTGTAATTTTCCCTAGAATGTCACAAAATCCATTTCCTTTATAGATATCAACACTACTATTCACTACATTATCATGGTATGGATATGGATCACATGCTTTAGAAACAAATTTTTCAGAGCCAAATTCATATTTAGCTGACTTTGATAACTGTGACAAAATGTGAACTTCATCGAAGTACTTGAGATTTGATTTTGAGTTTAAACTTCTCATCTCTCCTCGGATCACCCTATTGGTCAATTTAAATGTCATTGGATAATGAAGAACAAGCAGAATCTGATCATCTTGCAGAAGAGGTGGCTGGTTATAACTCGAGCCGGGACCTTTTGCCCATTCCCATGGATCACTTGATTCAGATTCCCGAGAAGGCAGCATTGTGCTCCCCAACAAACACATTACTCTTTCACCTCCATTCTTCTTAGATTCAGTATATACACCTTGAAAAGCAATTGAAAGCTGGGTATGACCAGGCCATATCTGGAACCGAAGGCTATCCTCATATGGTTTATCCCCAAAAGTATCTAGCGTTATGCCCATGACCAAGAACCCATTAACACTAACAAACTTTTTAGATCGATGAGCATGATCGACATCAGTGACCCAGAAAGATACAAGGTTCATTGGAGTCTGAGCATCTGATAAGTTGCCATTATAAGACTCTCTATCCACATATGGCATTATTGGGGCTTTACCTACATCCTGCCTCCAATCCCCATTGACAAAAAAAATATCATCTTTGATACCATAAACTCTATTATTTTCAGGTTTCAATTCAGTAGCAGAAGATAGAACAAAAGCACAATGTTTCCTTGCCTCATCAATTCTGTCATAACTATGGATCACAGTAGATTCGGCTGCAGCCTCAAAACCAAATTTATTTGGGATATACGAATATGTAAACCCAAATAATAATAACCCACAAAAAGACCAAAAGAGGAAAGCAACATAAACACATCTCATTATCAAAATTCTTATAAATTAAGAATTGTATCAAAATAGCCCAACTGCCTCTACCTAAAAATGACAAAACTCTGAACACCCAATTGCCCAAACACAAATTGGTAAATAAAAATTGTAACTTCAGTACTTACCCACAAAGCTCTAACATATACTTAGCTACATAGCCGCCAAGAAAAGAATATAACTTGAGAATACAGCAACATTAATATAACGATTTGAACATGAACCAATCACAATTTACTGGGGGAGTTGCAAATTCTACTCTTCTGCGCCTTGATATGATTATAAAGGAAAACTCACCCGAAAAGGGATCGTAATAGGCACCTTCTTGTCGAAATATTTGCAAAGCAGAAAACCAGCGGCCAAAATTGGATCAAGAAAGAGAAAGGGGAAAGAGTGAAGTTGAAGAGTGAAGACTAAAAGGTCGTTTGGTGCAAAAGTTACCGGTTTGTCCGAGTGTTCTTGTCTAAGAAGGACTGTTGACGATTTTATAATTTTTTTTTTTTATCCTACGCGTTGTGTAACGCGTGTCAAACAAACAATTGGACCATCAAATTTTAATAAAACGAAAAAATCTGAGAGAAAAATGACAAAATTTAAAAACAAGTATTTTATGAACGCTCGTTTATTTAAAAGAAAAAAATTTTTTTTTTCTTTTGAAAGCAAAAAAATAATTATTATATAAATATAAAATTGGCCTAATAAGTTTTCTTTGATTGGAAAGGCAAAGATGAATATGATTCCTAATATTTTATAGAATACCGGCATTTTAATTTTGTATATACATATTTCTAAAATATTATCTCGTACATTTTATAAAATCTAAAAGTTATGTTACGATTTTATTTTTTAAAAAATATATTTTTTCAATACATGTAACATTCCGTGTCTCATAGTTCTTATTATACTTCTTTCGTGAATATATTAATCAAATTATTACATTAACAATTAAGTCTTGATATAAACCAAATTGAAATATCAATCTTTAACATTTCACTTATACATTGACAATTACTTTAACTATTAGATAAATAATTATAGTTTTATTTAATTAAATAATAATTTAATAATGGATCATTTAATTTTAGTAGAATATTAATGTAAGAGTATATTTTGTGAAAATGACTAATGTAAGGGTATTTTGGATAAAAAAAATAGAGTAAAAATTATAGTATAATTATATTAATCAAATTTTATTTATCTGTGTTTAAGTAAAATTAAGACAATAATTTATAGAATGGATGGAGTAATTATAATAATCATATCTGCATATTTTTATAATCATATTGAACCAGCATTTTATCCAGTGCTCGTGTTGATCCATACATCATAGCTAATAGGCCCAAGTAACTTGTACGATGGCCCGAAACATGAACAATAACCAAACCCCACAGAGGCCCAATTGCCAAAGTCTCGTGCACTAATCATTATACATCAACAGCGGCTGCTTCGCGGGTCTACTTTCCACAGTGTTCGGGTTAATCCAAACTTCAAGTAACTAGAGTAGATTCCCCTTCAGGACAAGATTTATTAGAGCTGCATCTAGAAAATCCAAAACAAGAAATTTCCATGCTTCTCAATTTCAGCAACAGATAAAGGAAAATCCCAGAACCAAAACCCAGCGCAGCACTGGACCCAGTTAAAGAAACAGCAGCACAAACCAACATAACAAATGACTCTTCTTTCGTACCCATATCCCTAGATGCCATAGCCAATTCGATTCCTGCAAACAGCAATAGGACTCCAAGAATCCCAATTGGAAATTGATCCAAAATCCTTACAAATGAATTTCCAAAAACCAATCCAATTACTAATTTCCCTATACCCAAAAATATCACTGATGCACCACTTCTTGCACCAAACCTGTACTGCCCTGCTAATCCACCTGCTCCATGGCAAACTGGCATAGCTCCAAACCAACAACCCACCAAGTTCATAATCCCAACACTAACAGAAACCTTTGTAGCTGACAATTCCTGATCTGGAAACAAATCAGTTGACAATTTACACACAGCAATCACAGAATTCAAAATTGATAATGGAATTTGTGGAATTGCTCCCCTCAAAAACCCAATTTTCCAATCTTCCCATGTAATTTTCAGAATTTGAATTCTTGATGGACCAAATTGAAGATTTTTAATAACTGAAGGATCACGAATGAAACATAACGCCAATCCTAATAAGAATACTATTAGAGCAGAAGGAATTACTGATAGAAGTTTCAATCTTTTACTGACTCGTCGCCGGGACTGAGTCAACGCCTCGTTATTACCATCTTGGCTTGTGTGATTATCTCCGCCAGAGCCAGTGGTCAGAACTAGAAAAATTAAGGCAGAAAGTGCAAGAATTAACCCATCAAGGCCAAGCCAAGAGCGAGGAGAAGTGGATTTGGAAATGACAAAATCTTGATTATAGCGAATGTATTTGATGGCGGAAAAGGCGAAGGAAAGGCCTTGAGATAACTGGACCCCACGAACAACAGGGAGAGGGATAAAATTGTAAAAGAAGGACATAAGACCGGTGGCGCCGAGGATAAGAAGAGTGGCTGCAGTGGTAGCGCCAGCAGTGGCGATTTGTGCTGCGGTGAGATGGGGGAGCTCGGAAACGGCGACGGCCGCGATGGATTTCATCGGCTGGACCGGCATGGGAAGGCCGAAGAGAAGTCCGGTGGAAATGTTGTAAAGGGAAGTGAAGATTAGTGTTGTGGAAAGGTCTAAGTGAGAAACCAAAGTGAGAGTTAGGACTATTGGGATAAAGGTGCCTAGGTCACCCACTGCGCCGGAAAGTTCGGAGGAAAGGGCTGTTTTGAGACGGATGCGGCGGCGCCACCACCTGTTTTGGTGGAGGAGAGGAGTGGTGGAAGAAGGCTCCATTCGTGCGTTTGTGTGGATTTGCAGTGAGGTTAGAATAATGATTCTTTACTCAACCACAGGGACTTCGTATGTATGTTAGGTCTTAATTTTGGGCGTTGCAAATATGTAAGTACCTCATTGGCTTGGCTAAGTAACTAAGTTTGCAAGTAATCATTTTTTTTTTTTTTTTTTTTTTTTTTTTTTTTTTTATTTGGATATATGCATTAGAAACGGACGTGGGAAGTGAAGGTGGTAATCCTTCAGGTGCTCATTGAAAACCAAGTTTTGAATATTTTTTTTTTTTTTTTATTTGGATATATGCATTAGAACGTGACGTGGGAAGTGAGGTGGTAATCCTTCAGGTGCTCATCTGAACCAAGTTTTGAAGACTGCGAGATTGGGCTTAATCCTTCAGGCTATAGATTCTTTAAACTGAGCCCAGACCAAATTTCAAGGCCACTCGTAATCTAAGCTGATTTGTGTGTGGTGGTGGACCCATGAAAATCCAAGCAAAAGGGACTTTTATAGCGACTTCAAATTCAATGCTTGTTCATATTTTGTTCAAATCATAATGATGAACGAAATCATTCTTAATTTAAATTGCCAAAAAAAGACAAAAAGAGAAATAAAATTGGATTCCCCTTTTTAGGACCAACTTAATTTCCACTAATTTAGCTTTTATGCTAACATTGATATATAATTTAATAAATCTTAATTGTTAATTGTTATTGTATAGATATATAATATAGTATAATATATAATTTTAAATTTAATGCCAAGGTTATGTATATAAATGTTTTAAAATATTAATTTATTCTTTAATGACCCTCCCCCATGACTAACATTTACATCCTAGGGCCCATCCTACATTAGCCGTTACACTCCACCGTTTAATTTTGCCAACGTGGCAGTCCTCAATTCAAAATCCCACCAAAACCCTTTTACAATACTACAAAGAATTTGACCGTTGAGCTTCTCTTCTCTGATCTTCCAACTAAACCACAAAAACAAAACACAAGCACTATTCTCTATTTCAAACAATCTCTCTCTGTTTCTCTTTCAAAGCAAGAAGAGAAATCAAGATTCAATAGGCAACAATGGAGGTTGATTTTTCTTTCAAGGAGGAAGATATGGTGGTCGACGACGGAGTTGGGTACCCAAAAGCATATGCAAAGCTGTGTAGAGATCGTGGAGCTGGGACTTACACCCAAGGCCCTCCCTTCACTTTCACTCCAAGCGCATTGCAGCAACATGAGGTAAAGGAACCTTTTGAAATCTGTTAGTTTCTTGGAAAAACTGGAAGAAAGAAAGAGAATTGGAATTGGGTTTTTGGGTTTTTTGTTTATTTTGCTGTTTCGAGTATGTAAACATGAGAATTAGCACAAGTGAGTTAATTTTTTCGTTAGGCATATTTTTTAAATAAAGAGAGGACATAAAACTGAGACAAAAAGAATGAGGAAGTTTTATTGATAACTTGATTCTCCTAGCTTTGTTTCTTCATTCTTCAGTACGATGTAAAATTAGTAGAATGGTATGGATGTTGAATGAAATTCAAGTTGATAAGTCTGAAGCAAGAAATACATCTAGCGTTGCCTGAAATTCAAACTTTTAATTTTAAAATTTCAAATTCAATCATTGGTTTCCAGTGAAATTGATTTTGAGAAGGCAAATTACTGTTAATTCTTATTCTGACCTGCATTTTCTGGCTATGATATGAATAGATATTACTGATAGAATCTATCTTGATGATGGTTTTGTGATAATTTCTTTCCAGATTTTGAAAGCAAAAGAATTAGAGCAGATGTTCCCAATTATTGACCCAAAAGCAAAGCAAACTGCTAGACCCAAGATTTTTGTGGGTCTCTTGTGGAAGCAACTCAGTCATCTAGGGTAACCATTTCAATGCCCCTACAAACACAAGGAATTTTTTGAAATTATGTGATTTCTGATTTTTAATTACTGTTTTTGTTTACAGGAATGCTGGTTTTGATCCTGCAGTAATTAGAGTTGATCCATATGGCAATGTTCTATATTTCCATGCTGATAGGTCTTCTCCTCTTGCTTGGGACATTGACCATTGGTTTCCTTGCCAAAGTAAAAATAACTCAATTCTCTCTCTCTCTCTCTCTCTCTCTCTCTCTCTGTGGGCGAGCTTATGCGTGCTTTAGCATATCTTAAATGTGTGTGGTTTGTTTATTGGAATTGTAGGGGGAGGATTAACAGTTCCAAGTAATCTGAGAATACTGCAATGGCAAGTGTGCAAGAGAAAGCATAACAAGTTAGAGTTTCTTGTTCCATGGTGGGATCTTCAGTTGGGTATTTCAGTGAACCAGTTTTTATCTATATTTGCTTCTTCCAACTCGGATTTCAGGTCGGCCTTTATCAAATCCCTACCTTCTCAAAACATTGACAAATATAAGATAAGTTATATATACTAAAACGTCAAGTTGTATAATTCTGCCAGGCACAGGGCTTTTTCATTTTTGTTTTCGGAAGGTGAAAATGAAGAACTAAATGCTTCACAGACTGTGGATTCACATTCTTTTCCTCAACATTTCATTGAATCAAAGGAGCAACTAGGCCTTGCTCCAGCTGCCCTTGTTGTATCTCGAAAAGAGTCCTATGAGGCTTTGAAATCATTGGATTACAATAGGCAGATAAGGCCACATTCTCCTGCAATCGGTTAGTATGAGAATATTAAACAGTTTGACCTTTTCTTTTTTTTCCATGTTAGCTTTTCCTTTTCTTGTTCATTTTGGATTTCAAAAATAAAATAGATATCTTGTTTTCATTTGTTACATTACTTTAGCTGCTCGAAAAGTAAAGCCTGGATACTTGAAAGAAAATGAGAATCCAGACTTTGTGACAAACCCATACCAAGCCATTGTCATGGCCAGAGATTCTCTGAAGCAAAGAGAAGAAGCTCAGAAGATGCAAGCTGAAATACAAAAAATGGATGATGAAGTTAATGAAATGAGGAGAAAAAATGATGAGGAAAAGCTTGCTATCCAGGACTTAGAGTTGGAACTGATAAAGCGTAGGAGAAGGGCAGAAAAGTGCAGGCGGCTAGCTGAGGCACAATCTTCATATCGGACTATGTTAGAGAAGATGATTAGAGATGCTATGCACCAGTAAGATTATAAAATCTATGAAAAATATTGTTCTCTCTCTTTAGTAACAGAATCAAACAATTAATATCAGAACCCCTTTTTTGTTCAGGAGTGTCATTTACAAGGAACAAGTAAGACTGAACCAGGCTGCATCTAATGCACTGATGGCAAGGCTTGAAGCACAGAAAGCAATTTGTGATGCCTCAGAAAAAGAACTTCACAAGAAATACAAACAAAGAGATGATCTTGAGACACAGATAAGACCTGAATGGGAACATGCAAGGAAGAGAACAAGAATGGATGATATGTTATCTGAAGATAGAGACCACAATAAAGCTATTCTTTTTTTGCCAGGAACCAGGCCAAGAACACCTCTACACAAGGAGCTGAGAGTATTTCTTGAGGAGGAACTAAGAGCATCAGAAGCTGCCATATCTGCCAATGAAGATAGGAAGCATGAAGAAATTGGAGAGGATGTGAAAATGCCTGCAAAAAATATCATGTATGAGAAGGGCCATGATGCTCATAATAAATCCATTGTTGCGTTGGAGAATGGATTCTCAATTGAGCGTGAGCTTCAGGCACTAGAAATAGGTGAAGGGAAAAGAGACAAAATTCAATTCCCAATTATCAGAGAAGTAGAAATAGAAGAAGATGAAGAGAGCAGGAAGCAGCGTGGGAAGGGAAATGTAGAGAGGTGGCTACAAATGCTGCTGGAGAACTCTCAAGATGAAGTAGAACGTGAAAATTCAAATGAACATGAGAAAAGCAGGACAGATGATATAATTACAAAGCTCAACCAAAAGTTCCCACAAAAGGAGGTGAAAAGGCAGCAACAGATAATCCAAGAGAAGGATAAGGGAAAGGAGGTAGAAGAGATTGCTGACATTGAAGAAAGTAACACACTGACAAGGAGAGACAATCTAGATGAGGCCAGTGAAGGGATCAGAAGTAGAAAGAGTATTGAAGGGAAAGAGAGGATAGAGAATGGAAAAGAAAGAGCGGTCACAAGGTCTGAAAGTGCCAGGACCTTGCGGCGTATTCCATCTTCTCCTTTGCTCTTGGGTATGAGAAAGGGAGTGGAATGTATGAGGAAGAAGCCAATGGTAACTAGTGATGATGACAGTAATGAGGATCATAATGAAGGAAACAGCTTCATCAAGTCATCCATCAAAACAATCAAGAAAGCAGTGAAAATATGACATTTCAATTTCTCCATATTGAAGCATTTGTATTGTATCTATACTTTTTCATTTTCCCTTTCTTTTTTTTTCTTTTACCGATTGGTTTTATAGTGTGCAATAGCTGCTGCATAAGCTAAATAATTGTGTGACTTCCATGTATATTTTGTTGTCTTTGATTTTCCTTGGCTTTAAAAGTCAAGCTAGTGTCCATTTCAAATACATATAAATCTTTTCTTCCTGGTTCAAGGTAATTTTGTTTGCATATCCTTACTAGGTCATGCGACACATCTACACTTAAAATTGGCACAAATATAAAATGAATACTTGAAACTGAGGCAACTAATATCACTAAAAGTAAACCGTTGGGAAGTATACAGCATCCATGAATTCGAACTACTTATCATTCACAAAATAGCTTAAAGTCAAACATTTAATTTACAGTGAAGTTACATACTATACATTGTAAGAAGAGAATGAGATTGGAGTTCGAGAAAGTGTACATTGGTATACACCATAGCTACGTATCTGTTTTCCATGTTTTTTTCTGCCTTGACTGGTCTATTCATCTTCCTTTGCATGTAAACACACTTCTGTTTTCAAAGGGACTTGTAAAATATCCATAGCTCAATCCACAAACTTGAGGTTGCCTTTCTGATTTTCAAGTATGGGTTGATATATCATTCAAGTTTCCTTTTTCCTGCCTTGAATGGTCTATTCATCTTCTTTTGCATGTAAACACACTTCTGTTTTCAAGGGGACTTGTAAAATATCCATAGCCCAATCCACACAATTGAGGTTGCCTCTCTGGTTTTCAAGTATGGCTTGATATATCATTCAAGTTTCTTTCAACACAAGCTTACCAATTTTTGACAGTATCTTTATCCCCACAAGACAATACATATGCAACTGCTATATATCCCTAATTGAAATTTATCCCCAGATTTGCTGTATATTCAAATTTCTTTAAGCTTCTTAGTTGTCAATTTTCTCTCCAGAACAAGAACAAGAGCCGTTTTTGAAATGGTGGAACTGCTCTGCATCCCTTACAGAGATCTCCCTGCGAACTGTCTTAGAAATGAAGTCAATGATTCTGTGACAGCATTGGCACATATAGAGATTCTTTGTAACCAATATAGGTGTCCCAGGAGCAGTATTAATTAGGCTAAATGCAATTGCTAGTCTCTCACTGTGCCCACAAAAGATGTCTGCTCTGGAATTTTCAACTTCATCAATAGAACTGTATTCTTGATCATCAAAACCAGCTGCTTTCATTTTCTCATAAAATCCCTCCAATACCACATTTATTTCCCTCATTTGAGGATGGAAATTATCACCGCTAAGGAAAGCATGAACATTTCCCCTTGCTTCCACCCAACTACACCCAGGATCAACAATTAAACCTTCCTCTTTCATTATCCTTCTTACTTCTGCAACTTCATTCCACTTCCCACTGTCAGCATAGAGATTACACAAGAGAATATAATACCCAATACTTTTTGTATCCTCCTTTAAAATATGCTGAGCTGCCAGTTCCCCAAGCTGAACCTGCCGGTGGATCCTACATGCATTTAATAAGGCTCCCCATATGGCTGCATCTGGCTTTAAAGGCATTTTCTCTATTAACTCATGAGCTTCTTTCAACTGTCCTGCACGGCCAAGTAAATCAACCACACAGGCATAATGTTTCAAATTTGGCTCGACAGAATTCAGTTCCATGCTGTTAAAATATTTCAAACCTTCCTCCACCATCCCAGATCTACTGCAAGCGCACAAAAGAGCAATGTATGTGATGTCATCAGGAGTAATTCTAGACTCCATCATTTTGTTGAACAACATGACGGCCATTGCTCCTTGTCCCTGTTGAGCATACCCTTTCATCATAATATTCCAAGCACCAACATCCTTTTCTTGTGAATTAAATTGATTCAATGCAGATCCCATCCTTCCACATCTCACATACATGTCCAAAATTGCATTGGGAAGAAATCCTTCAGATCCTACTCCAGTCTTTAAAGCATAGGCATGTATCTCTTTGCCACACATTAAAGCTCCCGTTCTAGCACATGAAGAGAGCACAGAAATCAAAGTAACAGAATTTGGCTTCAAGTTACGGTTCATTTGTTGAAAGAATGTCAAAGCCTCAAGGCTCCGATTGTTTATACGCAGTCCAACAATAATAGAAGTCCAGGATATCACATTTTTGTGTGGAATGCTTTGGAAAACTTCCAAAGCTTTGTCAATGCGTTTGCACTTTGAATACATATCGATGAGTGAGTTTGCAACAATAACATATGATACTAGTCCAGTCCTGTCAGCAAGCTCATGAAGCTTCATACCCATATCTAATTGCCCTAAGCAAGCGCAGGCAGATACAACACAGGCTATTGTGATCTCATCAGGCACGATACCTTCTGATTCCATAGTTTTGTAAGTTTCCAAGGCCTTATCATGCAGGAAATTGTCCTCGTAGCCCGAAATCATTGCAGTCCATGATACAACATCTTTAGTTTCCATTCTCGAAAACATTCTTTCCGCTTCCTTCCAGTACCCAAGACTTGAGTACATTTCAATCAATGAAGAAAATATTGAAACATCATTTCCATACTCTGTTCTTATCACATACCCATGAATTTCCCTCCCTAACCTATCATCGCCTAGAAGCTCACATGCAGAAATCACACTAGTCATAGTCATCAAATCTGGATCAATCGGAAGCGCAAGCATCTGCAAAAACAACTTTAACCCTTCTATGCACTCCCCATTCTGAAAATACCCTGAAATCATTGCATTCCAAGAAATTCTGTCTCTTTGGGACATTTTGTCAAACACCAAGCGTGCTAAACCCACCTGGCTACATTTTACATACATTGTGATTAAAGCATTTACCACGCTAACATCTGCCTCAAACCCAAATCTAATTACATGACCATGAATCTCCCTTCCCCTAACAAAATCATGTGCCCCACCACAACTTCTCAAAACACAAGGGAAAGTATATATATCAGGCTTAATACCAACCCATAACATCCTATGATACAAACACAAAGCCTCATCAAAAAATCCTGCTTTTGCATACCCACCAACCAAAACATTCCAAGAAAACAAGTCCCTCTCACCCATTCTCCCAAAAACATTCCATGCATTACACAAATCACCAAATCTCACAAACATACTCAAAAGCGCATTTCCAAGCCCAACAGTCAATGGGGCAACCAGAGAATTCAACACAGCTTTGAACACATAATTACCCTCAGCATAAGCTCTCTTGTTCTCACATAACCTAATCAAAGCAATAAAATTTTCCTCTTCGACTGAAAATTTTAATTCTTTCATAGAATTAAAGTGTTTTAGGGCTTGCTCTAAGTTCCCCTCAAGGCATAATTGAAACAAACGCGAATTTGTTGGGTTTTCGGAGGAGATGAAAGTTGCGGTAGTGGTGAATGAGTTTTGGGGAGGTCTCAGTGCAGGGGGAAATTGAGTCCTTTTGGTTTTGAAAGAGAAAGTTAAAGAGTTTTTGACGTTGCGGTTTTGAGGCTTGAGGGAGTTGAGGTTTTGGTAATCTGATTGGAGAGGAATTCGCGGGGTTTTAGCAGAAAGAGCCATCTTTAAGAAACGAATCTCAAAAGCATGCTCTGCAAGAAGGAGGTTTTAGATGAGGTTTAACGGTTAAACGATAAAACCGGGAAATTTTGTAAAAGAAGAAAGATTAAATGAATAGATTAGATAGTACGAAAGAGTAAATGACTTGCCGTTTAGAGCAGCTTTCTTGGTTTGCTCGACCAACATTAGAACAAGTTTATCTGAAAAATAGATCGAAATGGGGAGAAGAATATTAGATTCAAATTAAAACTGTTGGAATGATAAGATTTGAGCATTAGAGTTTAATTGCAGGATTTTAACTTAGCACCACTTTCACTGTTAATTGGATTGGATGAATGCAATCCTAATTAAATAAAAATCTTCTCTAAAAAATTCACAAAATGATGGAAGTATTTTTTTTTTTTCCTCTTTTAAATCACCGCAAACCGAATCAATCCAAATCAAATTAAATTATATTCATAAATTTAATTCAATGGATTATATTCTATAATTTGACTTAATTTAATTTTTTACTAATTGTATTATAAATTTAGTTCAGATGTATCTAATAAAACCATAAACACCCTAAGAAATGTATATTCTGATGGAGCTCAAGTTTATCACCATTGAAGGATTTGATCTCCGTTTAGATAAACATTTCCTAAAAGAGGAATAGAAAATAATGAGATGCAGAGAGTCGCAGTTGCAGAGCTTGGACCTCAAATGAAATGAGTGGTTTAATTGAAGCCGTAGTTTTGCTATGATGTGTGGTAAAAGCTGCATGTGATCGGCAATAGAGGTGTTGATCAAAGCGCTCAAACCGTTTAAACTAATCCAATCAGATTCAAGATCGTGATTTTAAGAACTTAGTGATTCGATTTAATTTAATCTTTAAAATCTAAAAGCTTGACTTTTGATTCGATTTAATATTTCGGTGTCAAAAACCGTTCAAACCGATATATCATTATATATATATAAAGGAGAATCATAGTCATTCTCATGTGTACTTATATGACATCTCCACCAAAGAGAGAGTTTATAAAATTCGAGTATTTAATTTTTAGTTGGCTAGAGAAAATTTGGCTCTTAAAATTAAATTTTATGACTTGTAAATTATAAAATATAATTCCCCTATTTAAGATTGTCTTTATTATTTTCAATATAATATAATTAATGTTGCCTAATTACTATTCCTCTCACCTTAAATTTGTAAAATTACTCAAATATTTTTATATTTTTAATGAAATTAATTAATGATGATTTATGATGATGTCTTTTAAATTTTCACTTTTTTAAAACTTATTTAATTCAATCGATGACGATTTGTGCATCAATCAAGAAAATTTTGTCTATTTTATTTCAGATTTATAATATACAAATATAAACAGATTATTTTAACATTAAGTTCATTATATATTAATATTGCAGGTGAAAAAATTTATTAGTTATATGGGGTAAAGGCAAAAATTAACCAAATATAAATACTTGCAATTAATGTGATTTTTTGCATGTGCCAAATTAATTTGAGATAAAATTTTAACATTAAATTTGTTTTATATTAATATTGCAAGTGAAAAAATGTATTAGTTATATGGATTTTGGATCAGTAAAGATAAAAATTGACAAAAAATAAATATTTACAACTAATTTCATTATTTGCATGTATCTTACTCTAATAAAATGATGACATAGCCATTTTAATTTGAATAAGTTTTTTTGTCTTCTTATTTTCTTCCACATGTTATTTTAAGAATCATGTTTTACTTTATTTAGCATAAAATTTTTTAATTCTGCGTGATAATGTTTAAATTTAAATCATGAAATATTATGCAGGCGTGCGAAACACGAAAAACCGACTATATATATGTGTGTGTTTTAACTACTAAAAAATAAATAATTCAATTCAATTTTTGAATGAAAATTTTCATTACATTACTTAGTTTATATTGGGTCAAACAATAATTTTATTCTAATTAGGTAATTATACAATTATTTTATGAGAAATTTAACTGTTAAAAAATTACGATATATATATATATATATATATGAAAGAAATATATATAAGTACACGTCATGTACAAATTATACATGACTTGGAACTATATTTCTATAATCTTTTTAGTAATAATAAATACAGAAATAAATCAACATTTAAATTCTAAATTAATAAATTATTTCTTAACTAACATATTAATAAATATACATTTTTTTATCATATTCAAAATAAACATATAAAAAAGTTAATTTAACAACTTTGAATAACTACTTAAAATTATACATAGTTTATGCCATTCATATGTATTCTATGTTATTGGTTGTGTTAATCCATTTTTTATGTTTAATATAGTCTTAATCTTCTATTTTCTTATTAACTAGAACGAGAAATTTTCTCTTCTTTCAAATATCCAAATTTCCAAAACATATATGAATTTTTTTTATAGTTTAGTTTAGTTTCAATTTTTTTTCAAACTGCAACTTTATATTGGATTTATTTATTGTTTTAAATCGAATGAAATCGACCTGCAAACAGCTCTACAGGACAAGGCCAATGAACGGAAGAGGAGATCGGGCGGCCATTGGCAGCAGAACTGTTGTACAATGTTAAGCTTTTGGAAGAGGACATTAATGGAGTTTGGAGTTTGTGTGGAAGTGGTTAGGGAAGAACATGTGAAGTTGAAAAGCATTAGTGGGATTTTAGCAGGGAGAGACATATTTATGGTTGATTTAGATTCTGGATTTCCAATTTGAGGCTAACTGCCTTTTGCAAGAGTGTTAATTAATTTGTATGTAAGATTTATTTATTTTCTTTTTGTAACATTAGTTTATAGTTGAGGATGGTGAAGGTTAGGAGATACAATTATCACAGTCAAGCAAAGAAACCTTAAAGAAAATAAAGATAAGAGAAATTCAGAAACCTTCAATACTCCGAAATTATCAAATATTTCCATGACCAACAAAAATAATGCTGAAGTTGAAAGTGTATAACATACATATAAATACAAATATCTTAGTATTATTATTTCATCCTTACATTATTTCCTAAGCATAATTAAAAATACAACAAAACCAACAACATAATTTATTTAATTAGCATGAAAACGTCTTAAAAAAACCAACAAATATCAGTAATTTTCCTTAATTAATCAAATTCAAGACATAGATCTTCTCCACTTATGATGAGGAGTAGGCCTACCTTTAACCAACCTAGTCTTCATGTCCACTGGAGTACTCTGTCTTCCAAACCCAATTTCTACTTCTCCTCCATTATCACCACCACCTTCTTCACCTTTCTCAGCAACAGTATTACCATTTTTCGATGAAGACATAATCCCTAATTTCTTCCATCTAAAAAACCCTTTATTTTTTCTCTCTATCATTCTCTCCATTTGCATTTGCATTGCGAGGCATTGTCCTTGTAGCCTTAGCACATCTTCTTTTAATTTCTTTATTTCCATTTGTTGAGCATTTATTTCACGTTTTGAAATACTTCCACCTGGTTGTTCGAACCCAAGGTTCGGGCTTCTGGTGCCAATAAACGAGCCACTCCAGTCTACGTGTCGACTGAGATTGGATTGCTCTGAAAACAGGACTTGAATTACTGCACGTACTGGCAATCTTTCATTTTGGGCTGCATGGAGTGATGCCTCAGGAGATAGCTTTCTGCTATCAATTAATCTACATATACTTTTCCTTTCTTGCTTTGACGTCCCAGGATGTGCCTAGTACGTATATATCAAGAAACAGTATTTATCATCAGTATGCAATGAATTATACTGTGAAAGTTGTGGTGAATTGTGCTATTCATGACCCAGAAAATAGAGAGGTTAAAGACAAAGTCAACATAAAACAAAAACCTAAACGATGTGTCAATGCAATTCGAAAGGTACAACTGACACTCTCTGTTCTCTCACATGTTGCCATAACCACACAAAGGAAAGGCCAATATGAGGCAGAAATACTCTGGATTAAACCAGATAAAGGGTATTAACGTCCATTTACTTCTGTTCTTCCAGCAACCACCTCAATCCCCACCACCACCAAAGTGAAGAATCTTGAGTTGATGACAACAGAGCCGCTACCACTTACCTCTTGGTCCCAGATTGTGTTCTTTTCTTCTTCCTTTTTGCTTTAATATATTTTTCTAATTGTCTTTTTTCCTCTTACAATATATATATCCCCTAGTAATTAAAGAAAATCGGGAACTTTTTGGATAACAGGAGACCAAAAATAACCACTAACTTAGGCAGAGCTTAGGGTAAGACTGTCATGGAGAAGCCAACTCATATGACTGAGAAAAATTAAAAGAAAAAGTTACTTACTTTGAGATAGGTATCAATGGCTCTGTATAAACCATCATCAGTAGCACGAGCATGGCTAGGAAGAGCAGAAGCAAGATCATCGAATTCTGATAAACTCAAATTAGCATCAACAGCTGCTTCAGCTAAATAGCAATCAACAAGCTTAGCTACTTTAATCAAAGAAGCAGCTCCTGTACTTTTAGCTGCTTCGTCCAAATTAAGAAACCGTTTCACCAACCGAGTCACCAACTCAACATCTAACAAAGTTCCACAAGTGTGACTAAAAGATGGTATCATTAACTCTTTTAATGAAGCTTGATCAAGTTGCCAAGAGATCCTCTTCTCTAGCTCTGCTCTATAAGTTGGTTCTATTCCGACCATGTTCGCCGTCCGGAGAAGCCGTAAAAGGAAGTTACAAGGGATTGCATCTTTCTCCGGCGGTAAAACACTAACTAGGGTTTCGACGAAGAATCTTTTTTTCATCCATGAAGCTGTTACGCTTTCTGGTGATTCCTCGAAATTGGTTAGTCCTCTTTCGCCAGTTTCTGAAGATAATTCTGGTAGCCATTTTGATGCGTAATGAGCTATAATTGAACCGATAAGGTCTGGTCGGACTCCTTTAGCTTTAATTCCGGCCAAGGTCTTAACGAAATAGTCCATGTTGAGAATGCATGCGTCATCATCGAACCAGCATTCAGCTGCAAACTGTGATGGTTTTCCCGGGAAAGTGACGGAATCTGGTTGTGTAGATACTTTTTTCATTTGGGTTGGAGAAGTAGTACTGTAGGTGGAGGAAATGCTGTGGGTCGTGTTTGTGTTTTTATAGAGGTCTTTCATGTTAAAATGTAGCTTTATTAGCATAGCGTGCGTTTGTATACATACGTGTGCTTATATTATATTCCATATATATTTATATTATATATATTGTTAACCTTTTAAATGGTTTATTACTATTATTTTAATTGATTCCTCGTATCCTATAAAGGACACGAGGAGAGTGAAATCTTAATATAAAAGATGTGAAAAAAAAAAAAGCAATAGATTTGAGTTTTCTCCGCGGTAAAAAAAAAAAATTATCATTAAAATTATCATTTTTTATCATTAAATATTTTATAATATATAATTATTTGGTCTTTCAAGTTCGATACAATATGATTATTTTTTTAAGTATCGAAAAATGACTGTTTGGTCTTTCAAGTTTAATACTTTTTTGAGTATTGAGGAAAGATTATTTGGTCTTTCAAGTTTGATATAATATTGTAAAGTTGTATATGTAGTTATTATTAGGTATATATTAGATTAATTATCCCTTAGCGTGCAGTATCACTATTTAGTTCATATTACTTTTACTATTTTCTTCAACAATTAACGGTTGAAATTATTGACTCATCTATATATTGTTTGATAAACCTACTGATTGTATTTTATTATTTAGTTCATGCTTAATGGTTAAATCATATCTTTTTAAATGGAAACACTAAATAGTTTAATAGAACTAAATTTCAAAAGACGAATTAATAATTAAAAATTAAATATTTTTATTATGCCCATGAACCGCTCAAATTGTAATATAATATCATAATATTTGAACTCAACTGTTCAAGTAGGAGTTAGATTCTGAACTACGAAAATTTTTATTATAACTTTGATTGCATACCAAGAAGATAAATGCAGTAAAAAAAAAAAAAAAAGGAAATGAGAGGTTGCAAATGGAAGATTTTTGTTACTTGAAAGTTGATTGGATACATGTGAAGGGTAAGAAGATAAGAGAGAAAGGAGAAGACAAATGTGGTTAATGCAAATATTCCATTCCAAAGGGACATTCTGAGGACAACAAAATTTAATTAATGACACCCAACAAATATCTCTATTCCTCTCTGTCACCATATGCATAAGATATTCCTACTTCTATCGATCCCATAACTTCTCAATGGAGATTCCCATCTACTACAAGTAATAAATAAAATTTAATTTTAAAATTAATGAAATTTCATATTTCATTATGTAATTAATTAGAAAATAAAATTTCTTTTTTCTAAATAATGAAATTAAAATCATATGATGAAATTTATACATTATCAAATAATAACGCAAGCCATAAAATGCGACAATTCTATCACTTGAATTTCATGTATCTAAAAAATAATATCTACATTAGCATTAGCGTCACGTGAAAGTGAAATGTTGAAAAATAGAAAAAGTATAAATATAAAATTTTGATTAGAGTGTTGGAAAAAGATGTGACAGTGTTGTGTTGGTTTTATATCAGGAACAGGAACCGTAAAAATCTTTAACTTGTACGAATGGGCAAAAAGCACACGAAGCATCGCACAAGGATATGAAGGCAATGCGGAAAGGACGACCAGCTACTTGCTCTAACTTTATATTTATGCCACTCACGGGTTTGATTCCAAAAACGAAAGCCATCATTTCTTTTTATGTGATTTGATAATTTTTCTTTGGCATTATATTAAGATTATTCTCTCTTTTTTTTTAATAATTCAATCATTCAATTATTTTTCTCATGTCTTATGTCTATGTTTTCTGATTTATATTATTCAATTTTTCAAGAACTTATATATGAATTAATGGTAACAGTTGACAGCAATAAATTGAAGAAATTACAAAACAAAATCAAAAATGAAAAGAAAAGGAGTGTCGAGGTCTCAAAATCTGTTTGCACAGAAATGTACGAGACGATGGGAAGAAGATGATAAAAAGCTACGGGAAATCAAATTATAACGACTCCAGATACAGTTGTCACGTGAACTCTGGTTTTTTTTTTTTTTTTTTTTTTTTAAATTACAAAAACAAAATCAAAAATGAAAAGAAAAGGAGTGTCGCAGGTTCTCAAAAATCTGTTTGCACCAGGGAAATGTACCGAGACGATGGGAAGAAGATGATAAAAAGCTACGAAAATCAAATTTATTAACCGACTCCAGATACAGTTGTCACGTGAACTCTTGCCGTTTTTTTTTTTTTTTTTTTTTTTTTTTGTCTTTTTGCCTGTAGGTTGCAAGTGGGTCCTGCAACTGTGCCCATCCTTTTGCCGTTTTTTTTTTTTGGGGGTTTTATTGAATGCTGATGGACTCATCTTATCAGCCCCAACAAAATACCACAAGCACCATTCTTCTCTTTGAAATTTAGTAAGACACCGTTTTTTTTTTTTTTTTTTTTTTTGTCTTTTTGCTGTAGGTTGCAAGTGGGTCCTGCAACTGGGCCCATCCTTTTGGTTTTTTTTTTTTTGGGTTTTTTTAATGTGATGGACTCATCTTATCAGCCCAACAAAATACCACAAGACCATCTTCTCTTGGAAATAGTAGACACCGAACACTAACCAGCAAACTACTATTTCCTTTTTCTATTTATTTTTTTATTATTATTTCTAGCATATTATTTTAGTCGGTGCTCTGAAAATTTTTATATTAAAAACTCAATTTTAAAGTAATTTTTTCTGCATTAATTTATCCAAACAATTGATTTTTCATATATGTGATTGAACATCAAGCGGTAACTGAGAGATGAATACAAGTTAAATTCATTTTTATGCAAAAAATCAAACAATAAAGAATTCCCCCATTCCAAAAACCAGGGCAAGCTTCAAATCCAAAAATTGCAGTAACAGCCTAACAAAATGTACAAGGCACGATGATTCCTAGTGATCAACAAACAGTATATTTCAAGCAGTAATTTCCTAGTGATCAATCAAGACTGTCATGAAAAAATCATGTGAAAAAAACAGATTTCTATTAATATCTAACAAATTTAGTTTTACAGGAACCGGAAGTAAAAGAACTAAGCCCATCATCATGGAAAAAGTGGACTTAAAAGAACAGTTGAATGAAAAGAACAGTTGAATCCATACCATCTTTGGCTAATTATTCTTTTCTATAAATAAATCCTACAAGTTGGTGTTTCACCTAATGATGCTTCTCATTTGCTCCACTTATTCTTCCAGCTTGCCCCAGTTCAATGAGGGAAGAGAATATCTTAGACCTTACGAGGGGTTGTTTCAGATGAACTGCTGGTCGAGTCACCCGCTGCTGGATTGAGGGTAGAACCAGTCAGTGATCCATTTCCACTTTCTTCTTGTGACACGACTGGGATCTTAACACTTGCTCTTTCCAATTCCTTCTCAAGCTCTTCTTCACGGCGCAGAGCAGTAAATTGAGTATCCAGAGACTTGGCTGCTGCTAACCATGCAAGCACAATCACCAGAAGAGTTCCTCCGAGGTAAGGAGTTGAATTTGCAAGAGACCCAAAGGTTAAGATCATAAATTGTTGAATCAGAGCTCCTCCAGATTTGCCCAATGGATTGCAGACAACATCAATAGCTGCCTTCCCTTTAACCTACAAGATTGATTGGAGAAGAAAATTGAACAATCGACTCCAAATTCTTTAATTGGTCAACTAAATCACAACTTTGAAGATGACACTTCTCCTTCATCTTATGCCATTATAAGATTTTATTAGTTCTTCCTTTTGAATATCAAGACCCAAAGATTTCCTCAAAAGAAAAAAAAAAGACTCAAAAATGATATAATGTTCACTGAGATAAACTTTTTGAAGTTATAAAAGCATCAACAAAAGTTAAGGGCACAAACCTTGGTCTCCTCGTCCAGAGGAATATAAGCCATCTCTTTACATGGGTCAAACAAGCTGTACTTGGCACTCTTGCTGAAAATGTTTTGCAATGCACCCACATATACAGCAGCAAGAAGAGGAGTCATCCCAAACTGTGCAAGAGCAGGTGCAAGAGGGCCGCCAAATAAAATCAGTGAAAAGAAACCCACTCCTGTAAGCAGCAGGACAGTGGGTGTGATTTTGGCAGCTACTCCCCATCCATACTTGTCAAATATATATTGGCTAAGAAGCATCATTATGAATGTTGCTATTCCAGTGGCTGTTGAAAAGTCGCCCATAAAAGACGAATATTCATTTGGACTAGGGAACTGCAAAATATACAGAAAGGGAGAGTTGGTGAGTAACAGGGCCATAAAAAAAAAAAAATAGGACACAGACATAGGCCAAACTCAGTTTACCTGCGCCTTGAGTTTAGATTTCCAGGTAACCTCAACCAGGTTGATGCTAATACCATATGCAACCACCAAAGTGGCAAGATCTCTAATGTATTTTGAAGACACCAGGAATTTCAAGCTCTCCATTGTACCCATCTTCGGCTTTTCCTGCACAATGATTTTCCAATAATGGTAAACAAATTTGATTACTATTTTATTAATACTGAAACTCCTATTTGCAAGCTCATAAATTGAATCTTATCATTATTTCTTTGCTATTATGATGCGTTGTACTTGTGCACATTATTGAATTGATGTGGCATGTAATTGACCTATGACAGCTTTGATAAAATAATAAAGGATCTTTTGCATATCAATATGGCTGTTGGAATACCACAGAATGAAAATACAGGTTTCTGCATTTAAACTTAGCATTAAGAAAGCCCAAAAAAAAAAAAAAAATTAAAGAAGAATTAGAAGAGAGAAACAATGCTTTGTCAGCCAGTATTAAAAGTGTATGCCCAGAAAGTAGGCAAACCATAATCAGTGTCAAATAAAAAGGTCTAAATAGCTCAATAATTAAAAAAAGTACTTGTCACTTTAAACAAATATTTGCCTCTGGATTTGCCAGTGCTCTAAAACTCTAGCTTCAAATCAACAAGACTGAGCAGCCTAAGTGTATGTATGATTTAGTTTAATGATAAAAAAAAAAAAGAAAAATGCATTAGATTACCTTCTTCTTCTTGCTACGAGTTGGGAGTTCAACCGACCTGTTCACCCACCAGTAAAGGAAACAGATTGCAAGCCCCATCAACACCACAATGCTCATCATCCCTTTGAGGGAGATGGCCCAACCATCAACTCCAGGACCCAAATTTTTTCTCAAATTAGAGAAGTACTTCACTGTTCTGCCTGAGAAAACTAGAGCGATATTTGCCCCAAGTCCAAACAAAGGATAGAATTTTTTAGCTTCATCTACAGTAGTGATCTGCAAAAAACATTCAAATGCTTAGTCACAGGCTCACAGGTTTAATGACCAACAGGCAGACGTCAACCACAGATTATAATTGACAAAAAGAAGGAAAAAAAATATTCAATAACTTCCCCAAAATGGCATATAATCAACAATTCTGGGGATAAATATAGACAACAGAGATCAAGTCAACAGAGAAATGAATATATAAAAGGGAATCACAGTCACAATTCATTTCCATGAATAAAGGAAATGAATCTACATCACTTCAAGTTCATGGAAGCATAACATAAGTAAACCAATTAAGAAGTAAGACTGATAAAAACATTTCAAGAAAAGTAAACTTGCTGCCACAATAACCACACATTTCTATCATACATTAGCCAGAACTAAGGTAGTAGGGAGGGCAAAAATCAAACAATTGTCTAAAACATCTAGCTGAATATCACTGTAAAAAGCGAATTAGCGAGAGGACAATAACATACAGTCATAAAGTTGACAAACACATTCTACATAGTTCTTTAGCCTGTTCTATTGGATATTTAACCCTATTTCAATAGAGGAGGGAATTAGACATGTGACACCGATGTGGCCGCTGCAACATGCTAAGATCAGAAAATTAAACTCCAAACACCTAAAGCAGTAACTTCTAATTAAGCTTTGTTGAAAACCAAATTTACAAGTCCCAAAATAAAAAGGCAATGTTTTTTCACTTCATTGAGATTTAATGGATTAAAACAATAGTAAGTAACCATTCACATATGAAGAATCAAATTGCAGAAATCCTAAATTAAACATTCAACATCAAGCCAGTCATCATTTAAGTTCTCAAACACCCAGCATGCACTGAATTATTAACAAATTTCATAACCTTCAAATCTCCATTTGATTTTTTTTTTTTTTCCAGCGAGATGAACGTAATTCTTTGTAATCAAATAAAAGAACCATCAAAAATTGAGAAAATTATAAATTAAAATCCCACAAGAAAAAGGATTAGTCACACATAAAATCATATGAAAGAGAATTGAATCAACTATATGACTATATTACACAATAAATCAATCAGCTTCAAGTAATAATTTGGTCAAAATAAGCGGCAGTCCTATACAGCCAACAACATATATTAAAGTATAGAAAATAAAAATTCTAATTAGTAATAGGTAACACGATATATTTTCAATATTATTTGTGCGTATATGCGAAAAAAAAAATACAAAATCTGATACCAGAATCAGATCAACATCTAAAACCATGATGAATGAGAATCAAGCAAATAAATCCTGAACAAAATCCATATCAAATTATATTATACCTGATTGGCAAATCCCCAGAAGAGCACTGAAATCACCACACTCCCCCACAATTCAGCCATAACATAGAACAAACAAAAACTCCAAATCCTCAGAATAGCAATAGGACCAAGAAATCTAGGACCGAGGATATTGAGAAGCTTATCAGCAAATGCTTCAGGGTGGATTTGGTTGCTAAGAGGATAAAAGAGAAACCCAAAAGCGCCAAAAAAAGCAATGAACGGAACGATTACGGTATAAAACAGAGCTTGTTTAGACAAGACATTAGACAATTGTGTATATAACAACATAAACCCTATGGCCATGGGCAAATTTACCCAAGTTTTTAGAAATGGAATAATCTCTGCACTACTCCCCTTAGCTGTAACAACCAACACATCCTTTGTGTCTCTAAGGATTGTATAGTTAAAAAGAATACAAAAAAACATCAACCCCAGAGGTATAATTTTTTTGAGAGTTGTTAACTCAATACCCAAAAATTTAGGCTTTTCAGCTTTTTCACCAAACACCGGTTGACCATCAGCTGCAGCTGCAGCTTCTGCCCTGCAAATATGCAAATTTCTCTCTTTTGGGAAAATCCCAATTGGTTTTGACACAACACTAGGGAATCTAGGCAACCCATTTGAAGATAAAGATAACCCAGGTAGGGATTTTGGTTTTGCAGCAACAAGCCTCTGCTTTAAGCCTTGTGATGGGTATAAAGAAGCTCTCGTTTTGGGGTTTGGTGGAAAAGAAAGAAGCCCTTTGGTTTGAAGCACAGCCTCCATCTCTGTATTTTCCTTCTTATCTCTCTATCTCTCTTTAGGTCCCTTGCAGAAAACCCAAATCCTGGTTTTTCAAGAGGAGAGCATAAGAGGCAGTACCGAGATAGAGAGAGAGAGATAAGGGTGGCTAAAGAAGATTGTTTTCTCAGAAAGAATATTATAAATATCTTTTTATACTAAACCCCAAAAAACTTCAATCTTTTAAATATAAAAATTAAAACAAACTCTACCCAGAAAAAAACAAAAACTTTTAAAACCCAAAACAATTTTAACCGAAAGACCTCAACTTTTTGAGGTTTTCATCTTAATTTTTACAATTTCATTAGGAGGAGGCTAATTTGGGGCTGGAGAAATTGATAAAGGTTTCCGATTTGTTGAGCAAGAAGACAAATTGTTGCTTAGGAACAGTGAAGAAGGATAGGTGGAAGTAAATCAGTGATAAAAGGGGAAAGTGTGGATATGCTTACGGTCAAATGAGAGGGGGAAAGTATCCACCGAGAGGATCTTCACAAGTATGCCAAACGGAATCAATCTCGCAATTTCTCTTTATAACTGAACTGCCCTTAGGTTTTAATTTACTTGAATGCCCTTAAGATATTTTCCATTTTTTAATTAATATCTTCTGTTATTTATAGGCTAAAAATGTATAAATATATCCTCACTTTTATAAAAAAATCATAATACCTCTAACTTTAACAACGATTTATTATACACTTAAATTTATAAATTTTAGAAATATTAATGAATATGTATAGATGAAGATAATTGTAGACTAAAATAATTAATACTACCTTATTTTTTGAAAGTGTCAATTAAATTGAATAAAAAAAGTTTTAAAATGTCAAAATTAATCGATGAAAAATAGTACTCCATTTATTCAATATAAATCGTTTTAAATTGATGTTTTGTCTCAAAATATAAAGTAATTTGAATACCTGAAAGAGTAATAAATATATATTTTTCAACGTTATTTTATTTTATTTAAAAATTATATTTTAAGAAAATTAATTATTTTTTAATTTCATATAAAAATATTAAAAGACTTCTTTTGGAATAGCGGGGATAGATTTGAATGTGAAAAAATATATAATATTATCAAAATTGGAAGTGTCTTGATGGTTTTTTTTTTTTTTATAAATTAAGGGATAAATATATGTTTTTTGCAAATATTATATCCCATTTTAATAATATCATATCCTATTAACTTTCTCTATATAAATATTTATTTATTTATTTTCCAGTTCAAAAAAAATACTATTTATTCAAAAAGTTAGAATTTTGCTAACATATTAATTATTCATATTTTCAATTTTAATTTTACAGTCAAGGAGACAATTGAAATCCTACCTTTGTTTAAAAAAAGGAAAACGGGATACATGGGGATGTTGAAAATTACACGTGAGATGTGAACGTGGCCAAGTGTGAATGGCTAAACCGCTCATGCATTGCCCTTGTGCTTACAGCTGTTTGTGGCTTTGCGTATTTATTTTTCTATTTGAGGGCAATTATTTAGATGGTATGTTTAGAAATTGGTTAAGTAATTATTAGGAAATCTTTAATTTAAATTTCACCTTTTATCTCTTTCCGTTAGAGATTTCAACAAATAAGAGATATGAGTTAGGTTTTTTTTTTAAGAAGATAGTAACTACAAATATTTGAAAATTTTAAATTTAGATAATAAGGTTAGACAGAATTGATATTCACAACTTTAATATTTATTTTTAAAACTATTTAAATCACTTTTTCTTACAATTTTTTTTTCTGAAAATGCTCACTTTTTCTTACTTAAAGTAACGTATCAGTCCAAACCTGAATTTTCCTAATATATTAAATTGATATATCACTATTAATTGAAAAATTCGTGAAAGAATTCAATCAATTTTTTATTAATTAGATTAATTTTGACTATGAAAGAATCGAGTAATTCATAGTCTTTTTCGTCAATACTAAAATTTAAAAAATGTCTTTTAAAATGAAAATATAGAATAATTTTTTAAAAAGAAATGGAACATCATTTTCAGAAAATCAGTCTTCCTCAGCAGCATGATTTTGCTAAAAAAAACAACATGGGTTGCATGTTTCTTGCAAGCTTCATTGCCTAAGTAAGACTCCAAAGAAAAGATTCCAACTTAGATACTAATTTTCAAAGTCAAATCAGGTGGCTTCTCTTTCAACTACTCCTTCTTTACCGATATTACTTCAAATAAAATTTTGGGGGTCTAAGTGCTGAAATTTGAAGAAACACTGCTTTAGTTCACCAGTTGATTTTAAATAATTTTGTGGACTATACAGCAGAGGACAATCATTTCTTTTAAATAATATTTATTAAATTAGTAATGATTTTTTAAAATCTCTCACTCCCTACATTTTCTATTATAGGTAAAAAAAATTTAATTGTAATATTAATTAGCTATTGAATCCGTATGCTCTGAAGGGAATAATTAGTTTATAATAAAAAAAAATATCTTATTATTCAACAAATAAGTGAAGATGATGATTGACAATGAAATAAATATTTTAGGAACCAGGAATTATTATGGGGAGTGTTAAAATGAAACTGTTCAATTCAATATTAGCAGACAACGCAACCTGGCAGGCAGTGCGTAGGTTTGTACTTAAAATATTATCCACCTCAACATTTGGAGCAGTCTGGGTCAAACTTTGTTTGCTAAACCACAGGTTTATAACGTGCAAAATTGTTTTCTAATTACAATTTGCATAACCCACGGCTGGCTGGCAGGCTCCTCTCTTCGCCTAGTTCCAAGAAGAAAAAACAGAGGTGATTTTACATATATATATATATATATATATACTAACCACAGGTTTATTAACGTGCAAAATTGTTTTCTAATTTACAATTTGCAATAACCCACGGCTGGCTGGCGGCCTCGCTCTCTTCGCCTAGTTCAAGAAGAAAAAACCAGAGGTGATTTTACATATATATTATATATATATATATATATTATCAACAATTCAATTTATTTTATTAAATATTTATCAACAAATTCAATTTATTTTATTAATATGTCAAGAAAAACTTAATTTATTCAGGCAATTAATCCAAGCCAATAGGCTTTTCAATATACCCAAACCTAGTCTGAAAAAATTAAGTAAAAAAATCAAGAAAAAAAATAAACAATAATAGATTCAAAAACATAAATTATAGTGTTTCTTCTTGAGATAAAAAAAAAAAAAAAACAACTAGATTAACATCCGAATGGAAAAACACAAAAGCTATAAACTTAAATCCATACCACAAAAGGATTCACAACATCAACACCCTTTTTAACTAAATAATCTGCAAATTGATTGCATTATCTGTTTATACGCATTGACCAAAGAAGATATTAAAGTATCAAGCTTATTAAATTGATTATATATTTGCTTAAATTGTTTAAATTGATCTAAAGTTTTTAAAAAATTAAAAGATCAAATTTAGTTTATGATATTAAGTTATGTTTGGTATGATGTAATCAACCATGTAATGGAATGAGGATTACATTATATGATTGATTATATTGTTTGGTTAGACTTTTTTTTTTTTGCACAATGTAATGTAATTGAGATTACATGTGTAATCTTCATTACTTAATTTGATATAATATTCATTACATCAAAATAAACATATATTACCCATTACATTAAGCAGATATAATACCAATTATATTAAGTTATGCAATAAAAATTTTACCATTTAAGGCTATTTAACATCACCATATCACCACCACAACCACCAACACCTCAACTACTCTATCACCACCACAGCGTCATCACTACCACCACTGCTTAACCACCACTCCACCACCGCCACCACCATTGTGCCACAACTACCACTCCACCACCACCTCAACCACCATCACCACCTCAACTATCACCACCACCACCATTGTGCCATTACCACCACCGCTCCACCACCCTCACCACCATCTCAACCACCACCACCACCACCACATTACCGCTCCACCACCTCAACCACCATTGCTCCTCCACCTTAACCACCACTGCTACTCCACCACCATCACAACCACCATCATCACCACCTCACCATAGCTCCACCATCATCACTGCTCCATCGCCTCTGTCTAAACTACCACTACTACCTTAACCACCAATCACACCACTATCACCACTCCACCACCACCACAACTGCTCCATCACCTCAACTAGCACCACTACTCCATCACATCACCATCACCTTAACTACCACCATCACCACGACCTCAACTACCACCACCATCACCACTGCTCCACCATTTCCACCTCAATCACCACCAGCACTTTACCGCTATCATCACCACCACAACCATCATTTTGCGTTGCTGTCAGCACCACCAAAATCACTCTACCACGGCCGCCACAACCACTACTCCACCGCCACAACCACTACTCCACCACCACAATCACCACTATACCATCACCACCATATAATAAAAATTATATTTTGGTACTTAATATGCAACACAGAATAAAAATTATATTTTATTATTTTAATCTATTATAGAAATGGGAAGAATAGAATGAAAAATCACTAAAAAGATCAAAATATCCATAATTTTATATTGTAATTTAATTTATTTGATGAAAATATATGAGGAAGAATAAGAAGAAAAAATCACTAAAAAAGATCAAAATATCCAAATTTTATATTGTAATTTAAATTTAGATTGGGATGAAAATATATGAAAAAAAAAAAATTAATTCTAATAGTTAATTAAACTTTTATTTCGTTATCTTGACATTAGGGTAGCATTGTGGTTTCGGCAATTCCAGTTAATTCGATTAATTAGGTTAATTCGGTTAAATTTGGTTCGATGAATAAATATTGTTGGTTAAAAGTTCAATTAAAGAAAAATTAAAAATTCGGTGATCGATTTAAAAATTAATTTAACACTAATTATAGAAATGGGAAGAATAGAATGAAAAATCACTAAAAAGATCAAAATATCCATAATTTTATATTGTAATTTAATTTATTTGATGAAAATATATGAAAAAAAAAAGTTAATTTCTAATGAGTTAATTAACTTTTATTTCGTTATCTTACATTAGGGTTAGCATTTGGTTCGGCCAATTCAGTTAATTCGATTAATTAGGTTAATTCGGTTAATTTGGTTCGATGAATAAATATTTGGTTAAAAGTTCAATTAAAGAAAATTAAAATTTCGGTGATCGATTAAAAATTAATTTAACATAATTAATCAAACTAATCAACTCTCAAGACTATATCGTTTTGATTAAGTAGATAATAAAATTAAAAATTATAAATACTTCAGTTTTTATTTTGATTAAGTAGTAATTAATAACTTCGGTTAATTTTTATTTCAGTTACAGTTGATTAATCATAAATTTCAGTTAAATTCAATAAGTTAATTAAGTTTTTATTTTTTTAACTTCGGTTAGGTTAAAAATCAAAATTAATTCGTCCAAAATGGTTTGGATAAGTTCGGTTAAAAAATTTATTCGGTTAAATTTCAGTTAAGTAAAAAAAATTTGATTAATTTATTTCGTTTAACAATTTGACTCAAATTGGATGAATGATCATCCTTAAATTAAAATGTTTTTTGGCTTTACTTCTTTTAATTTTTTAGTTCAAATAAATTTATAAATCTAAATTATCTTTAATAGTTTAATATATTGAATGGTTTTTAGTTCGGATATTTCTTTTGTCTTTTGTATTAATAATGATCTGGTGGTGGTGGGAGTGGTGTTTGAGGTGGTGGTGGAGTGGTGGTTGTGGTGTGATTGGTTGTGATGATGGTGGTGATAGTGGTGGAGTGGTGATGGTGGTGTAATTGGTGGTGGTGAAGAAGTGGCGGCGGCGGTGGTGTGCTTGGTGGTAGTAGTGTTTTAATTATATTACATTATATTATATATTTATAAACAAATATAAAAATGAAATGGTGATTACATTCCATAAATTTTATCAATTATATTACCAAACATAGTAATGAAATCTTAATTACGTTCCACTACATCTTTGATTACACTCCATTACATTACATCCAACCAAACATAGTATTAAAATTAAAATCACTCAAATCAAACCGAACTAATATGTATGATTGGTTTTGGTTTTTTTTATGTGCATTTTAGATAGTCAAATTTTTAGTAAGTTATACATTATATACTAATTTGTAGAGATGGAAATTTTCATGTCCCTTGCAACTAATTCTCGTATGTCTAAAACTAGGGATGAGCATTCATTTAACCAAACTAAATCAACTCGATTTTAGTTTATCCGAATATGTTTTTATGATATCCAAATCAAAACCAAATGGTATAACAACTGATCCAAACTGAATTAAATTGGTTTGGATTCGGTTATTTCAAACCAAATTAGTTATTTTGGCTTTAAAATAAATTTGGTTAGTTATATATGGTAATCAAACCAAAAATCAAACATCAAACAGTTTGATATACCTAAATCGTTCAATAATCAAATTTCCAAAAATAACTATCCAAATATGATCGAATTGAATTAGTTTGATTTGTCTCTTGATTAGAAAACCAAGAAATTCTCATCCCTATTCAAAACTAACCGTCCGTTTGGAACAAATGAATCATGGTTGTAGAATTCATTTATAAATGAATTTCAAATATAATTCATTTACAAATAAATTTGTCATGCATGTTACAATTTAAAATGAGAAATTCATATTTAGATTTTGAGGTTTAAGGAATTCATGAATAAGATTTGGTACAGGTATTAAAAAAAACACCCTACTCAATTATTAGCAGGAGGAGAATTTAGAGTCAACTGCATTGCTTAATACTGTAAATATGACATCAAATAGTAAATTCCACTTTTTTAGTAAAACTTCTGAAAATTAATAGAAATGCCAAAATCAGAAAAAAAAAAAAAATTGGATTCTCTTAACAACAAATCATTTTAATCCATGGATGCGCATAACAAAAAGAGAACAGAACTTAGATCCTAAAAGCAAGATCTCCAGTTCTCCATACAACATAAGAGAACTTGTAACTTGAAGGAAGATTTGGAAAGCTCATACCTTTCTGGTGTCTTTAGACATGGAATGGTCAAATCTGATTGTAATAACAGAAATAAAAAGGCTACTTTAAAATATGATATTAAATTAATTATTGAAACAATTTTCTCTAATTCAAAATTTTAATAGAATTCATTTATTGTAAACGGCTTTAAAACTCTCACTTAATCTATATTTAGATTTTGAGGTTTGCCTAAAAAATGAAAAAAAGAAAAAATTGTTAAAGTGCCCCATTGGTAGTTCTAAAAGGACTCCTATTTAGAGCACAAATGGATGCAAGTTGCCCACCATGAACATGGACCACGAATCATATATATATATACATGTTTTTTTATTTAACGGTTGCTAATGGTAGGTATTTTTGAGGTGGAGTCATGTTAATGCCAATTTGTATTTTGTAGGTCCATTCAATAAAGGAGTTTTGTGATATGAAATGTGTCAACTCAATTTACTTCCAAGATTTCCAATTATCGGCTGTAGTAAGTTTGGTAACAATCAATCCAATCATCTTCCCATTTTGCGAATTAGGTTACAAATTTCAAATTACTAAAAAATTGAATGGTAACATTTTTTTAGGAAAACAATGGGTTATCTGGATGTAGTTAAAATGTAAATAGATGTAAAATAGAAAACGAAAATATTTTGAAATTTTCAAAATTTCTGATTTGATTGGGGTGAAAATATTAAGAAGAGTGTAAAATAAATTTATTATCTATTTTTCTAACCTAATTTTCACTCCATTCTGAAAGAAAAATGATTACTGTCATTTTACACATTTATTTAACTTTTTCCATCTTTCCAAACATAATATAAGTATTTGAGTTGGATTCTTTTATTTGCCAAGATTATCGAACAATAATTTACAAGGGTTAAAAAGATGATAGAAAAATGATTTGACATACGAAGATAAAAAATTAATCCGTAACATTAAAAGTTCAAAATTTGAAATCATTGCTGTTGGGAGTAAAAGAAAATGAGTTCCTGACCATTGCTAGAGGTTTGGTACCGATTGTATGTGTTGCAATGTATGTATGTATCACATGATCACCCTCCACATGAAGACTGGTAGAACTAAAAAAATAATAATAATAATAATGAAGAAGATTTAATTTGAAAACATTAAAACCGCATAAGTTGCTAAGGAACGGTCCAAAACAAATCAAATGAAGGGGATGGGCCGGAGATGCCAAAAAAAGAATCACAACAACATGGACTTTTCAGATGAAATGGGGCCCATAATGGCAGGTGATGATTTCCTATCCACGTGGCAAAAAGGTAACGGCTTATAAATATCTCTCCATCAAATTTCAAAAGCATCTCCAGAATTGAAAGGAAAAAGAAAAGTACACGACAACCAATACATGTAATCGCCATGTAAGCCAACCGGACCAACGGATTCTTGTTTTGACACGTCACGTCTCATCCGGTTAATGGTTCTACAGCTCTACAGTTGTGCACGTACACTCTTCTTCTTCTCTAATATGCCTCACCCACCAATCACCATGGCCCAGCACTAAGAACTCAAATTTTTTTCCCAAAAAAAAAAAATGAGAAAAAGAAAAAGAAAAACCTTCTACGTTGAAATTATTTAATATTGTCAATTTATTCATATTTATTTTTATAATTTATATCCTTTTTTATTTAAGCAGTTTTAAGTATTTACCGTAACAGCATGCAGAACATGCTAAACATTCCAATCATACTGTATCAACTACGTGAGATTTGTTTTTAAATTATTATGAATTATCTGTATTTTGATCTCAAATAATATTTTATTTCATAGAAGAGAAGAGCCACTAGTTTTTTACCAAGAAAAATTTAGAGAAATAAACAAAGGTTCCTTTTAAAAAAAAAAAAAACATTCCTTGTTTGGACAACAAACGGAGAAGAGAAAAGTTGGAGCTGAGTGTGGCGATTCGATTTGTAACGTTGATAGTCAAACTGTATAAATTTGACCTTGACCACCAAAATTTTTAATACGACTTCTTTTTTTATTTCCAAAAACACACCAAACATAAGATTAAGATTTAATAATTTATTTTAATCGAGTCAAAACTTTTGATAAGCTAAATTAATAATTTAATTTACAGATAATAACATATCAATGAAAAGACTCAACTTCAAATTCCACGAGTGACTGGGCCTTTTTGGTATAATGTAATTCATCAATTTAGGAAAATGAATCAGAAATGGTCTCAGTTATTTGGCCCAAACCAGAAGCCCAAGCCCACTAGTAGTAAATCGGACTTTGAAATTAATTTATGCACATACAAACTCTTATTTCACAATAATAATGACAAAGCAAAGGTTACCATATATCATCAAACACAAAAGTTAATAATTCTTATTCCATTGCATAAAATTATCATTTTGTCCTCATGGACCAAACCCAATTTCCTCATATTAATCGCAAATCGCAATTGTATTTTTGTTATTATAATTTAATCGACATTTTTAATGGGACCATACCTCTCAACTCTCTCATCAATCCATTCTCTCATATCCTTCAACACAAGATTAGCATTCTCATCTGGCTCTCCTTGTATTAATGAATGATACATTCCCTCGTACAATTTCAAGCTCTTATCCTCACTAGAAGCCTTCTCATACAACAATTGGGACGATGTAGGGCACGTGACCCCATCTGCCGTGCCATGGACAGTCAAAAACGGTGCCGTTACTTTAGAGAAATTATCTTGTACGTATTGGCACATCCTGGCAATTTCTCTCATGGTCCCCACTCTCGGCTTGCCTGTGTATCTTCTAGGGTTTGATGCTATGATCTTGAGCTTTTCTGGATCCTTGATCGCTTTCCCTACCATTTTATTGTCCGGCATAGCTGCCCACGTGTCCGCCAATCCAAAGAGCAACCCGTACATGAATAGATGCAATTTACTGGGTTTCATTGGTTCTGGGATTACAAAAAGTGGAGCCGAGAACATAAGGCCCGTCCACGTGTTGGACTCCGATTGGAAGTACATTAGCATTGTTGCGAGCCCACCCATTGACTCACCAAATAAGAAGGCGGGTAAATCCTTGTAGGGTTCGCTGTAGCGCATATGCTTGAAGAATGATAAGGACGTGGCAGCAATTTTCTCCAAGTCACCTGTACATGCGTACATATGTGAGTGATTATTTATTTGGTAAACCAAGATTTTCAAGCTTATAAAAAAGGTTAAATATGCTTTATAATAATGGTATTTTTTTATTATTCATAATATGTTTCAATAATAGACTGAAATAGCAGTTGAATAATCAGAATTAATGAAATCTCCTGAGAATTGGAATTCTGGACCAACCAAAATACAACGAATTTGTATAAAAATGGTACTATATTTTCGACACTAATAAAAATGGCAATTACTAATTAATAAAATATAGGATAAGAAATTAAATCGCTATTAAATTTTATATTAAATCAATTAAATTTTTTTTTATTGATGTCAAATGGTATCCAGCCCATAGGACCGATTAGGCACATCGGGTCTACGCAAATGCTGCTTCATATGAACCGGGCAAATCTTAATTAACTACTTGGACGCTCCAGAAATCGAATTCAGGACCACCCATCCGCTAACCCTTTAGGGGTAAATCACTCTTAAATTTTGATTAATGAATCATAATGAAATGTAATTAAATATAATCTGCGATGAAATATAATTGAATGGAGAGTTACTATATGAAATAATTAACCAACCAAATTGAATAATCACATCACATTGTCGTTAGCTTCCCTAATATTAGGTGCAGTAAAGATTCCAAAATAAAGATAGTATAACGGTACTGAGACATGAATACGAAGAAGGTTAGAAATTTCATGAGATGTACCCATATAACAACGAAGACCGTCCGATCTGCCATGCCCAAGAAGATCAGCGGCGAAGACAGCATAACCCCAGGTCGCGAAATTGATACAGATCTTTTGAAACAGCCAACCTGTATCAGATCCATAGCCGTGAGTCATGTATACCGAGGCTTTGACTTTCTGATCCAACGGTAAAAAACTCTGCGTGAAGAGTTTCCCGTTAGGCGTTTCAAAGTAGTGTTTCGAATTGGTTACTCCTTGTGATGTGTAGTACTCTTCCTCCGGCATGTAACCCCAGAAGTTCGGCGGCGTCTCGGGTGGCGGCGTTTCTACCTGCGTTTCCGACGGCATGGTTTTGGTTTGTTTCGCGTTTTCTGATACTAAAGAAGCGAGGTCTGATTGCGTTTCATTTGGGTGAGGGAAAAAGGATAGGGTGTAAGGAGGGAGTAGACTTTAAAAGGAGTAGTTGACGATACGAAAGTAGCGGTTTAGAGAAAGAAAAGTTGCGGTTTCTAGAGAGAGAAAATGGCGTTTCACCAACCCCGTTTTGGGTTTTTTTGGGGTGTACTGCTTGTTAGTGGGTGAGGTAGGTAGAGTGAGCTTTTGTGCTGGGTCCTGCCACTGAGGTAGGTAGGGTAAGGAAAGGAATCTTACGTATACGAAATTAACAGTTGGATTGGATCAGGCTTTATATATATTTATTTATTAGTATTTTATATAGTTTCTTTCTTCTGACTTTGACTGCATTATTAGCCAATGGATATGAATATATGAAGGTGCATTTGGTATACTGTGGATCTGGGCACATACAAAAGATTTTCATCCGTATGGTTCACATGATTTTTTTATTTTTACCTTTTAGAAATCAACTAAATATTCTTTAATTATATAAATTAATTAAATATATGGCTCACATCTATATGTGTTAATAAAATAATCTAATTAGTAAAATTTTCATTAAGAGAGAATTAAAATGCATTAATGGTCACTTAAATTTCAATATAAACTTGTTTTGCATAAATAAATTGATTTTATGTGACTTATATGTACATTTTTATATTTGATGTAAATAACATTTATATGAATTTTTAAAATTATTTTTATTAAATTTATTATAATATTTGCCTTAAAACTTACCAAATTCGTTAGAAATTTTAAATAATTTGAAATGACTAAATTACAATTTGGTTGGAACTATTGACTTCATACTTAATAGTTAATATATTAACGAAATTACATTATGAATAAAAATATTTATTATCATTTAAAAATATTTTCAAATAATTCATATTTTTCTTGGTTACAATATTGACAATTAGTTAAATAAATAAAATTTTAATTTTAAGACTATAAAAACATTCAATATTATGAAATTTTTTATATTTAAAGAATTTTATTATTAAATATAAAAAAATTACATCAAAATGATAAGTCATAGTTGTCATTAATGACAAATGGTGGATGCCGATGATGCTCATTGACCGATGATAATAGTTGTCAATAACTAGCAGCGGTGGTTACTAACGTGTATTTATAAAATTATAATTAATTGTTAATATTTATAAATTGTTTCTTTTTTTTAAATGGAAAATCATTAATGACTTAACTTTTAATTTTAATCATCAAAAGTTTTTTCTTGATTTTGATTTTCTTAAATATCTAAACCTTTTTTTTTTTTTTTTTTTTTTTTCATTGAGTTTGAAAGTTCTAAAAAATATAAAATAAGTAACTTAATATAAAATTTCAAGTATTTAAAATATTATCAAACTATGTACAACTTAAAACATCAAAAGAAAATGAAAACAAAACAGTACCACTTAAGTCATGTCTTCTGCTATGCACTCAACTGTATAAATTAGATTTTGTTTAAATTTTTTTAATTATTTTATAAAGTGAAATCGTATATATAAAAGATATCGATGATCAATTATCTCACGATGAAAAAGAATATTGATAATGTTTTTATTTTTTATATTTATCTAAACTAAATTACCTAAAGATAACGCAAAAGACCGAAAAAAAAAACTCTTAAGTTAATTTATTTAAAATAATCATTTAATAATAAAAATTAAAAGTAAAAAAAAAAAAAAAAAAATAGTTACAATAGAACATACAACGATTGCATAGATTTTGAAAATTTTATTGAATTTAATTTCAATTCTATCATTTAGTTGGAAAATAAAATTCATAAATTTAAATGATATTGTTTAGGTAAAATTAAGTTGTTTAAATTCCATCATTAGTAATAAAAAAATAAAATTGAGAAATCTCACATTTGATATGTAATGTCTTTCTCTTTTAAAAAAATGGTAGAATTGAAGTCGTAATAAAATTTATTATGGATATCTTTTTTTTTTTTTCATTTAACCAAAGAATTTACTAAATGCATCACATATTTAAATTCTACTCAATCAATGCAAATAATTTAAGACTGAAAATAAGGATTCGAATCTCGATCTATTATCGGTAATATATGCAGGTGTGATTTAAGAAAGTTACAAAAATAAAAAAAGTAAATTAGTATTATGATAATATTATTAAATTATTAATTGATAAGGATGGGTAGGTCCTCATATTTGACACAATGACATTAACATATATATAAATCTTGAGACTTTGAGGAGTTAAAAGACATAGATATCATAATTAATTAGCCTCCTTAAGACACTTATCCTCCATATCCAATGGATAGCAACATTTCTTTTCAAACATAAACTAATGTAAAGTTAGTGTCAAGACTTGTAAAAATCTAAAATCTAACCAAACAAGTGACACAAACCTTTCAACAACCTTTAATTTTTGTTGCTGAGGACAAAATTCTTTGCATCACTTCAAAGTTCAAATCCAACTCAACTACTTGTCAGCTTATAAATATATACAATTTGGTTACTTCAATCTGATTTCATAGGCCAGCTCTTGCATTTTGGATTTTCTACACTCAGATTTTCATACAAGCTAGGAAAATGACATAACTAGGAACATCAAGGTGAAATCTAGCTTGATAAGAGCATTTGCAGTGTGCATAAGCCTTGTAATTCAATTTTTGGAGGGGTAAAAAAGACAAGCTCTTGTGTTCAAGTGATATTTTTTTTTATACATTTTTTTAGTATTAGGGGTAAAGAAGTCATTTCTTGTAATGCGAACAGCTAAAATGATATATATACTTATTGCTAAAATATATTATTGGATTAATGGTATGTTCGGCAAAATTAGTTATTTTAATAGCATTTAGCTTTTAATTATTTAAGTAATTTTACATTACGTGTGTTATAAAATTTTATATTAATCTCTAAAAACTAGTTTGAATGGTTAGCATTTGTCAAATACTTTGGTGTATATCAAAGTGATATATGCTATCACAAATTGATTTGATTTTGAATGAGATATATGCTATCTACCACCATATGCCACATATGTTTTTTTTGGCATCATATGATATATTATTAAACTATGCAGCAACTTCTGTTGGACTCATCATTTTGAATATGGAAAATTTAAAATTTCAATTATAACGGCTAAATTAGATGAAACATGCTTGCAGATTCCAGATTTCTTCAAGTCAAAAAGGACAAAAATGACAAATTAATATAAAAAAAAAAATGATCTGTCTCCAATTTTTAGTTAAGCATGAAACAATAATCATTGTAATCAACAAGTAACATTACAATAATGGTGATTCTTTTTATTTGAATATAAATATAATTTATTTCCTTAAAATATTGCATATTAATATTCATATTCTCATGAATTAGGGAAAAATAAATAGTTTTAATTAATATTTAATGCTGCAAAATTACTCCCTTTTTCTGGAAGAATATTAATATTCTCATTGTTAGTTGAAATGGAAAATTCCAAAGAAGGTGATGACACTTACAGGTAATTTCTTGTAAGGTTATTCTCATGGTAGGGTTGGTGGCTGCAAAGTCTATACTTATTAAAGGGACCACTGAATTCCCATTTTTAATTTAACATATTTTATCAAAGAAATTTCTAAATTTTATATTTTTTTGGAGGGAGAATTTTTTTTTTTAAAAGCATAAAATATTTTTAAAATAATGGGAGAGTTTTGTGATTGTTATTAATTTATTATTATAAAGAGTTTAAACTTAAAATTAAAGGATTATGAATAATAATGGCCTCAACCTCAACTTTCTTGCACATGTCACATGGCAAAAAGCTTCAAATCAATCTCTCTCCAATCAACCATTAGCTAACTTGTAGGGCCACTTAACTTCAATATTATCAAACAAGAATATCCAAAAAAATAAAAAAATAGTTCTTTAATTCCTTAATTTGTGTACAACTCATTCACACAAAAAGTATAATTTCATATCTAATTACTCTTATATCCCCTGTTTAGTTCAAGAAATAACAAAAATTATGGTAAAAAATAAAATTGATATTCCATGTAGAGTGATTGTAATTTTATTTTAAAAATAAAATAACTATTTCCTGTTTATAAAAATAGAAAACACACAATGCAAACATATGGTTAGATTAAAATTACAAATGAGTATTTAGTTAAATTTTCAATTTTCAATAAAATAAATACATAGAAAATATGAGGAGCGAATTGTATTGAGACTTCCTATTTGTTTTGTCAAAAAAAAAAAAAGATAAAGGACAAATTTCTAAATCATTCTTATGATATTAGTTAATACTTTGAGAGAATTTTGGGAGAAATCTTGAGTTTGAATCCGCTCTATTACAAAAGTTATCATAAATTTAGTGAAATTTTATTTAAAGCAGGGCTACTATCTATCATGTAATTGATATATTTTTCAATTTATTAGACCTACATATTAAAAATATATATATTTAACGGCGCTTATTTTATTTCATTTAATAAATAATCAACCAAACAAGTATTCTTTCCTTAATTATTCTTTTCTTTTAAGCTTTAAAAACCATTAAAATAAAAAAGAATCACCTAAAACTAATCCAACTCACAATGAGTGGCAATTTGGTTTAAATATTTAAATTTTAAAACGACGAAATATCTTTGTTATTATTTTTTTAATCATGAAATTCAAAACACATTAATTCGATTGATCAGAATTCACATGCAAAGCAATATCTTTCTAGCGTTTGAGGTTCGAAATTAAAACTTCTAGTCATAAAATAAAGTATCTCTATAATTACATCTCATCCGCGGCCACTAAATATCTTTAGCTATTATGTCATGCAAAATGTTTAATGATCATACAATGCATGACACCGAAGTCAGCTGAAGCATTATCAAGAATCTATAATTTCCACTAGGATGATGCGCCAACAGCAGGTACAGATATGCTTAGACTATCACTATAAGGCAGCTTCACAGTCAACAAGAGAATTATACGTTTTAAGAATCAAATCATCCATTATTAGTTAACCAAAACTTCTTTAAAAAAGTAATTAATATGAAATCTGAAAGGGAAATGAAAAGAACCCTAAGCCACTCTTCCTCTCCAACTTGCTTCAGATGGACCATTTAGTTTAATGAATGGTACATATATTATTTTTCAACTGTTGAAATGGTATACAAGTAATTTTATATAGGTACTTTTTT